AATCTTTTATTTGGACAACCCCTTGATAGAGTCTCTCCTTATCTGGAGGATTTGCAATAGTTGGCGTCAGGCTGATCAGAGAAGATAGAAAGATTTTTGTTTTGTTCTGTTTCCCCCTGCTGAATGGGTCTTGGCTCACATCCTTGAGCAACCTAGTACTACTTCCTGCACAGGCTCCAACGAAATTATGTGAATGGAAGGAAGGCTACACCCCAAGAGTAAACTGATGCAGATGGCAAAAACCCAGAGATGCTAGCTTGCAAGAAGCGTTCTCTTTGTGAACAGCATTCCAGAGAAACCAGAAGTTGCCTTATATTGAGTCAGACCATTGATCGATCAAGCCCAGTAACATCTACACTGACTGAAAGACACTTTCCAGGGTTTCAGGTAGGAATTTTTCAGCCCTTTTCTCTATTATATTATTCTCCTCTATTGTTCAAAATTGTCCATCTTTCTACTTAATTTGGGACCAGTCAGACAAAATGGCTGACGTCACGCTGTAATTTTTGCCTGAGGGAAATCTGTCAAATTCTAAATATACTGAGAGCAAAACAAAATATTATTCAAACTACACCTGTTTACCGCACAAATATCTCGTGTTACCTAGATGAACCAAACGATTGATGATGTTGCCAATCCTATATTCAAGCACAGAGATTTGGTGACATCTTTAGCTTTTTCCAGCCCTACATTGTATTCTATGATACTTGATGTTTTTCTTCTACCACACTTTATTGGAAATCGCTAACCTTTAAACTATTAAATAAGTTGCTCATTATACTGGAAATAATAAAAATTACAATGCATTTGTATTGACCCATGTTTATTATCCCTTGGCCAAAGCTGGAAGAATATTAGAAAATTGAATTCATAATTACTTTGCAATCAAGTTTTAGCTATTTACTACTTTTCTTTTACCTGTGTCATCCATTTTCAGAGGAAATCGTCCACTGAACATAGATGCTAGCATTGAGTCCTTAAAACGGCATAAAGATTTACGCCTAGCGGTGTACATACATCCGCCAACATTCAACCGAATAATATCTGCAACCTTTTCGCTCTTGCTATCTTCCATCGCATTTGTAGCTAACGCTGCAGGCTGGGTGGTGTGCTTTCAAAGCTGTAAAAAGAGTAAAAATTGTACTCAGAACAGTGAATAACTTGGCTTCTCCATTAAGATCAATAATTTATGCTCCTGAAAAGGCAGATAAAAAGCATTTATAACATTTATAAGTTGCCTTTCCTCCAAGAAGTTGAAGGCAGCATATATTTGAACCCCAGCATAAGGACAGAGGTGGGTTTACTTTTTTTTAATTTCTTAGTCGCTTTATCTTGCCCAGAGCAATTCTGGGTCTTCCAGGATCAGTTTACACAACTACTCAAAAGGACTGGATGTAAATGACCCAGTTATCTGCAATGGAACATGAAAGGGCACTGCTAGGCTAATGCCTCTTCTCTACAAGAACATCTGCATTGTTTTGGCAAGTAAGCAGGACAGAACTGGATGGCATCACCTCGACTACTGAGAAATGTCATGTGAACCACCTGCCACCTGTTTACCCAGTCCAATAGTCAAGCCACTAGACCAGCCTTCACCAACTTAGTGCCCCTCCCTCAGATGCTTTGGACTACCACTCCCATGATAACTGACCATCCTGGCAAGGGCTGATGGGAGTTGTAGTCCAAAATACCCGGAGAAGATCAGGTTGGTGAATGCTGCACTGGATCATGTTATCTGCCAGCTTTGTAATACAGGCACACAACTCAAACAGTATGTTTGAATGTGTTACCAAGTCACCTATTGTCTGTCCACCACAGTGGGGCAGAGAAAGTGTGTGGATGTCTTGATACAGCTTATGTTTTCAAATTGGACCAAAGTTAGTTGGTGGGGAGTGCAGCGGTGGGGAGTGCAGCGGTACAGTGGTGCCTCGCAAGACGAAATTAATCCGTTCCGCGAGTCTCTTCGTCTAGCGGTTTTTTCGTCTTGCGAAGCAACCCTATTAGCAGATTAGCGCTATTAGCGGTTTAGCGGCTATTAAAGGCTTAGCGGCTAAAAGGCTATTAGCGGCTTAGAAAAAGGGGGGGGAGCGAAAAAAATCGCAAGACTCGCAAGACGTTTCCGTCTTGCGAAGCAAGCCCATAGGGAAAATAGTCTTGCGAAGCAACTCAAAAACGGAAAACCCTTTCGTCTAGCGGGTTTTTCGTCTTGCGAGGCATTCGTCTTGCGGGGCACCACTGTACCTATTTATCTACTTGCACTGGCGTGCTTTCGAACTGCTAGGCTGGCAGAAACAGGGACAGAGCAATGGGAGCTCACCACCGACGAGTGGATTCAAACCGCCAACCTTCTGATCAGCAAGCCCAAGAGGCTCAGTGGTTTAGACCACAGCGCCACCCGCATCCACACTGGTGTGGCAGGAGAGGATAGGAAGTGTGGCAGGAAGATTCAAGGACAAAGAAACATGTAAACATTTCAGGGTAGTCTAGTCTAGAACCAAAATAATCTTTTTTATTTGCAGAATATGGATATATTTCCAAAATGAGCGCAAGGGCATCAAGTGATACTGAGGACAATCCTAGTTGTGTTCACCAAGGTATTTCTTATCAATAAAAAATTTTCAGTGTGGCACAAGGAAATCGCTATTCTGAAAGTGTGGGGGAAGAGGGGAAAAGTCTGAGAACCACTGGTCTAGGTGGAACTGAAGAACTGGACCAATATGCAGCCCAATCGTAGAAACAAGACCCCACCACCACCACGGGGTTAAAAAACCACCAGCATCCGAAACAAGCATACAACTAACCAACATATATACTCACTGCAGCAGAGGTGGCTAACCTTGCAACCCTCCAGATGTTGCCAGGACCCCTATATGGGTGTAGCCAGTATTTTGAGGGGGGGCAGGCTTTTCTTAGGTGGCGGAGAACCTCAAATAAGTATTTTAATTGATTTTTATTGACTTGGGAGGTAGCTATCTCCCCCTGCCTACGCCCATGGACCCCCAACTCCCACCAGCCCCAGGGATTATGGGGGTTGGGAACCCGGCAACAGCTGGAGGTTTGCAGGCTCCTCAGCCCTGGAACAGAATTGCAAGGGAGCCCAGGGGTCATCTAGCCCAGGCATAGGCAAACTTGGCCCTCCAGATGTTTTTGGGACTACAACTCCCATCATCCCTGACCACTGGTCCTGTTAGCTTGGGGTGATGGGAGTTGTAGTCCCAAAACATCTGGAGGGCCGAGTTTGCCTATGCCTGACCTAGCCCAAACCCGTGCAATGAAGGCATCTCAAGACTCTCTTGAAATATCAACAACCTCAGATATGCAGATGACACAACCTTGATGGCAGAAAGTGAGGAGGAATTAAAGAACCTTTTATTGAGGGTGAAAGAGGAGAGCGCAAAATATGGTCTGAAGCTCAACATCAAAAAAACAAAGATCATTGCCACTGGTCCCATCACCTCCTGGCAAATAGAAGGGGAAGAAATGGAGGCAGTGAGAGATTTTACTTTCTTGGGCTCCATGATCACTGCAGATGGTGACAGTAGTCACGAAATTAAAAGACGCCTGCTTCTTGGGAGAAAAGCAATGACAAACCTAGACAACATCTTTAAAAAGCAGAGACATCACCTTGCCGACAAAGGTCCATATAGTTAAAGCTATGGTTTTCCAGTAGTAATATATGGAAGTGAGAGCTGGACCATAAAGAAGGCTGATCGCCGAAGAATTGATGCTTTTGAATTACAGTGGTACCTCAGGTTAAGTACTTAATTCAATCCGGAGGTCCGTTCTTAACCTGAAACTCTTCTTAACCTAAAGCACCACTTTAGCTAATGGGGCCTCCCGCTGCTGCTGCTGCCGCACCACCACCGCACAATTTCTGTTCTCATCCTGAAGCAAAGTTCTTAACCCAAGGTACTATTTCTGGGTTAGCGGAGTCTGTAACCTGAAGCGTATGAAACCTGAAGCATCTGTAACCCGAGGTACCACTGTAGTGGCACAGTCAGGCTGGTAATGCGTAGAACCAGTGACAAAAGTGTTCTGGATTAACTAATCTAGAACAAAGGCTGCCCTGTTTTGATTTTCACCATGGCTACATCAGATTAGCTATGTAACCTGAGGTACCACTGTATGGTGCTGGAGGAGACTCTTGAGAGTCCCATGGACTGCAAGAAGATCCAACCTCTCCATTCTTAAGGAAATCAGCCCTGAGTGCTCACTGGAAGGACAGATCCTGAAGCTGAGGCTCCAAGACTTTGGCCACCTCATGAGTAGAGAAGACTCCGTGGAAAAGACCCTGATGTTGGGAAAGATGGAGGGCACAAGGAGAAGGGGACGACAGAGGGCGAGATGGTTGGATAGTGTTCTCGAAGCTACCAGCATGAGTTTGACCAAACTGCGGGAGGCAGTGGAAGACAGGAGGGCCTGGCGTGCTCTGGTCCATGGGGTCACGAAGAGTCGGACATGACTTAACGACTAAATAACAACACCAAGACTCTCTTAAGTCTGAGGAACACGCCTCCTCCGCTCCCTTTCCAAACGGCTTCGTGGCGCCGACACCGCCATGGTTCTTGAGCCGCCTGAGGCAAAGGGGTCGAAGCAAAGCAGCCAGGCCGGAGCAAAGGGGGGGGGAGGGGCCCAAGCCTCGGGTTGCCTCCCCGCCGAACCCCCCCCCCCCCCGCGCGCCGTGGAAGAGCCGGGTGTGAGGGGGATAGACTGAGGCGCGAGTGGGGAGCCGAGAGGGAAGTAGGGACAACCGCGGCAGTTCGTTACCTTTCCCGGTTCGAAGCTCCGCCCACCTCTTTGTCACCGCTGTCGTCACGGCCCACCAGCCGCGCCCCGAGCGGATCCCGCCATGTTCTGTGGGGCGTCGCGGGGGAGGGGGAGGAGGGAGACGCTGCGGCGCGTGCGCAGAGGCCCCTGCGTTAATGGGTTAGGTTGTTGGACTACAACTCCCATCATCCTCTGGGAGAAGCGGGGATTGAGTGAACGGAATAACGAAGGAATCAATATCTGTCTATGATGACGCTGACGTTGAGATTCCTCCGCTGCAGGGAGGCTGGACGAGATGTAGCGCGATCGTAGAAGCAAGACCCCACCAGCACCACCACGGGGTTCAAAGGCCAGCAGCATCCGAAACAAGCACACAACTTTCCAGTCTGTTCGCAGAGGCGGCGAACCTCGCAGCCCTCCAAATGTTGCCTTATTTTCTAAACTTTGGGTGTCTCCCCCATGTTGTTGGGTATGGGACTACAACTCCCATCATGCCCTAGCTAGCAAGACCAATGGTCTGGGATGATGGGAGTTGTAGTCCAACAAACAGCTGGAGCCCTAAGGTGGACAAAGGCTGCCCACCAGGCACCAGGGATGAAGGGTTGCAGGCTGCTCAGCCCTCGAATAGGATTGCATTTGAAAGTTAATTCCTTTCGAGGAATGAATGAATTGATTGATTGATTGATTGATTGTAGAGTCGGCAGGGACCCCGATGGGTTCTTCTGCGTGGATTTTTGTAAACGTAATTCATTTGCTCTGATTCCAGGACAAATGGCCAAAGGCATTGGGCTGTGGTCCAGGAGGGAGGGAATCCCTGCCCATCCAGAAGGACCCCCACCTGGGGGAAACTACAAAGGGGCTGCACCACCCTGAGGTTTTTGCAGAGGGCTGTGCCCGGCCAGAGAGGCACCTGGGCCACGCAGGCAGATCGGTCCAGCCCAGATGCAGGAAGTGTTAAAAAATAATGTTCATGTGTTGAGGATAGATGGCTGTAGTTTTGACATCCGTGTAAACAAGCGAGGAGAAAAATACTGCAATCCTGCCTGCAAGCACTAGAAGGAGCCCACAACCCACCTGGGTTCACTCTCAGAAAGAAACCTTTTACAGGTAAGCTCAACAGTTCTTTTTATTTCTTGCTGGAAGTATTTATTGTTCTATAGACTCTGAGGGAATCCCTTCTCAAGGAGGAATTTACATGTGATTTTGGTTTTTTGGTCGTTTTTCTTTTAAATTTTATGCTTATCAGATTTCTACATTTCACTAATTTTACAATCATTTTAATATTTCAAAACTTGACTTCCTTCCCCCTTTCTGTAGTTCCTTAGATTTATTTTTAATATCTTCTGCATATCCAAATTAACTCAATTTGCTCATTTATTCATCTACTTTAAATATATACTCCTATAAAACTGCAGGTTATTACAATAATCCTGCCAATGTTCTTATCTGTTTACAATTTATCTGTAAATATTCAATAAACCATTCTTCTATAAAAAGTTTGTTATCTTGATTTCTCATTCTTCCAGTAGGTTTCGCGATTTCTGCATATTCCATAAGTTTTTGTATCCATTCTTCCTTTGCTGAGACTTCTGCTTTCCATTTGTGGGCGAGTAACATTCTTGCCGGGATGCAGGTAGCGCTGTGGGTTAAACCACAGAGCCTAATCCCTGCGACGGGGTGAGCTCCCGTTGTTCGGTCCCAGCTCCTGCCAACCTAGCAGTTCAAAAGCACGTCAAAGTGCAAGTAGATAACTAGGTACCGCTCTGGCGGGAAGGTAAACGGCGTTTCCGCGCGCTGCTCTGGTTTTGCCAGAAGCGGCTTAGTCATGCTGGCCACATCACTCGGAAGCTGTACGCCGGCTCCGTCGGCCAATAAAGTGAGATGAGGTGCCTTGTAGGATATCTTCAGGAGAAAAAGGCTAATGAGTAAACCCTACACAAATCTGAAGTAGAGCCCCTAAGTTGGACGGATTGTGTCTTGTACAGTACACCTCTTTGTGGCAACTACTGCAGCCAAGCTGGTGCCAAACATGTTGCTCTGCTTTCCTTTGGACCACATCAACAAGGCCAAGGGCAGCCCAGAACCTCCATATACGCTGCCCAGGCTTGCGCCCCGAGGAGGTCACTTCTGTGCTGCTAACGCAGTGGTTTCACTTCACCCTTTGCGGTGCATTCCATTGTCTCTTGAGACAAACGGAGGCCAACAATATACAATTGCAGGCATACCTTGGAAGTCGAACAGCCTGGTTCTCGAATTTTTTGGCTCCCAAACAATCAAAACCCGGAAGTGACTGTTCTGGTTTTCAAACGTTCTTTTGAAAGCCGGACATCCGACGGAGCTTCCACAGCTTCTGATTGGCTGCAGGAGCCAATCAGAAGCCACAATTTGGTTTTCGAACATTCCAGAACGGATTCCGTTCGACTTCCAAGGTACGACTGTACACATATGCTTACACACATGATAGCTCTGTTGGGAGAGCATGAGACTCCTAATCTTTTAGTCTCAGTTGTGCGTTTGAGCCCCACATTGGGAAAAAGATTCCTGTATTGCAAGTGGGTTGGATAGAATCAGGCATGTCTAACAGGTAGATCATGATCTACTGGTAGATCACAGGGTGTTCCTGGTAGATCCTGGTTGATCTCTGGTCCCTCAGTGATCTCCTTGCAAAAAAACTCCACAACTTTGCCTTTCCTAAAAAAGCTCCACAACTTTGGCTTCCTAAAGAAAGCTCAACAACTTTGGGTAGATCACTGCCAGTCTTTTTACGACAATGGGTAGATCACTGCCAGTTTTTTTATACTGTGAGTAGATCGCAGTCTATTGTGAGTTGGACGTCCCTGGACTAGATGACCCTCGTGATCCCTTCCAACACTATGATTTGATGACTTTCTATGACACACACACACACACACAGAGAGAGAGAGAGAGAGAGAGAATATCACAGGGTGCTTTCAGACAATATGTTTATTGTGCATTCATCTTGATTTGTGGGGAGCTTTTCAGTGCATTTTCTCATCACTTGCCTTACTTCAAACAGTCTGATATTTTGGGGAAGTGGCTTTGTTGTGCAAGAGCTACAAATCAATTGCAACTGTGCAAGCTGACCTCAATACATGATTGAATCCCACACAAAACAGATGATCTAAAAGCACCCACAGTCCAGAAAGTGTGATCTGCATACAGAAGCAGGCTTCTGAATAAGGAGGCTGCAGAAGCAGTTTCCCTTGCTGGATAAATGCATCCTGCAGCTGCAGCTATTTGCATACACAGTGCATATGGTTTGGCAAAGCAGACCCCCTGTTCGGAAGGTGGAGGAAAGTTAACAGTAGTAAACATCTGTCTGGTTGAATATGCCTGTGCAGGGATCCTTCCAACTTGTAGCATGTGTGTTTTGTGATGCTCAGCCTATACATTTGTAGATAAGAAGCCTCATCTACAAGAAGTCAATTTACATTGTACTAATTCACAACAACAATGAAACCTCACACCACTCAAAATAAAATTTTGTTGTTGTTTAGTCGTTTCCGACTCTTCGTGACCCCCATGGACCACAGCACGGCAGGCACTCCTGTCTTCCACTGCCTCCCGCAGTTTGGTCAAAATTAATTAGTGCTTTGTAAATCAAAGCTAACAATGGGCATGATCCAAATAAATTTAACCACTTGACTATGGGTGTTAAGCAGTGCATAAATGTGTACATGTGTACTCTGGTTGCGAACGGGATCCATCCCAGAGGTCCGTTTGCAACATGAAAAGAGCGCAACCCGCAGCAGCGCACGCGCGGGTTGTGATTCGTTGCTTTTGCACATGCGCATGATGTCATTTTGCGCTTCTGCGCATGCAGAGATTTAGGATCAGAGTTTTCCTACTCTATGTTCCCAGGTTGACCAGCCCCATAATGCAACAGGAAATCTTATAATACCTTCCACTGAGTGCCTGGCATGTTTGATCCCACACATTGCTCATGCTGACTAGGGTTCAAATCACCATTCAGATGATTCATCATGATCCTCACGTTGTTGGTCCCAACAATTGGTGTGGCTCCAGCCACTAGGCAAGCCTTCTATCATACCAATAACATGAGGCCATGACTGTGACCCTATAATCGTTTTTTTCTAATAGAATACTAAGATGGCATAAACTTTGACATAAATTAGAAAGTCTCAGCAAAAGAGATTGCTGATGCAGCAAATATATAAATAAATAAAGTAGCGTTGAGTGTTTCAATTACATTTTTTTCCACAGTGATTGTACAAAACCATCGGTTACTCATTAGCTACACACAGTAACTCACTGCAACATGGGTTTTATGCATGGTCAATTATCTGTGGTAACAACTGTTTGGAAAAAGATTTACTAAGAGGTAAAGATTAACTAAGAACCCCACGGTGAAACCTGGAATATAATTACATTTGCTGTTGGGAACAGAGGAGCATAGATAAAACTATTTGCCCATCTAGCCCAGTCTTGTCTGCTGTGACTGGCCATTCTCCAGGGTGTCAGGTAAAATATTTCCCATCCGGTCAGGAGATGCCAAAAATTGAACTCGGAACCTTTTGCTGGCAGATATTATCCCACAGAAGCAAACGACCCTCCTTTTGGAATCCCACTTGCCCTAATGCCTCCATTTATGTTCCAAATCTATGTCCAAAGCTATGATCCTATGCATGCATAAGAATAAGCATGAACTTCCAAGCAGACATGCATGGAATTGGGCTGTAAATTGTTTTTACAATAGCTGGGACACACTTTACAAGCATATATAATTTGTGCTGGATAGTTAGGAAGCTGGAGCAGTAGGCTCAAAGTGAGAGTTTCAGGACTACTCTCAAGTACAGTGGTACCTCAGGTTACATACGCTTCAGGTTACAGACTCCGCTAACCCAGAAATAGTGCTTCAGGTTAAGAACTTTGCTTCAGGATGAGAACGGAAATCGTGCTCCGGCGGCACGGCGGCAGCAGGAGGCCCCATTAGCTAAAGTGGTGCTTCAGGTTAAGAACAGTTTCAGGTTAAGTTTGGACCTCCAGAACGAATTAAGTACTTAACCTGAGGTACCACTGTACCAGCTTTTGTTTAGAAATGGCAGTACTGTACATTGAAGGACGTTAGCTGAACCCTAAATAAGAAACAATGCGGCAACGTGAGGAAACGATGGTGATCATATGTTTGGAGAAGGAGGGGGGACCTGATTTTAAGAAACTATTAGATTAATTTAATTTGGGTTGATTTGTAATAATTTGGAAAATTAATAATAATTTGGAAAAAAGGAAAAGAAATGGCAGCGCAATCCTACAAAAACAATTGGTCAGCAATATGATTTGCTGGGTGGCGCTGTGGGTTAAACCACAGTCAAGGGCTTGCCAATCAGAAGGTTAGCGGTTCGAACCCCGCGATGGGGTGAGCTCCCGTTGTTCGATCCCTGCTCCTGCCCAACTAGCAGTTCAAAAGCACGCCAAAGTGCAAGTAGATAAATAGGTACCGCTCTGGAAGGAAGGTAAACGGCGTTTCCTTGCACAGCTCTGGTTTGCCAGAAGCGGCTTAGTCATGCTGGCCACATGACCCGGAAGCATAGCTGTCAACATTTCCCTTTTTTAAAGGGAAATTCCCTTATTCCGAATAGGATTCCTCGCAAGAAAAAGGAAAAGTTGACAGCTATGCCTGGAAGCTGTACACCAGCTCCCTCAGCCAGTAAAGCGAGATGAGCGCAGCAACCCCAGAGTCGTCCGTGACTGGACCTAATGGTCAGGGGTCCCTTTACCTTTTAAGCATGCACAGTGGTACCTCAGGTTAAGTACTTAATTCGTTCCGGAGGTCCGTTCTTAATCTGAAACTGTTCTTAACCTGAAGCACCACTTTAGCTAATGGGACCTCCTGCTGCCGGAGCCCGATTTCTGTTCTCATCCTGAAGCAAAGTTCTTAACCTGAAGCACTATTTCTGGGGTAGCAGAGTCTGTAACCTGAAGCTATGTAACGTGAAGCGTATGTAACCTGAGGTACCACTGTATAGGAGTGCAGCCTCAACTAGTAAAATTCTTCTGTTTGGGGAGATAGCAGCTCTCCCAAAACGTTTCCAAATTCTGGTTTTGTTTTGAAGACACAGGGGCAAAGCGACCTCTTTCTGTTTTCCCAGGGGTTGATATGAAGTTTACCCACTGAACCCCGTGGGACTTAGGTTTTTGAGCAAACACGTGGGTAGGAATGGATCGGGTTGCAAAGCTTTGCAACGCGCCCCGCGCGCGCCCACGTGGCTCGCGAGAGGCAAAGCCGTCCGGGTCGCCCTCGGCTGGGTTGCAGCAGCTGATGGCGGGAGCGCCGCAGTTGCGCGCGCGCACCCTCCTCGGGCTTCAACGGTTTCAACGGCTCCGGCGCGAGGGACGGGCCATCCAATCAGCGCCCCGCCAGCCGCCGTTTGGGCGGGAACTAGAGCGGTGGGGGAGCTGTGTGGAGAAACGACCCTGTGGTGCCTCCTTTTACCTCAAACTTTGCTTTAAAAAAGGGTCACTTTTTAAAACCGACCCCGGGGAGCCTGTGAGCTCGAGTCCCTTTCCTCAAGTAAATAATAAATGGGAAAGATCATTTACAGTGCCGGATTTACTTATAAGGTTAACTTATAAGGTTAACAAGCTATAGCTTAGGGCCCCACTCTCTTGGGCCTCTTAAAACATTTAAAGGAGGGGGAAAACTGGATGTACATTTCCAAAATATAAAATAAAATAAAACCTACATACAGCAACAGTGTTTTGTGTTGTGTAGGCTCCTATTTGTTGTGTGCAAATGGCTTTAGATACCTATTAGGTCCTTAAATTACCATATAGCACATATTCAACACAAAAAAACAGTGACAGTTTGTTGTTGACAAAGGACAGCTGGACATATAAAGGGCCCCATTACCTTCAGTAGCTTAGGGCCTCATCAAACCTAAATCCGGCCCTGATCATTTACCTCAGTCATGTAAAAAACAGGGCTTCCCCTGTGTCTTTCTACTGTGGTTTACACACATTTTTCCTAACAGGGAGAGGGCTCGAAAATAATTTCCCCAATACTGTACTTAGTAATTCCTGTTCGTGGCCTAGAAAGGCTGCCCTTTAATAATAGCTCACACGCAGCTTTGAATTTGATGTTTGAATTGAACAATTAAGGAAGTGCTGTTAGGAAAATCTAAGTAGATTATTTAACTAGTGTGTTCAAAAAAGACTTAAGGACGGACCAGCAAGAGTAATTTCCTTTCTGACTGATTTATTTTATTCAATATGTTAATAGTTCCAAACGGAGTCTCACACATGACCAGCTCTGGAGAGACTGTTAGATAGTAATTTCAGTATATCGCTCCTACTTTTTCTCTCATGTTCCTTACATACTTTGGAAATGTGTGGAATAACTTGGGATTCTGGAGAGTGAGTGAGTTGGTTAAAGATATATTAAAAATTGTTTGTTTGTTTAAGAATGAATACAAGACCCAAATGATGAATAATAGAGTTATGATAAACCTTAACTGAAACTATGGAACTAAAAATATCCACTAAAACATTAATATATCTTTCTTTGTGTTATCCATTGTTAGATTTCTACTGGGTAATGAACTGAATCCTTTAAAATGGATAGCAATCCATTTCCAGAAGCATCTTCCTCATTGATCTTTGGAGATATTAAAAGACGTGTCGGGGGGAAGAAGAACGGATCTCTAAAAGCTGGGAAGCTGAATGCTTCTCTTGCATGTAAAATCAAAACTAAGATAAGAAGTGAGTGTCAACTAAAATTTTGATAATATATGTAACTCTCAGAAAAATAAAATACTTGTAGACCTCCTTAGTAATAGCATTTTTTAAAATATCCAGTATAATATGTCATCCGAAATGAAAAAAGAGCCAATGTTTCATGAAACCTTTATTCAAATTATATTCAGCAATTTTGGGCCAGTCACACCGTCTTAGCGTAATTATACCTTTTGTTTTACTGGTTTTTATGTTGCTGTTTTTTAAAAAGATATTGTTTATTGTTTTTATGTTGTACAGTACTTGGTGGTTTTAAACTATTAAGTGGTTTATAAATGCTTCTAAATAAATAAACCACTAGCTTGCACAAATAAAACAGGATAAGCTTAATAATGTTATGTATGTGGGCACAATGACCTTGAGGATCTGCCCCTCCCACTGCTATTCCTTACTGCCCTTTTGTTCATGGGCTGGCAAGGGTGTCTTCCCCAAAAAGTGCATGGAACTGAAGGAGAGGAAGCTGGAAAAGTAGCATACAGTGGTACCTTGGTTCTCAAACTTAATCCGTCCTGGAAATCTGTTCCAAAACCAAAGCATTCCAAAACCAAGGTGTTCTTTCCCATAGAAAGTAATGCAAAATGGACTTTTAAAAACAACCTCTAAAACAGCAGTTAAACATGAATTTTACTATCTAACGAGACCACTGAGCCATAAAATGAAAGCAATGAACAATGTACTGCAGTCACGCAATCCATCAATCAGTAGCAGAACTGGGTTCCACACAGTCACAAAAACAAAACAAAAAGCCACAAAAACACAAAATAAATAGCATAAACAGACAGACCTCAGCGTAACGCTCAAAATGGAAGTGTGGCACTCAAATCAGAAGCGTAACACTCAAAACGGAGCACGTTCAGCTTCTGAAAAAAGTTTGCAAACCGGAACACTTCTGGGTTGGCAGTGTTTGGGTTCCAAGTTGTTTGAGTCCCAAGGCGTTTGAGAACCAAGGTACCATTGCACTTCCCATTTCTTCCCTCTTTCAGCTCTATGTGGTTTTCAAGATTTAGATTGGCAGCTGACAGAAAATGGAGCAAGCAAGAGAGGAGAAGGAAACAGGGAGGAGGTTAGGAGATTGGCCACCAGAGTGGCTGGTGTTCCTCAAAGGTTCAGTTTCACTCAGGGACCCCAAATGGTTGGCATCCCCTGTGATATTACTGTCTCTCAGACTGTATTGCCACTGCTGTTTACTGTGTACTCACAGTTTCCAGTGCTAGGTTTCTAATCTGTGTGCACATATTCTAAACGCATTGCTTCTCAAACCAGCTTCACACTGAGTGGATTTCTTAAGCCATTTCTAAGTTGTCTCTAGCCAAGTTGTGAACATCTTTGCACAGGGTAAAGACAACCTGTTATGTACTGAAGTTCTCGCCAGCAGGGGGATACTGTAGATAGTTTTCACTCAGGTCCACATATGCAAATAAGGGATTGAAAGTGACGTTCAGTGATTGGATAGTTACAGAAAGTGGTTACTGTTGCGTTGTAGTGGAGCTCTGTATAAGCAGGCTGGCTGAACCCTTCAGTTCAGTTCTGTTCTGGCCTGTGAATAAACAAGAGCTGTTTGAAAAATCGCTGTGTCGTCTGATATGTTCACCCGCAACTTAACACAACCCTTCCCCATCAACGTCCCCTGATATGTACACAAACATAAACAAATCTAACCTTCCTGATGTGAACAGCTAGTGAGGAAAGTACTGTGAAATGCAGGGGGGTGGGTAACCGCTGTGCTTTAAGGCAAGGCCATTTTCAGTATGATATACTGTAGAATTTAATTCATTATCAAATCCTGATAATAAATATTCCCTTATCCGCACTACTCCTTAAATTATCATTCAGTAATATAGTATATGAGGGGTGCTGCTTGCATTCTGACTTAAATCAGAAATTATAGAAAGCAATTTTCCAGAAATTAGAAAATATGGTGAGGCAAGATTACAAGAACTGTACACAAGAAAAAAGCACAATCTTTGTCATTCAAGCATTTTAACTAGAAAACTGTAATTGTTTAACTGCAGTCTTCAATATGCTTACTCAGATGTAAGTTCCTTTGAATGCAATAGAATTCACTCCCATGTAAGTGTAAGCCCAACAAGTAGTCCTGTCCAACATCATTTGGGGGGCACCATATTAGCTACCCCAAGTATATAGGCCTGAAGGATTTTATTTGTTTTTTACTATATTTGAATATGTGATATTTAAAGGTTTTAAATAAATAAATACAATTCATCTCAATTAATTTTTAATAGTGAAGAAACAGAAGTTTTGGCACCTCCAAATTAATTTTTTTGTTTGAGTGCAAGAGTATTAGCAATATCAGTATTTATTTGTATGTCTTCTGTATAACTATTCCATGGTTGTGTATGTGAGTCTGGATGCAGGTTTAAAACAAATACAAAACAATTTTTTTAAACATACAGAAATAGAATAGATTTTTTTTAACACACTGATACATAGGTGTTTTTTAAAATCCCAAATTATTATTTCATATTTTTATTTTATGCAGGCAACTCTTCACTTTTTAAGATTTCTTTGAAACACAATAATAAGGCTCTGGCCATGGCCCTCAGCGCAGAGAAAGAAAATTCTAGGAAGCTAAAAAATGAAAAGCTCTTATTACAGAAAGAAGTGGATGAGCTGCATTTGCAGAATGTCTTACTGCGCCAAAAGCTGAATCGTCTGGTATGTTCTGAAAAATACTATTTGAGCTATTACATTATTCATATATTGTGAAAATAAAACTTATGGGGAGGGATTCAGCTATGAGTCCCAGGGCACCCCCACAATCACCATACTCCCCAAATTGGCTGGGGGTGGGTCAGGTTGGAATAACCCCCATAAGAGTGCATGTGGGAGGAGAGGGAATGCTTGCCCTGGTGGAATGCTCACCTTAGTGCAGTGTAAGCAGCTAGTAGAATCCATCTGTTCCAAAGATCCTGTTCAGTGGGATTTTGATAAGCATTATGATGCAAATGATATATCATAATGGGAATTACACCAGCGGTATGCACATGGGCATAGCCAGGATTTTGCAGGAGGCGGGCTGAACTGAGCTATCTGCAACATGATTGATCAGTTAGTTAACTATTTTTATTTATTTACTTGATTTACGGTGGGGGTATAGCTGCCCCCCTGCCTCCTCCCCTCCCCCCCCCCCGACTACAGTATGTCCATGAGTATACACATTTTTTCCCTGTTATATCAGGGCAAAATGTTTATTAGCTCTTGGTCACACTCAGACCCTGTGTGTGCATGCACACCCAGCAACTGGAGCTGTGCGCTCAAAGTTCCTTTTAAACAATGAACAATCACACAATCAGCCATTTGGGTAACACATTTTCTTCATCAGGTAAACATTGATATACTGCTGAACCTTAATCTGTTCTGTATAAGGTACATTGCTTTATGTGTAAAAGAGCAGAGGGGAAAATGCTCCTGGTTGGAGCGGGGGAAGGTTTTACAATATTTTTTTAATTAAAAAAAACTTTAATGTTTTCTTTACTTTAATGTTTTTAGATAAATTTCATCTCTTTAACGCCAAATAAAATATATTAATTTCTCAAAACTGCCTCTTTCTTTCCTCCAGAAATATAACTCTTTTTTATCATTGTTTTTCTCTAACTTTCTAATTGTGTTAAATAAAAGTTTTGATTATGATTATATTTAATTTTTTGTATGCAGAATAAAATTCTCATAGAACTGGAAGCATTCGTGAATAATAACATTTCAACTGCAATTGAAATGAGCACTCTTTCAGAGGTATGCTGCTTTGTGACGCTTATTATCATAGGGTGAAGAGGGAATTGCTACTGTATGCCTTCATGTTTTGAAAATCAGTATAAAAACTGATTTGGTGATCAATATTCCTTTGGTTTTTCAGAAGTTAGCTGTGGATTTACTTTTGAGGTTTGATTAAAGTACAGATACAGCAGGACAAACATGTTGATCAAAACAATGGAAATCCAATTGTATTGTTGACATATTTATATAGATTTAAACATACAACTAGATGACTTCAACTAACATAATACACAATATTGCTGTACTGTACTTTCTAGCAGTAAAATGATACCCATGTACAAAATCAATGGTTTATTAATAAACTTTTTCTGTTATAAATGCTCTATATGTGCACAAGAAGAGTGGCATTTCAATGAAATAACTACATTATGTGAGCAAATATTTTCTTGACCTGCATATTTGTGCTTTATACATATATTCCTAGTTTACAGCTGCTAATCTTTACACTTTACATTACTGTATTAAAGTTGTTCTTTAATTAATGTTCTCATTGAAATAGTTTAACACTCGAAATCTTAATATATTGGTATGGGTGCAATTCTATACCCACAAAACTGGGACCAAACCCCCTTCAACTGGGAATTATTTCTCTATAGACATACTGTACATAAAATTTCTCTTTAAGTGTTCTGAGCGTTTTCCTCTTTTTAAACAGCATATTCAAAAACCCTTAGCAATGGAAAAAGACCACTGCAACAGTTCTGGTCAAAAGCCTGAGATTTCTGATCAACCAATTAGGTAATATTTAAATTGATTTATTAATCTAGATGGAAATCAAAATGTGAACCTTAAATAAAACCTGCCAAAAGATTGTATCGATCAGGGCTACAGCCCCACAGGTTCCTAAGGGCTGCTTTAAATAAGACTTTAAAGTTTAGTTTATTGTACTTATAAATAAAAAGAACTAGATACAGTATAATTAAACACATTTCATTCATAGTGTCATGCATCAACTGTGTTTTAGGCTGCAATCATATGTGCAGTTTGACTGCTTGAGGGTGCAACTCTATACTTACACCCAGAAGTAAAGTCCATTAATGTCAGCAGGGTTTACTTTTGAGTAGACATCTACTGTATAGGATTGCATAGCTAATCCTGCTGTGGTTAACAGGATTTAACTAGTATACATGCAGGATTATAGTCTTTGCTGGAAAAATACATGACAAAGACTCTGATCTTTTATGAACTGACATTTATGTGTATTTTGCCAACAAAAACATATTTTATACCTATACATGGTAATTATTGTTTGCAGGCTATTAGAAATAGCAATTTATACCTTAGGTTAAGGTAGTTTACAGTAGTACATGTGCTAGCAGTTTTTCTCCTTAGATGTAATCTCATACACTTCTGTTTTACGGTTAGATCTTGTTTCCTACTTATTTTGGGGGTTTTTTATAACACAGAATGTGATTCATTATTAGATTACAAATCTATGCATTGTTATCTGGTAGTGTCCCACTGAACAAAGTGAAGTTTACTTATGAGTTAAATGCTGAAGTGAATCCCATTTTATTAACTCTCTTTCATAATAAATTGTTCTTTCAGAACTATCAGGCAGCATGTGAGCACTCAGACTGAAGAACATAATGGAAATCAGCAAAGTAACATATCAGTCTGTGTAGCTGATGATCTTGTTACATCAAAGGAAACTGCAGCAGATCAAATCAATGCAGAGTTATTTGTGTCTGGAAAAAATACCTCAAAATCAAGTGAAACAAATAAAATAGAAACAGTATTTATTGCAAATAAATTTACAAAAGGTATACAGCATATTTTATTGCATTCACTTCATTTTCTAGGGTCCTTTCTCCCCAACAAATGTTGCAGAAAGCAAGAGTCTCAATACAGGACTTTTAAAATATAATTTGTCTGCAGGAGAGGTATGGATTGTGACCCCGGCATGGTGGGTAGATGTCTTCAGCCCTTTCCCTTCATTGTAGTTCCTGTCCATATTGGGTCTCTGGTGCATGCAATTTGTAAAGGAAAAATACACCCACTGGAGGAATTTCACCCCAGTGCACATTGCATCAGGTCCACAGCAGGGGATAAAGGACTAAAGCCCCTTACTTCCCACTCCATGCCAGGGTCTTGATTCAGATTGCGGGGAGGGGGTGTTTCATGCTGGCAATCTATGTTTATAAAATCAGGGACAATAGAGCTAGATATATGATTCATGTCTCGTTCGAGTCTTAAAAAATAAATGAACATTTATGTTGGGACACACAGAAATGCATAATGTTACAGTGGTGCCCCGCAAGACGAATGCCTCGCAAGACCAAAAACTCGCTAGATGAAAGGGTTTTCCTTTTTTTGAGTCGTTCCGCAAGACGAATTTCCCTATGGGCTTGCTTCGCAAGACGAAACGTCTTGCGAGTTCTTGCGAGTTTGTTTCCTTTTTCTTAAAGCCGCTAAGCCGTTAATAGCCGCTAAGCCGCTAAACCGTTAATAGCCGCTAAGCCATAATAGCCGCTAAGCCGCTAATAGCCGTGCTTCGCAAGACGAAAAAACTGCAAGACGAAGAGACTCGCGGAATGGATTAATTTCGTCTTGCGAGGCACCACTGTACTCCTAATGTTTTTTCATTATATTTTAAACAATTAGGCACATAAGATACTTTTATGTAAGCTATTTAAAACACTATAGTAGGTTACAGACCAATTTGAATAAAATAGCTCCAGTATCACTAGGTTTGTTCAGGTCTCCCATCTGATATTTATAAAAACACTGTTAACCGTTTCAGTTAAACAGATGCATGTTGTTGATATATAAATAGTTAATAATAATGGGTGGGATTCCCCTGACGAACCCTATCAGCTGAAGCCCTGCTTTCCCTTCTCCTTGCGTGCTTCTCCCCAAATAGCTCTTGGGTGTCTGGAGATCCATCAGAACACCACAGGTGTAGGCAAGGGGCGAATGTCCCATCTGGCAAGCTGAAATTGTTTTTGAAGATTATAATAAAGCATGTTCCAAATGGAAAAACAAACTTTTCCTGTTTATGCAATGTAAATGAACCTGGTTTTGCTTTGTTTGCAGAAAATCCATCATGTATGGATCAGATGTCTAGTAGGACCTTTAAGCTGGATCTGGATAATGCATATTCTGTAGAAAAATATGAAAGACAATCAAAAGCACACAATAGTCCTCTTCTAATCGATAGATATGTGACTGAACGGAAGAAACGAGGACTGTCCTGCACATCAAATATTCAGTCTACTATAAACAATTTTGAGAGTAAAACAGAGCAAAATAGCATATTGCATTGTGACACTGACAAAGTCCACACTAATGGTCAGATGGCCCCAAAAGATGTTTCATGCACTAAATCATCTCAACCTAGAAAGGAGCCTGATCACACCGATAAACTATGTTTTATAAATGGTAAAAAACCAGAAGAAACTGTATATGATGCTGACATGGAATTGACTGCTAGTGAACTAGGTGAGATACTCTTAATTAAATCAAAAGCCAAGGTTGAGAACGCTAAAATAGTAAAAACTGATAAAATTTCAGCAAATTTGAGAAAAGTGAAAACTAAAAGTACAGAAAAACAGATTGAGGATAAATATAACATTAAACCTAAAAAATCTAACAAGAAAGTTCCTAGTAATGGAAAAGTTAAAGATATTGATATTGTTGAATCTAAAAATGTTCTACCACCAGAAAAAGGATTGTTTCAAATGAGAAATGATCAGCAAATGAAACTGAAGAACACCAATAAACTTGGAGAAGATTTCAAGAACAGTAACAAGAATGACAAACAGGTGCATCCCCTAAGACTTGTAGACTTACGGCAAACAACTCATGTTTTAGAAAAAGAAAAAATGAAAGATACAATTTTTGAAACAGCTCAGAATTCAGAAAACCAGGTCCCAGAACATGATTTTAACGTACCTGGTGGTAAATTACCATTAGAAGGTTATTCTATTGAAAGCTTGCCTCCAGTACAAAGCTGTGTGGTTTCAATACAGGATTTAGACATAAATGAAACCTATCCTGTTGTTTCCAAAATAAAAAAATCACATTACAGTGAAATGGAAAATGGGCAGTATTTGAAAGGGCCTAGATCAAAGGTATGCAATTCTAATAGCCAGACTATACAAGATGAAAAGACTGATATAAAAAGTGGCTTTAATAAGAGAGAAGTGTCTTCCAATTTCGGAACAACAACAGAGAGATCTGCTCATGCTTTAGGTATTCCTAAAACAGATCAAATTAATGAAGAGTTTTCACATGGTGATAAAAGAAGAATTTTTGCAAAAGCTGGTAGGAAGACATACATTATATACCCAAGCTCTCAGAAAAAAACTTCTGTGAAACAAAAATTACACGACGAAAATGTGTATACTGAGAATATCCATGAAGGAAATGAAAACATTCAAAGAAATTCCAATGTTCAGCATGTTACAATTTCATGTTACCTAAAGAAAGCGGCTGAATGTTGCGTTGAAACATCCGAAGAAAGGGTAGATTCTACACCAAACCCAAACAAGAAGACCTATAGTGTTTCTTCATGTGATCAAGGTAAGAGCGTAGAGAAAGTAATTTCTAACAATACTGAAATAGCTACTGAGTTCCATAAAATTCAAAAAAACATTCCAGTTCTGAAAAACCCTGAAACATTGCAATTCTCAAGAATTTACCAAGAAGAAAATTACTATGCTTCCACAGAGAATGTGAACATAATTTGTAAAGTGTCTTGCAGCAAAAGACCAGTATCAAACTTTGGTATGTGTAGCTTTACTTTGGATATTAGGAAAGGCACTCTAGGTATTAGTCTGACTCTGTCAATTTCTGCCCCTGTTCCCCAATTTAATTGGGTGGGTATTGTGATTTTAATAATACTTGATTTAAATTCTTCAGATATACATCCCTGTACGAAGAAACTAGAATATATGCAATTGAATAGGCCTGGACCACAGCCATTATGGATCAGGTAGTGTGCTCTGGGTGATTAGGAATCATGTCCTATGCTCTGGTTAGTATCTGGAAGCGCATGTAGCACCAACTGCTTTTCTGGTATGAAGTGATGCTTATATGTCCATTAGTGGTATCCTACAGGGGTATGGCGAAACTTTTGAGCTATATTTAAAAATCTAATGATTGTTGCCTCATATTCATGGCCTTCTAGCCCACTTCATATATCTGATAAAGTGAGCTATAATAATCCATGCACATTTATGCCATACAATAAACTTGTTAATGGGTGGTTCCCTAGACCTGATAACAGAAAGCTGACTGCTCTTTATGGGGTTACACTTCCTCTGAAGGATATGTAAGTTGCGGGTACTTCTCGATCCATTGCTGTTCTTTGAAGCTCAAGTGGCCTCAGTAGCATTGAGTGCCTTCCATCGGCTTTGATAGGTGGCCCAGTTACACCCCTATGTGGAGAAGGATAGCCTAAATTCTGTTGTCTATGCTCTAGTAACCTCTAGGTTAGATTACTGCAATATCTTATATGTGGGGCTGCCTTTGAAGATGATTTGGAAACTGCAGCTGATTCAGCGGCCAGGTTGCTCACTGGAGCAAGACGGTCTCAGCATGTAACACCAATCCTGGTCTGATTGCACTGGATACTGGTTAGTTTCCAGGCCTAATTTAAAGTGCTGGTTTTGACCTATAAAGTCTTATGCATATCAGGACCCTAATACCTCAAGGACCACCTCTCCCCTTAAGAACTGACCCAGACCTTGCAACTCATCTGAGGCCCTTCTTTGTATGCCCACCTATATGAGAGGTCTGGAGGGTAGCAACACAAGAACAGGCCTTTTCAGTGGTGGCTCCCCACTTGTAGAACGCTCTCCCTAGGGAAGCTTGCCTGGGACAATTTTTACATATATTTAGACCAGGCAAAATATTTTGTTTTTAATCCGCTCTTTGGCTTTTAATCATCTATGGCTTTTTTTTTCATGGATGGAATGTTTTAGTGTACAGTGGTACCTCGGGTTACATACGCTTCAGGTTACAAACTCTGCTAACCCAGAAAAAGTGCTTCAGGTTAAGAACTTTGCTTCAAGATAAGAACAGAAATCGTGCTCCAGCGGCACGGCGGCAGCAGGAGGCCCCATTAGCTAAAGTGGTGCTTCAGGTTAAGAACGGACCTCTGGAACGAATTAAGTACTTAACCCGAGGTACCACTGTACAGGGTTTGTTTTTGGGGTTTTTAAAAGAAAGTGTTGGTTTTAATGTATGTATACAGGGCTTGCTTAAAATATTGTAAGTCGTTTTAAGTTGCTGTGGCAAAAAATTAATTATAGAATTGTAGAGTTGGAAGAGACCCTGAGGATCATCTTGTCAAACCCCCTGCAATGCAGGAATATGCAGCTAATCCCATGCAGGGATCGAACCTGCAACCTTGGTGTTATCAGCACCATGCTGTAACCAACTGAGCTATCCAGTTGACTGATAAATGTTAATAATAATAATTAAAGGGAGACACAGTGGTTAAATATGATGAACATGCACAACAGTTATGTGATTGATTGCAGCTCACAAGTATGTGTCGCTCCGTGTTCACAAATGTGCAACATCCCTTCACACTCTATATAAAGTTTGCCCTCCATGTAATCAGACATTGTACTTCTATGCTACCAGTTGTATTGCCTGATGCAGTAGGTGAGGAAATAACATTAAGAGTTCTCACTTCAGCTATGTTTCAGTTGCTAAAACTGGGAATATTACAGAATCTACTTTTTTACAAATCACAAAGTTCATTTCAAATACTATGGCTTAACTTGTGTTTGATTAATTAATTACAGTTTCATCCTGTTGGTCTTCCAGAGAGAGCTATGTTGCCCACCAATATTTTATCCTCACAACAATTCTGTGAAATAAATTAGTTTTAGAGAGGGTGACTGTCCCAAAGCCACCAAGTATCATGGTTGAACAAAATCTGAACTCGTCTCCCCAATTTAAGTTTGGCATGCAATCAACCACACTACTGTGTCTCCAAAAATATATATTTATTATTTTTTCAAGTTTACTAACGTTCCAAATATTTTTGCAATTAATGATTCAATAATAGCTGTAATTACAGGGCGTAAGCCTCTTCAAGAACTGACAAATATCAAAGCACCTTCCCTTCCAAAACCCAATAAAGACTTAGAAGAAAATTCCATATCACCTGTTAGACGCAGGCGAGCTACAGTTTGCTACAAAGAACCCAAAATCAACAGGTTAGTTTTTGTCAGATGGTTTCTTTTTGTTTTGTTATATTTAAATATTTTTCAAAGTATGCTTGACACCTTATTCTGTAATTGGCATTTATCAAGCATATATATTTTATGGAAACATACAGTTGTACAAAAAAGAATCCCAAAAGTGACCCAGAAACATTTTAGGAGAGTAGAATAATTACTTTGTGAGAGTTTATTGAAACACTTTCCATAATCATGACAGTTGAGACTAATAATACCTAAAATTTAGGTTTGATTTTAAGGAATAACACATACACAGAGAGACAAAGCTGCAACCCATACTCAAACTAGTCTAATAGTGCAATCCTATCCTCACACTTCCTAGGACTTGGGACTCAGCTATACAGCTGCAAATAAATAACATTTTAAATATGTTGTAAAGTGGAATATACGAATGGGACACTAGATGGCAACAGTGAGCTATGCCAAATTCAAGGTATTTTTTTCAAAACATTTTTTAAAAAAGCATTTTCACATCATTTTTTATGTGTGTGATTCCACCTAAGTCCCATTAAACCCATATTTTTGAGTAGACATGAAGGAGATGGATCTGTATTAGTCATTTCATTGCCTCATAAAAAGAAACATGGGTGCTGACGTTTTGCAAGTGGAGCACGAGCACAATTAGTACACCTTTCTGGAATCACACAGCTGCTATGACTTTTCTAAATGTACACAGATTTTTGAGGGGCTTCTTGTGTGAATCTAAGCTAATCTAGTATAGTGACTATATCACATACTGGTAATTTCAAGTACCCCATTAGATAAAAAGTTCATAACTACCATCTCTCAATCAACTGCAGCTTATTGCAAAATACAAGGAATGTACTTATGTATTTTTAGGGCTGTAAAGGGGGAGGGGGTGGGTTTTTTACTCCCAGGTAAGTAGAGTTAGGATTGCAGCCAAAGTGTCTTAATTAGAGGAATGACTATTCTGTATGAATTCTTATACAGTACTAAGTAAAATTTATGAATGACATTTGCCAGAAAAGCTCACCAGTTCTATTCTCAGTGCCACTAGTGATTCAATTATTTTTGTCTTTCAGCAAATTGAGGAGAGGAGATAAATTCACAGATACAGAGTTTCTTAATGTTCCAGTCTTCAAAGTCAGAAACAAACAAAGCTTTAAAAGTAAATCAAGATTACTCTAAAGAGGATATACAGAAAAGTGCCTACTAGTATGTTGTATCTACTTTTTAAACAAATTTTATTATTTCTTCTTTACTAAATTCCACTGATTCAATTTTTATTTGAACTAGATTGCTTTCTTCCACTCTCTTTTTAATCAGAATGAACGAGGTGAGCAAAAGTATATCTACACAGACAAAACTTTAGTGTTGATAGTTTATGTAAGTTTAAGCATTTCGTAGCATCTTTTGCGTAGCATATTCTACTTTAAAACTGCTGAATTAAAGTTTCCAAGTTTTGCACACAATGTAAAGTGAATATAATTATTTCAGAGGATAACAGAAGTTTTCCATTTTACTTGGGAAAGTAGTCTTTCTCACAGCCTGAACCAATTCTGAGTTACAGCTGTTGTGTCTTGTATGTAGAGGCCTATATAAAAACATGGGGTGACCAAATGGCAAGTGAGGACAGGGTTCTTATACAAGATAAGGAAGGTTGGTCTAGAATAGATGCCTTCCCCTTGCTTGCTTCTAACAAGAAGAAAACCCTCTGCTACAGTTCCCTGCATTGATATGATTTTGATAGGAGTTTAGGATCTCTTCCTAAATGGATTTTGTCCTCCCCTTCTTACCATCTGTCTGCTCTCTCTTTATTGTACAAAAGCCTTGTGACTGCACCATGAGGTGAGTGTTCCTCATGAATTTTCCTTTGCACAAAAGCACTACTGCAAGAAGTAGAATCAGCTCCTGATGCCAAATCAAGCAGGCAGAGGATACTTTGTATAGACTGGGAACCCAAGCCTATTCCTGTGCATATGCAAGACTGAGCTGTTTATGCGAGGTTTAAATGTTCCTTTTTCAAGAAATGTGAAACCTACATTGACAGCAATGTACATTTTATATCCATTCAACGTTTCCCCTAGCATTAACAATATTTGGATATGGCACAACTAGCCAGTACACTTTTGGCTTCTCACAAAATATGTCCACCTTCCATGACAATGAGAAAATACTCAGAGAACCTACTACCTGGAGAAATACTTAGCCACCGAAAAGTGTATAAATAAAATGTGACAATAATGGAGGAGCCAGGGTGGTCAATTTCATATCCTCTAATTTTGTCTTTACATTTAATTAACCCTGTTTTCTAATCACTCCTGTGATTCGCTGTGCTTCCAATTCATTTGAAACATTATCTTAATATTAAGGGCTATCCCCATGTACCATAACAACAACAACGGTATAAATAATAAAATCATCATCATCATGAAGTATAAATAATCCTGTATTCCTGTCCCCTACATAATACCAGGTGCCACTAGGTAAAGGTAAAGGACCACTGACAGTTAAGTCCAGTCGCAGACAACTCTGGGATTGCGGCGCTCATCTCGCTTTACAGGCTGAGGGAGCCGGCGTTTGTCCGCAGACAGTTTTTCCAGGTCATGTGGTCAGCATGACCAGGGGCGCCGACTTGTAAAAAATATTGGGGGGGCCCATACCGGGGTCCTGCCCCGGGAAGTTTTCTAAGTTCCCCGCCGGGCGGGGCTGCTGCAGAAGGGTGAGTGGCGAGGGCGGGACGGGGCCGCGCGCTCCTTTCCTCGGCTGCCCTCGTCGCGCGCCTTGGCTCCCGCGGCCGGCGAGGGGAGCCCGGGCCGCGCGCGGCTGCTGCTGCCGCCGCCTCTCCTGGGGGCGCCGCCTCCCCGGGCGGGAACGCTGCGGGTGCGCGAGGGAGGAGGGCGGCCCCCGGGGGCTGGGAGAGCCGGGCTGCCGTGGCCGAGAGGGCTGCTCTGCCGGGCGCCGCTGAATATAACTAATAATTTTGTTAAATTATTGGGGGGGCAGAGCCCCCCCAATAAAATTTTTGAGGGGGCTCGGGCCCCCTCAGGCCCCATGGAGTCGGCGCCTATGACATGACTAAGCTGCTTCTGGCGCAACGGAACACCGAAACTAGAGCAGTGCACGGAAACGCTGTTTACCTTCCCGCCGGAGCGGTATCTATTTATCTGCTTGCACTTTTTGGCGTGCTTTTGAACTGCTAGGTTGGCAGGAGCTGGGACCGAGCAACGGGAGCTCACCCTGTCGCGAGGATTCAAACCGCCGACCTTCTGATCAGCAAGCCCAAGAGGCTCAGTGGTTTAGACCACAGTGCCACAAAACAACAACAGAGGAATAAGAAGGCCAAAAAGTGTGCCTTAAGTGTCTCAAAATAACATGTGGATCAGGAGGAAAATGTAGTGCTTATCATACTGATGTTTCAGGCACTCTGCAATAGGTGTTCATAACACACTTGTTTTCTGAGAAAGCTTTGCTTTTAATTTCCCCCAAGCCAGGAACGCTCCCAGTGAGCTTTTTACCATGGGAAAAGCTGTGGCCTGCAGTGATTGAGCCAGTGCCCAACATGAATATACACATTGAAATGTATGGCTGTATGGCAGGAATGCTGTTTCTAGGTAGCCTGGGGGCATGAGCCCTGAGCCTTTTCTGCCAGACCCTAGATCTCCTGTCCCGTTAAACTTATTTTAGAAAACAAAAAACTTTGATGGCAGGGCAGTTGGACACACTGGAAACCACATAGCTGGGGATACCCATCCATGCACCATCTTAATTTGTCCAGAGAAATATACAGTCCTGGGTGGAGTAGGGAAGAGATGTGTGTGAAAGTGGTTGAGAAACACAGAGAAGGCATGTTAAGAGGAGCAGCGCACATGTGATGAAGGGGTGATAGCAAAACACAGTAACCAATAAATCAGCATAAACTAGTCCGAGAAATCGTAGAATTAAGGGGTCAGCCATATCACACCTGGGAGTGAGTATCATCACATGCGTTGCTCGTGATCATACTGGTTTTAAAAAATTTAGTGTGGGTTGGCCTTTAGTTAACATAATTTAAGTCTGTGGGTTTCATTGGGTCTACTGTAGGATGACAAAAGTTGAATATCACCCACTATCTTGAAGACAGATATTAAGAATATCATATCCCAGATAGAATTGCATGAGGCTTCTTGGATGGCTAAATTTATCAGGCTGTAATTTGGAGGAGGATTGGGGCATGCAACTAATTAGCAAGGAAGTGCCACGAAGCATGCGTTTATCCAGTGCATTCCCCTTGTTACTGTGAAAAGGCAAAGACGATGTCGTCCCACATCCAGAGTTAAGGAGAAGGGTTGTTAGGAATTAAATTACAGGAAATTGAGCTTTTTCTTCCGAAACGAAGTGTTCTGCACCGGGATAACTGGAAGATCGGGGATGCTATGGCTAAGCGGCGTCCAAAAAACTTTTCCTCTGCAAGAGAAAAATGTCCTACACGCCCCCCTCTAAGGCTGAAGCCTCAAAGCCACGCCTCGCACTCATGTTTCATGTTGTTGAATTCACGATCAGTCCTTACTCTCCTTTACGACCTGCTGCTCCTGTTTCCTCGCCCAGTTGCTATCCCTCTGTGCTGCGATGTCTGTCCCAGCAACAGAACGAGCAGAAAGGGCTTCAGACGATCTGATTTTCTACGTGAACGGCAAAAGGGTAAGTGGGAATCGAGCTTCCCGAGGACGCAGGAACAGCTGCTTGGGGGTATTTCCTGCTCTGACGGTGCAGCTTGAAGTGTAGCAAAAGGAAACTGCCTGTACTGTACTGCCCTCTGCTTCCGATCAGAGGGTCCCAGTATAGTAGATACCCCTCTTCTAACAAGACGTTTACCCCTCTTCTAACAAGACGTTTGCATTCTGCGTATTAACCCAAACGGCAGAATTGCTTCCGTGCCTGCGGCCCTAGGGAAAAACACAGCGGCAAATTACGTAAAAACCCTGGAAGGTCTGCATTTCACGTGCTTTGCAGGTTGAAACTAGACACCTTTGCTCAGAAGTGAATTCCTCTGGCTACGGTAGGAGTTACTGCTAAGCAAGTGCGCAGCTTAAGAGTCTCGTTGATATTAAGAAAAGCGAGTCAAAACTCTCGGCAGTCAATCCTATTTATAAAATGCCAGACTATAATGTGTAGGGTATAGCTATACTGTACAAATATCCTTTCGAGTGTTAGAATATTGCAGGAAATTCACCCCCCCTCCCCTGTTCTCCAGTGCAATAAACTCACAGTGCCAAGGGTGTGCATATTTACTAACTGGAAACAAACAAGGGCATTTAGATTTTTTTAAACATACGGAGACTTTTAACATACTGGCTGATAGGCGTGCAATAAATAAATGTTACACCTCCGCTGCCTCGGAATCCCAGATTTTTGGACTAAATCCCAAATTTTTGGACTCTTGGGAGGGGAGAGTGCTGTTGTTCTTTTGTTCAGATTGCAGACTTCCCATGGGCATCTGGTCAGCCCCTGTGACCTAGATGTGCCATTGGCGTGATCCAGCAGCTCTTAAGTTTCAAGAGCATTCTTGGATAGTGCTCCTTGATATTAGTTTCACCTCTATATCTTCCTTCCATTTTATCAACTTTGTCATTTTAATTTCGTTTTTTAAAAGGCCCTTATTGATTTTTAAAAGTGTTTCCTCACTGGCAATGCTGTTCTCTCAAGCCATCCCTACTCATCTGATTTCCTTTACAAAAATTAAAAAAGCAGCTTAGCTACCCACTATGGAAAAAAAGGGATGTGGGTGGTGCTGTGGGTTAAACCACAGAGCCTAGGACTTGCCGATCAGAAGGTCGGCGGTTCGAATCCCCATGACGGGGTGAGCTCCCATTGCTCTGTCCCTGCTCCTGCCCACCTAGCAGTTCGAAAGCATGTAAAAGTGCAAGTAGATAAATAGGTACCGCTCCGGCGGGAAGGTAAACGGCTTTTCCGTGCGCTGCTCTGGTTCACCAGAAGCGGCTTAGTCCTGCTGGTCACATGACCCGGAAGCTGTATGCCGGCTCCCTCGGCCAATAAAGCGAGATGAGCGCCGCAACCCCAGAGTCGGCCACGACTGGACCTAATGGTCGGGGTCCCTTTACCTTTTTATGGAAAACAAAACAAAAACATAAAACCTATACCCTGTGTCAGGGAACCTTTGACACTGAACTACGATTCACATAATCCCTGACCCATTGATGGTGCTTCTTGGGACTTATGGGAGTTGTAGTTCAGCAACATCAGGAGCGCCATAGGTTCTCCAACCTTGGTCCAGACCTGAGCCTACCTATACCTACATTTCCCAGAAGCCTTAACTAAACTACAGTTCCCAGGATTCTTTTGGGGTAGCCACGACTATTAAATGTGGTACAGGAGTGCTTTAAATGTGTGCTGTGGGTATGACTATCTGGTTTTCACCCCCCTCTGCAGGTAGTGGAGAAGAATGCCGACCCTGAGCAGACATTGCTGCCTTATCTACGGAAGATACGTATCCTTCTTCCGCTTGTGGCAGCCCAGAATCAAGTCAACTGTTTCTACCACGTTTTTCACTCATCTCCTGTTCTTTCTCACTCTCTTGCCAGTGTGGTGTAGTGGTTAAGAGCGGTAGACTTGTTATCTGGGGAACTGAGTTGGCTTCCCCGCTCCTCCACATGCAGCTGGTGGGTGACCTTGGGCCAGTCACACTTCTCTGAAGTCTCTCAGCCCCACTCACCTCACAGAGTGGTTGTTGTGGGGGAGGAAGGGAAAGGAGAATGTTAGCCACTTTGAGACTCCTGAAGGGGAGTGAAAGGTGGGATATCAAATCCAAACTCCTCCTCCTCCTCCTCCTCCTCCTCCTCCTCCTCCTCCTGCTCCTCCTCCTCCTCCTCCTCTTCTTCTTCTTCTCCTTGCACTTCTTCACACACACCAAACAAATATGTCATTAAGCCTCCCAGTGCTTCCTTTTTTAAAACCAAAATGCAGGCTCATGGAAAGGAGTCTGCATATTTGCTTTCCAAATATTTGTGTTGTTGAATGTTCACATTTAAAACATTCTAGTGGTTAGAGAGTCTAGCCAACGCAGGAGTTCTAGTCACATGTTCCAATGCTTGTGAAGGGAACAGCACTATACCAAGTAATTTTGCTTCCCAACATCACATGTGCCAAATAACACGCCATCCTCTGTGCTTACAGTCAGAACATGGAGACATGATCTGGAACTCTGAGCACCTTGTGCACACAGCTGTAAACACAAAGGTCATGCCTTGAAGGCATGAGACAAGTGAGCAAAACATATTCACCTCGGACTGTTGCATTGGCTGCACAGGGCTACTGGAACTAGCTTCATTTGGACACTGTCAACTTCATCTGCCTGTATATTTTGTAGTACCATATTTAGAAGGGGAGGGGGAGAAAATGAGGGTTAATTCAGTTTTCCGAGGGTCTAGCATTTGGCAGCTTGAAAGAATAATGGAAGATTACTCTACATGCATTTAGATAATTTTGTATCCCAGTTCTTTGGCTTAATTCAGTTGTTGATGTGGCATAAAATTTATGCGGTTTTGTACTGACTGACTGTAAAGTTTTGTGGCTAGTTTGTAACCAGCCTGTGAACCACACAATAAACATAGAAAGGAAATGGAGGAAGGATGCTTTGTGTATTACATGAAGTCCTTTCTATATCAAAAGTCAAGAACATGAAGCACTGAGCAATGTGCATCTTGAAAAGAAGTAGTAATTTAAAGTGCCTTCAGAATTTTTGTCAGTTATATAAATGTGAAAATTTCCATGTTATAACATTGCTCAATCACTTCAAATTAATTTAGATGTCTTCAAATTATGCACGGTTTATACTAGGAAGGCCAGTGTTATTTAACATGAACTTTCCTTTTGTTTTTAGTGCTGGAGAGGTTGCACCCATTTTGGACTGCTGGTCATTTTCTTAAGTCTGATGATATGCTTGGATTTTATGCTTGGATTAATGATTTCAAACAACATATAAGCCTCTGTTATGAAAATGGAATTGCTTCTTTTTGTTCTGTAGTGCTCATTAGTTTGTAGCCTACTAATAATCTTTCCTGCAACAAATCAACTTTTGCACTTCTATTATTTTAATTGTACCTCATTTAACTCTTTAGCACTGACTTTCCCAGAATAAACTTGAGGGAGGAATCCATTGAATCATCACTTTGGAAACGCTTGTTTTCAGGAGTGATGGTCCCCATCTCCAACACAGTTTGAAAACCTTGCAGTCCAATGAAATGCGTGCTTACTCTGCAGTAAGTTTTTCTTAGATCAGTGACGCTTACTTCCAAGTAAGTGCATGCTATTACATCCTTAGTTTGGAAAACACAAACTTCTGCTTGTCACAAAAGTAACCCATGAATCTCAGTGGGTTTCTTTAGAATGGTCATCATCTCTCAACCTAGACTATGTGGCAAGTTTGTTACGAGAATAGCATTAGGACTGGGTCATATGACACCCTGAGCTTCTGGGAGGAATGGTGAAATAAAAGTGCAATCAACTAACCCAAAACAGATACAGTACCCTGTTTAAGCCTAGTAAAGGTCAGTATTGCAATCTGAGAGTGTTCCCCCAGGCTTCTAATCTTGAAATAATCTATGGGTGGGGATGTATGTAATCTGGATTTTTAAAATTCTGCTTCAAGGCAGAATTCCTGCACGAAATAAAGCTAAATTATGCAGTTGCGCAAATGAAATAATTACTTTTATTGTGTTATTTATTCTGCTCTAGTAGTGGGAAAATAGAGAACACCAAAATCCCTCGCTGCTGACTACAATCCTACTGAGTCCCACATCCCAACTTTGGATAGTTACCATAACTGGCTATTGCCCCCATTTTTTCAAGCAACCTCCCTTCATAGCCATAAGGGATCCCAGATAATACGCTTGTACCTTTTAATGTGTATTGCCATAGGACAAGGATGGGGAAACTGTGACCCTCAGGATGTTGGTGGACTACAAGTCACATCAGCACCAGCCAGCATGGCCAGTGTTCAGGGCTGATGAGTGTTGTGTAGTCCAGGAACATCTGGAGGACCAATGGGTCCCTGCCCATGTCTTGTTATATGTGGATGGGGTAAGACAAGTTTGTCCCAGGAGCAGTGGTGTTCCAGGTTAAAGCAGACAGAAAATATGTGTGGTTGTGCTCCAGCACGAAACATTTCCTCCTTAACTGCAGCTTTTTCAGTCCGTCTTACAGGTACCAAGTATGGCTGTGGTGGAGGCGGATGTGGTGCATGCACTGTGATGATCTCAAGATATGAGCCTGTCGCTAAGAAGATTGTGTATCCTTTTGAGCCAAGAGACTGGTAAACTGCACATTGCAACCGTCTTCCTCAGATGAGGAATATTGTTGGTTAAGTATGTTTATAGCTGTGCCATGATCTCCATGTCAGGGACTTGAAACCTGTAGCCCTCCAGGTGTAATTGGGCTCCCAACTCCCATCAGCCCAGGCCAGTATTGTCAATGGAAAGTGAATGCTCATGACTCTATATAGGTGATCGTCAATTTCAGCTTCAGTGATCTTTACATACTACTTTTCCGTATTATGCTGGAGGCTGTTTATGGGAAAGTGACAAAAGTATAATACAAAACAAACAAACCCAAAAACAATTGAGCTACAGTAGCTCAGTGCAAAAATACAGGCGGTGACAATTTTAGGCAGTTCCAACCTAAGTGTTTGAGGGACACGGGTGGCTCTGTGGGTTAAACCACAGAGCCTAGGACTTGCCAATCAGAAGGTCAGTGGTTCGAATCCCCGCAACAGGGTGAGCTCCCGTTGCTCGGTCCCTGCTCCTACCAACCTAGCAGTTCGAAAGCATGTCAAAGTGCAAGTAGATAAATAGGTACCGCTCCAGCGGGAAGGTAAATGGCGTTTCCGTGCGCTGCTCTGGTTTGGCAGAAGCGGCTTAGTCATGCTGGCCACATGACCCAGAAGCTGTCCGCCGGCTCCCTCGGCCAATAAAGCGAGATGAGCGTCGCAACCCCAGAGTCGGTCACGACTGGACCTAATGGTCAGGGGTCCCCTTTACCTTTTAAACTAAGTGTTTAATTTTAAATATATTTGTAATTATAATGCACACAAATAATAGAGGCAAATAATATACTTATAATAAATGCTAAACATATTTTCCTTTACAATCCAAGTCATTATTCAGCCAATGCATGCTTGATTCCCATATGTTCATTGCATGGCAGTGCAGTCATCACTGTAGAAGGAATTGGAAATACAGAAACCAGGATTCATCCAGTTCAGGTAAATGCATGCTGTAACTTGTGGGAGATTTTTTATTTACTCCTTGTACATTTCAGCAACCAGCAGTGCTGTGAATATTTATTGGGAACTGTCCAATTCATGAACACGGTTGCAGAGGGCCGAGTATGGTGCAGTTGAAGCCTGCATCCAGACTATTAGAGCACAGTGGCGTAGCGTGGGGGGTGCAGGGGGGGCCGGCCGCACCGGGCGCAACATCTGGGGTTAGGGCAAATCCACAGGTTAGGGGGCGCAAATCCATGGGTTAGGGGGCGCAAATCCACGGGTTAGGGGGTGCAAATTACTTGCCTTGCCCCGGGTGCTGACAACCCACGCTACGCCACTGTTAGAGCACATGCACATGTGAAAATGGCTACAGCCATTCCAGTTGTATCCTAGCTAAGTACATTTTAATACATCAGTCCATGGCACCAATCCAGAAAAACATCCAGCTTTGCAGGTTACTCTTGTCCAGAATATACAGAAGCTCCAGCCATTCATTCACGAAGAAAAAGAAAACATTGTGTTTTATTACAATGTTGCAGTGAAGGCAAACATACCAATGAGAGATCCTCACAATATACAAGTCTCTCCTGAGAGTGCATGCCTGTGTACACGCATGTGCACACACATACATACATACATCATGGTCATTTTGCTAATTTAAAATAACTTGTGGCTGAACTTTTTGTCCTTCGAGAGATGGGTAAAAATGTTTTTGTTTTATTTTACTTTAATTTTGTTTAATCAGTCTCACGTTTTTCCCAACATGAAGCTCAAGGCAGCTTACATAAAGTTTCTCCAGGCAGCCTGCTCTACAGGCTCTGACCTGACCTACTTAAACTCAGTAAGGTGGCTGCAATCTTCCCCCTCAAACCATGCCCAGGGGCTTTCCTAAGACCAATGGTGGACGACTACGATCTTTGTATTTTAGCTCTTGCTTTGTGATTTTATTATGGGGTTGTTATTTTTTAATGTGGGATTTAAACTCTTGTTGCCTGTTTCAAATTGCTTTTCTGATGTTGTAGGCTGCCTTGAGGGGATTCTTGGGTCTGATGTGGCAAACTATAAGTAATCAAGCCCTAAGTTTCAGACAGGACTACTCTCATGTGCAATACATATGCAGCACTCCTGAGCTTTCTGCTTTTTTCCACTGCATCTGCCACTTGAGGCCACTTGTTGGCTCCCTGTTTTAGAATAAACAAAGCTAACATGGTGCCTTCCAGATATCACTGAAACTCCCAACTCCCATTAGCCCAGGCCAGCTTGGCCAGTAGTCAGGAATGATGGGAGCTGTAGTCCAACAAGGTCTGGAAGGTACCACATTGCCTACTCGTGTTTTACAACAGCAATCGACTTATGTGCTGTTGCAGCAACACATGCAGGTTCCATAAGCAATAAGCCAAGCTATGGTGACCTTTATAACATTTCAGGTTCAGCTCCTGCATGAATCATGAGCAGGCTTTCATTTAAAATATCTGAATAATAGAATGTGGTAATCCTGCAGCAGGTTTTCCATTGTCCCAGGAACGGATTGCTAAAAGTCATGGCTCTCAGTGTGGCTTCTGCACCCCTGGAATGGTGATGTCGATCTACTCTTTGCTGCGCAACCAGATGGAACCCACGTCGGATGAAATGATGGAAGCTCTCGCTGGTAAATAGTTCGAAGATAATTTTAAACTCTGAATTGTTTTATGCTGCTTTTATCCGCTGCTTCTTAACTTGTATTTATATTGGATTTTTTAAAAAAATCTCAACATTTCATTTCTGCTGTTTCATGTGTAAGTTGCCCTGTAGATGGTTTTTTTAAGGGTAGCATAAAAATCTGTTAAGTACATAAAAATAGTGATATTTTTTTTAAAAAACTACATTTGTTTGGGTCTTCTTATCTTGAAGAAATAACCTTATCTGTTTTATTGTTTAATTAGGTAATTTATGTCGCTGCACAGGTTACAGACCTATTATTGACTGTTGTAAAACCTTCTGTAAGGTAAGGGTGTGTGTGAGAGAGAGAGGGGGGTGGTCTGTTCATCTGGTTCTCTTATTTCCATTTGGTATTGCTCTCTGTGACATAATTCTGCATTCACAGATTTTGGGATAAAGGGCATAGCTTAGTGGTAAAGCATTTGCATTTTATGCAGAAGGTATCGGGTTTAATCCTCAGCATTGCTAGGTTGTGCTAGGAAGGACTCTTGTTCAAAATCCTGGAGAGATGCTGCCAATTAGTGTAGAGTAGTGTTCTAAGATGGAACGATGATCTGACACAGCTTCCTATGATCTAAAGAAAAAAGGCCATGCACGACTATGAGGTGGATTGCTGATTATAAAACGAATGCATTGTTACATGCCTCCCCAATTTCCTAGTGGTGCAGGCACTTACCCTGGATCCATGTTTCCTTTTGGAAATTAGGCACAGTGTAGACTGTGGGGTCTTTATGACATATGACATAAGGCATATTTACACATATATGCAACCTTGAGGCTACAATGGAGGGGCTCCCAGCATTACACTTCAAGAAAGTCTTGCTTTTGAATTCAACCTGGGATTCACACATGGTTCTGACCCTCTCTTTCAGTGGTTTCATTGTACATGCTTAAATTGCTCCCATTGACTGTTTAACTGAAAATGTATTATGCCTTTTCTTTTTTCTTTATAAAAAGAAAAGAGAATTGAGGTGGTTGTGGGGCTGAATTCCATGCCCAATACCAAAATTGTTTCTGGCAATTCAGTTGCAGAACTATTAATATATACATAGATACATGAATACAATTTGGAGGGGCAGTTCCATTATTAGCTAAAATAAAAGTTCAGTCTAAGGCCTTTTTGGATTAATGGAAGCCATTCCACTTTTTGCTAATATCCATATTTCTCTTTACTGAATTTTGTATTTAGGAATCCTCTTGTTGCCAAAATAAAGTTTCTGGGGATTGTTGCTTGAATCAAAAAGATTATTTACCTTCACCAACTAATGAAAAAAAGGTAAGTTATTTGATTAACACACTCCCCCTTTCCTATTTTTGTTTGTTTGATTGTAACAATTGTTGGTGGCAAGAACAAAATCAGTATAAAAAGAGAATTCCTGGATGCCAAGATTCACGTTTGGGGCAGGTAGTATTTGGAGACAGAACCCCAGCAGAGATTGAAAATCACAAAATATGCAGCAAAGCGGGGAAATACATGTAGTTAGACCTTTAAAATATGCCCTTGTGAGTCCCTTCCATAGTTGCTCTCTTCCCCATCATAGAAAAAGACTACAAATTTGGTAAGTTAAATGGTTTACTTACAAACTCTCCAAAGATCAGGTTCATGTGCTTTTTCGTACATCTGTCAGAAAACACAGGAAGTGAAACTAGGCCTAGTTACAGTGGTGAAAGTTCCTTAATTATTGGTATAAGAACACAAAAAAGGCTTGTAGCTAAGCTGCAGCAATTGTTAGCCTCTTCACGAGCTTCTCAGGTGGACTGGGCTAAACAAAGGCCACTGTTCACGTAGAAGAGAATGATTCAGGTTAAACCCAAGAGCCAGAGAAAGTAAGTAGATGGAATAGGCCAGTGTTTCCCAACCGGTGTTCCGCGGCACACTAGTGTGCCGCCAGACGTTGCCTGGTGTGCCGCGGGAAAAATTGGCGGGGGGGGAATAAAGGGGGAAAAATTATTCCCCCACCGCCAGGCGTGGGGCTGGGGAGGGGGAAGCCCGAGCTTCCCCCTCCCCCAGAACGGGACCCAGAGCCATGCCGAAGCTGCGCGCAGCTTTGGCATCGCTCTGGGAGCTTGCGGGGCTGGGGGAGGAGGAAGCCTTCCGCCAGCCTTCTAACCAAGTCGGGGACAGCGGGAAGGGCGCGCTGCGCCCCTGCCGCTGTCTCCCGAGTTTGCGGGGCTGGCGACGGGGAGGAGCAGGCTTCTCCCCCCGCCAGCCTTCCAGGCAAGTCGGGGGGCAGCGGCAAGGGCGCGCTGTGCCTCTCCCGCTGTCCCCCGAGTTTGCGGGGCTGGCGATGGGGAGGAGCAGGCTTCTCCCCCCGCCAGCCTTCCAGCCAAGTCGGGGGCAGCGGCAAGGGCGCGCTGCGCCTCTCCCGCTGTCCCCCGAGTTTGCAGGGCTGGTGATGGGGAGGAGCAGGCTTCTCCCCCCGCCAGCCTTCCAGCCAAGTCGGGGGGCAGCGGCAAGGGCGCGCTGTGCCTCTCCCGCTGTCCCCCGAGTTTGCGGGGCTGGCGATGGGGAGGAGCAGGCTTCTCCCCCCGCCAGCGTTCCAGCCAAGTCGGGGGGCAGCGGCAAGGGCGCGCTGTGCCTCTCCCGCTGTCCCCCGAGTTTGCGGGGCTGGCGATGGGGAGGAGCAGGCTTCTCCCCCCGCCAGCGTTCCAGCCAAGTCGGGGGGCAGCGGCAAGGGCGCGCTGTGCCTCTCCCGCTGTCCCCCGAGTTTGCGGGGCTGGCGATGGGGAGGAGCAGGCTTCTCCCCCCGCCAGCCTTCCAGCCAAGTCGGGGGGCAGCGGCAAGGGCGCGCTGTGCCTCTCCCGCTGTCCCCCGAGTTTGCGGGGCTGGCGATGGGGAGGAGCAGGCTTCTCCCCCCGCCAGCCTTCCAGCCAAGTCGGGGGGCAGCGGCAAGGGCGCGCTGTGCCTCTCCCGCTGTCCCCCGAGTTTGCGGGGCTGGCGATGGGGAGGAGCAGGCTTCTCCCCCCGCCAGCCTTCCAGCTCCGCTGTCCGGGGCGATTTTAAAATTCCGCCCGCCAGCATTTTAAGATTGCCCCGGACAGCGGAGAAGTCCTCCGCTGTCCCGGGGTTTTTTAAAATGCTGGGGGTGGGAAGAAAAGCCCTTGTCCCCCCCCAGCCTTCAGAAGAGGTCGGGGGACAGACTGTCCCCGGACCTGGTCTGAAGGCGGTTTCCCTAGGAACGCATTAATTGATTTTCAATGCATTCCTATGGGAAACCGTGCATCGCAAGACGAAAAACTCGCAAGACGAAGAGACTTGCGGAACGAATTAATTTCGTCTTGCGAGGCACCACTGTATCCGGAGAGGCGGCCTTCAGGCGAGTTTTAATTTTAATTTTCCTTCTCCCACTTAATGCCCCATGCTCGCCCGAGCAGCTTGCAGTCCTCGGTAACCACGGCGACCCGAGGGAGGGGAGGGAACAGGGAAGTTGAGGGCTGCGGCGAGCCGGGATGACGTCAGTGGGCCGCGCCGCCTCGCCCTGGCACGGTGTGAGAGCCCCGGCTAGTGGTGCGAGCTTCAGAATAAGTGGGATCCGCGTGCGCGAGACCGAGATCGCGGGTAAGGAGCTCAGCCCTGGGCAGGAGGAAGCGGGGCCACGTGTGCGGGCCACATCCCCACAGAGAGCGAGCCTCCCCCGGCCCACCACTCCGGGCAGGTCCACTCGCATGAGGGGGCGGCGATGGCGACGGCCGGCAGCTTGCCTGCAATGCCATCCCTCGAGCAGGCGAGGAGCCCGGAGGCTACCAGATGCGAGTCCTCTTTCCCACCCTGCTCGGGAGTCCAGAGCACTTGGTCGCATTCAGGATCTAGAGTGGGGAAGCGGGGCTTGTGTCTGGGCTGGACACATTGGGCTGCCTGTGCCGCTCGACCTGTGGGGAGAAATCAGGGTGGGAGTCACGACCGTGAGGCAGGGCTGCCAAGTGTGGCAGAAGAGGACACGGCCGTCGCACCTGTCCTTAGGTAGGAGCTTCTTCCGTGTCGACCTGCTGCCCTAAAGTCTTGGCTTTTTTCTTGGCTTTTTGGCGGTTGGCACAGAAGGAAGGCAAGGGGGAGGGGAAAAAATTGAAACTTACACTTTCGTGCGTCCCTCCCGGCGTGACGCTGCGCGCTGACGTCACGGGGCTGTAATGGTGGTGTGCCTCGAGATTTTTTTCATGAAACAAGTGTGCCTTTGCCCAAAAAAGGTTGGGAAACACTGGAATAGGCAAAGACCCATAGCACTTTTTCCTGCCACTGTATAATTGAATGAACCATAGCCACCCTAATATGAGATGATAGCCTTATGGTAATAAAGGCCAATAACAATATGAGATGATAGCATAACACAGTCACAGGGATAAATGCCAGTTCTTCGGGGCAAAGTCTGAAATCTACCCAACTTAATATTCAGTTTTGAAAATACACACTCTTGTTGATTTCAATGGAAATTCACACATGTGTGTACTGTCTTTCTCTTTTTAAGATTTGTACAACACTATTTTCTGCAGAAGAATTCCAGCCATTGGATCCCACTCAAGAACTAATATTTCCACCAGAACTCATAGTAAGAAAAATTAGCATACATACAGCATGTTGTCTTGCAGCTTAGAGCCAATTTCCACTATAATTTTAATGTGGTGATATTTGGGCTACTGGGTGAGTCGTGAACACTGAATTTGTGAAGAAGCTACTTTGTTCTGTCCCACGGGTCCAAATACAGACTAGGGCGAAAGTTTGCCTGACGCCCCGCAGGACCCTGTTGCAGGGATTCCAAAGAAAGATGCACAGAAGGCCAGAGCGATCGGCTCTAGGGCTTTAAATAAATCAAGAGACTTGCAGCAGTGCAATGCAAGGTTCCTTGCCACCGCACCTCAGGGCAGATGTTGTAGGGGCAAACACCATGGCTTTGTCCATGAGGGGCCATTTGTATATGAGTTACTTATACAAAAGGCAAGCTATGTAAGCTGGCAGCAATAGCCCAATTAACCATCCCTGGCTTAGAGACCTGTTCCCCACTTCCATCCATCTCTCAGATATGGGGGTGGCTGACAGGCAGGCAGAGTGAGGAGTCTCCCCTCTCCCAACTAACTGAACCAAAACTAAGATTTCAGAGCTTCAAAACAAACAGAAAATCATGTGTGATTTCACATCAATTAGTTATATTGACTACCAAGATGGTGTTTACAGGCCATTGGGGACATTTGATTCTATATGCAACCAGCCCTGATAGCTTTACTGTGTGCCCTGATTGTAGAATGCCTTACTAATATAAAGCTTCTGAAGTTGGGCTGAACTTAGCAACTGGTGAACCATCCTTTTGACCTGAGTTGGAGCAGCTGGCTTTGCCAACGTTGGGGTTTGCCACCCAGTAGCTTATCTACAACTCCCCATACCTAACATTTGTACTAAGGCTACCAGTGTGGTAGGGCAGCAGTGCTTAACTGACCTCCCACCATCCATGTTGCTGTAGTGTCCTGGGAAGGAGAGGGGCAAGGTCAGTGCAGTTCAAACGCACTCCAAAGCATATCAAACCTCTGAATCTGATACTGTTTTCCCTACAGAAAATGGCTGAAGATCAGACACCACAAACTCTTGTTTACCATGGAGAAAGGACTGCGTGGATTTCTCCTGTAAATCTAAATGAACTTCTGGAACTGAAAGCCAAGCACCCCCAGGCACCTCTTGTAGTGGGCAATACTGCTGTGGGTATGTAGATTCCATACATAAAGGAGCAGCTCCCCCACTATGAGCTATTGAAAGTCAGCTCCTGATTAAAGTTAGGGTGTAATCTTCGACACCTCCCTTTCCATGGAGGCGCAGATTGCAGCTATAACAAAGGCGGCATTTTTTCATCTCCGCCAAGCTAAGCAGTTGGCTCCTTACCTCTCTCGCCCTGACCTAGCCACTGTGATCCACGCGACGGTCACCTCCAGACTGAATTATTGTAACTCGTTTTACGTGGGGCTGCCCTTGAGACTGACCCAGAAACTCCAGCGGGTGTAGAATGCCGTGGTGAGACTCCTTACGGGGTCCTCGCTGCGAGATCACATTCACCCGGTGCTATACCAGCTGCACTGGCTCCCGGTGGAGTACAGGATCAGGTTTAAGGTGCTGGTTTTAACCTTTAAAGCCCTATACGGCCTAGGACCCTCGTACCTATGGGACCGCCTCTCCTGGTATGCCCCACAGAGGAACCTACGGTCTTCAAACAAAAACATCTTGGAGTTCCCAGGCCACAACCAGAGCCAGGGCTTTTCCGGCTGTGGCTCCGATCTGGGGGAATGCTCTGTCACAAGAGACTAGGGCCCTGCGAGACTTTGGCCAGAGCACAGCCTGTCTCCCTCCTTTGCCAATCTTCACAGAACTCTAGCCCAATGGTTGCCATTAATTTGATTTGAATTAATTTTAGAATGAAATTATTTTAGAATGTTGTATTATTTTATTGTTGTTAGCCGCCCTGAGCCTGGTTCGGCTGGGGAGGGCGGGATATAAATTATTATTATTATTATTATTATTATTATTATTATTATTATTATTATTATCATCATCATCATCATCTGTCTGTAGGCCATGGTTTCATGGAGCTGCTGTGATTTATTCTTTCTGTAGAATTTCGGTATATCCTGTTACTGTAATACCAGTATATGTATCACTGCGCACCTTGAGATCCCCAAAGGAGCCTTGCTTTGTGGCCCTTCATTTGCAGTGATCAAATCTACGAACTCACATGGTGGGATTTTTTCCCGTGGGGACAGCTTTTCATTTAAAATACTCTGCCAAGGAAATTCTGTTTGGCCCAGAATACACCCACACCTATACATACACAACACTTTTTTACCAGCAGTAAGTTTACTCTCTGATTACTGTGGTACATTTTAAACTTATGGTGGCATATTTTAAAGTGCAGCATTTTTATGTTATTGGATTTTCTCTACAGTGGTACCTCGGGTTACATACACTTCAGGTTACATACGCTTCAGGTTACATAACCCAGAAATATTACCTCGGGTTAAGAACTTTGCTTCAGGATGAGAACAGAAATTGGGCGGCGGCGGCGGGAGGCCCCATTAGCTAAAGTGATGCTTCAGGTTAAGAACAGTTTCAGGTTAAGAACAGACCTCCAGAACGAATTAAGTTCTTTACCCAAGGTACCACTATACTTTTAAAACATTCTCTAGATTGTTACTACCTTTAGAGTACTTCATATCCCATCTGTGAGTAGGAAAAGCGGCTCACAATTTTTACAAACAAATATTTTCAAAGGTTTAAATTGCAGTCAAGCAACATTCCCCTTCCTCCTCATTTTCACTGTTATCTTCTGTCCTTTAGGACCTGATATGAAATTTAAAGGTGTATTTCATCCACTTATCATCTCGCCCACTAGAATATTGGATCTGTATGTTGTGGAACGCACAGAAGATGGTCAGTAAACTTTCTTTTCTATCTTTGGGCCCCACTAGCAGTTTTAAGAGCAGTGGGATCAGTTTGAAAGTGCACACTGTGCTCCATTAAACAATTATTTTTTCCCCTTGATGAGCTCTGAAAAAGCAGTTCCAGCATGTGTTTTACTCCTGCGTTTTACTCTTTTCAGGACTAATTCTAGGAGCTGCGTGTAGCCTGACTGCAGTGAAAAACATCCTGACAGATGCGGTCTCAAAACTTTCAGCAGAGAAAACCAAGATATTCTCTGCTCTTTTGCAACAATTAAAAACTCTGGGTGGACAGCAGATCCGAAATGTGGCTGTATGTTTCCTTAATTGAAACATTTTTACAAATGTTACCTTGGATTACTGTTAACTGAGAAACAAATATTTTCCAGTTTAATTTGTTAACGTTGATATTGTAAGTGTTTCGTTTTTGTGTGTCGAAACTGCATTTTTCCTCCCCTCTTTTTGTTTTTAGTCCTTTGGAGGAAATATCATAAGCAGAAGTTCAACATCTGACATCAATCCCATTCTAGCAGTTAGCAACTGTATCCTCAATGTGGCATCGCAAGGTAGGACCAAATGCATTCTCAGTTTTCCATCCCACTTGGTATTATCCAAACCTTCCAAATCTCTTTTATGTATTTGGAACACATTGTAGGTCCCCGGGACGCCAGCTGCAGGCCTGTGCCCTTGAGGGAGCTAGGGATAAGGCTGTGGCTATGATAGTTGCTTGTGAGGATATTTCTTTCTTTCTTTCTTTGGCACAGGGAGTGTAAGCTGTGTAGCGCAATCCTATACATGTCTACTCAGAAGTAAGGCCCATTGAATTCAATGGGACTTTCCCCAGGTGAATTTGTATGGAGTTGCGGCCTTCATCATATTTTTGTTCTTTTCACTCTAAACCCTTTCTCAATAAGGAACTCTAAGGTGCCAGTGTATTCTTTTTACAAATAAGCAAATATCACAGTAAGGACTGGAATGAAGATCCTATTACAGTGGTACCTCTGGTTACGAACTTAATTCATTCCAGAGGTCCGTTCTTAACCCGAGGCGCGCTTTCACTAATGGGGCCTCCTGCTGCCGCCGCGCCGCTGGCACATGACTTCCGCTCACATCCCGGGGCAAAGTTTGCTACTAGGAGCATCTACTTCCGGGTTAGCGGAGCTCGTTACCCAAAGCATTTGTAAGGAGGGCAGTACGTAACCCAAGGTTCCACTGTATTTCACTCTAAGGCCTTTGATAAATTCATTCATTCAATAGCTGAGTTTCCTGCTGCCTGATTATCCTACTAAGGGCATGTTTTTGATGCCCACATCAGCTTTCTTTTTAGGGTAAATAGCAGCTTTTGTGGACAAGAGAGGTGATTTTCATCAGGACCACATCATGGCAGGGGACGGGGGTGGGACCCCTCCACCTGTAGTCCTAACCTGAATCAGGGTCTCCTGCGGTTGTGGTGCACACAACTGTGAAGGCCCATTTAATGCAATGTGTAGTTTGGCACAGCAGTGCTTTGTATGTTACATTAAGAAAGACGCAGTATGCTATCTTACAAACCAGGCTTAGTTGGAGAGCCAGTGTGGTGTAGTGGTTAAGAGCGGTAGACTCGTAATCTGGTGAACCGGGTTCGCTCCCCCGCTCCCCCACATGCAGCTGCTGGGTGACCTTGGGCCAGTCACACGTCTCTGAAGTCTCTCAGCCTCACTCACCTCACAGAGTGTTTGTTGTGGGGGAGGAAGGGAAAGGAGATTGTGAGCCGCTTTGAGACTCCTTCGGGTAGTGATAAAGCGCGATATCAAATCCAAACTCCACTGTGCAAAATCTCATGGGCAAGGCACACTTCTGTTATGATGAGAAGACTTGTGTGGCAAGCATGTTTCTGTTTGTTTGCATATGTTCTTTGCAAAGCAGTTTGTGGAACGTTGGAAGTTGCCTTATACGGAATTAGGACATTGGTCCAGCTAGCTCAGTGTAGCTAATACTGACAGGCAGTGACTCTTCAGGGTTTGGACAGGGGTCATTTGCAGCTCTACCAGGAGATGCCAGAGACAGAATCTGGGGCCTTCTGCAAGCAAAGCAGATGCTCTACTACTGAGCTATGGCCCTTACTGTGTAACATCCTTGCACCCTTACAAGTTTGTTGTTGTTGTTGTTTAGTCGTGTCCGACTCTTCGTGACCCCATGGACCAGAGCACGCCAGGCACCTCTGTCCTCCACTACTTCCTGCAGTTTGGTCAAACTCATGCTGGTAACCTCGAAAACACTATCCAACCATCTCGTCCTCTGTCGCCCCCTTCTCCTTGTGCCCTCCATCTTTCCCAGCATCAGTGTCTTCTCCAGGGAGTCTTCTCTTCTCATGAGGTGGCCAAAGTATTGGAGCCTCAGCTTCAGGATCTGTCCTTCCAGTGAGCACTCAGGGCTGATTTCCTTAAGAATGGATGTGTTTGATCTTCTTGCAGTCCATGGGACTCTCAAGAGTCTCCTCCAGCACCATAATTCAAAAGCATCAATTCTTCGGCGATCAGCCTTCTTTATGGTCCAGCTCTCACTTCCATACATCACTACTGGGAAAACCATGGCTTTAACTATACGGACCTTTGTTGGCAAGGTGACGTCTCTACTTCTCAAGATGCTGTCTAGGCCTGTCATTGCCCTTCTCCCAAGAAGCAGGCGTCTTTTAATTTCGTGGCTGCTGTCACCATCTGCAGTGATCATGGAGCCCAAGAAAGTAAAATCTCTCACTTACAAGTTTAGGTAGATATATTGAAATGCAAAGGTGTGAGACTCCCAAAAGCATTCCGACTTTGCTCTGGCACACTTCTTTAATAATTATAGGGGGGTGAAGAGAAAGTGATCGCTCCTGCCACCTAAGCAAGAAAGCCAACAGAATTGCTTTGAGTTTCTGCAACCTGCATGCATAGCTAGTCCAGAATTTTCCATGTCAGCCAAGCCAAAATGATCACTCTGTGATCTCTTTACAGTGCTTAGTATTTATTTTCAATTTGTATGGATGTTAATGTTCTCTGTTAGGGAGGCTGCGACAGATTCCTTTCAGTGACCTTTTTGCTGATGGACTTGGAAACAATACCCTGGAACCAGAGGAGATCCTAGTGTCTGTTAAAATCCCACATTCCAGGAAGGTCAGTGGTCTTTCCTTTTCCTTTAAGATTGGTAATTATAAAAAAAAATGTTAAATGACAATCCACAACGTGCATATTTTGGCAAATGTCAGTGTTTTTGCCACATTCAGATTGGTTTGGGACTGGAACATGATACATTCATAAATACGTGAACAGTCGTAAATGGGGACCGCAAGGGCAAAGTGCTTTCTTAATGGGACTGCCAATCCTTGCCCAGAGGCTATGCCCCCTGCTTCAGGAGCTCCAGGGCTTTGAACCATCTGTAGTGCGGACCCTGCTCTCCCCATACTCTATTCAGTTTGCTGTGAAAAATAGAAATCAAACTGCATGTATATAGAATATATAGCAGTAGCCTCCAAATTTAATCTAAGGCACAAAGACGGTCTGCAACCGCTATAAGAGGAATATAGCCTTTTAAACTTAGATTTGAATACGATCCAGGGGAGAAATTAGGAAAAACCTTTCTCCCAGTTTTCAATGGTCAGGTTGTGAGTGCCACTGTGGAATGTCCTGTAATAAAAGGTGGCATTTCAAAAGGTTGTAGCCCAACTAATCTCTCTCTTTTTATTCTGATTCCTGTCCCTTTCCAGGGTGAGTTTGTCGCAGCGTTTCGACAAGCTCCGAGGCGGGAAAATGCTTTACCTATTGTTACAGCAGGGATGAGGGTTGCCTTTGAAGAAGACTGCAACATCATTAGGGACTTGCACATCTGTTACGGAGGTGTTGGCTTCACTACAGTTGCCGCCAAGCAAACATGCCAGGCGCTCATTGGAAGGTACTATATGATTTCCTGTAGCATTGACACCTTTTAGACTGAAAGCTCACCCCAATGGTAGCAATTTCCTAAGGAAGAGGAAATAGATAAGCTGTGAGTTCTCAAATCCTAAAATCATATTGTTGCCGGATAAGTGCTCAGCATGCAGCAATTAAATGGACAAATTACTGTTTATATAAAATAGGTTGTAAGAATATTTCAGACCTTACTGTTCTTCAGAATTCCTTTTGGATTCATCAACACAATGGAACTATCTTTACTTTTCCATTCTGTTCGTCTTTGATCACACAAACTCACAAGTGGGCAAGCAGTTCAGTACCAAGAGTTAAACAAGTTCTGCCCTCTTGTGAAATTATTTTGTATTTTCTGCATATTTTAAGCATTTTAAATTTATGATGTCTTTTTAAAAAAATATGATGCATGCATGCAATGTTTAATGATTGTCAGTTGCCTTGAGTATCTTAGCAGCTACAGTGGTACCTCAGGTTAAGTACTTAATTCGTTCCGGAGGTCTGTTTTTAACCTGAAACTGTTCTTAGCCTGAAGCACCACTTTAGCTAATGGGGCCTCCTGCTGCTGCCGCGCCACCAGAGCACGATTTCTGTTCTCATCCTGAAGCAAAGTTCTTAACCTGAAGCACTTTTTCTGGGTTAGCGGAGTCTGTAACCTGAAGCGTATGTAACCTGAAGCGAATATAACCCAAGGTACCACTGTATTTCTAAATTTACATCTGTGCATATAAGTTAGCATATGCCATTACTTCCTGTGCTCTTAGGGTAGAGTCATGGAAATAAATGGACATAACTTAGTCAAGTTCATTAATTTCAGTGGGTCTGCACTGAATAAAACTTAGTTGAATACCATCCTTAGTTAATGAAATTGTCACTGTTTACGTTAACTAGATTTGGTGGACAGACTATACTTATTCTAGTCTAGTCTTATTTTGAAATGGAACCGAAGAAACAATCATTAAAAGAGTTGAAAAACATATGCAGCCTGACTCCTTGGTTCTAGCCCTCTATGATTGTTCTGACCTCCAAATTTACCACAGTAGTTAGGAGGGCTAGCTATATAGGTCTTTAAAAAATTAAACTGGAGTTTGTACAGTTTCAAACAGGAACACCTTGGGATGGGGGTCCTTTTTGTAAGCTGTATATTGTGCACATCTTCTTTAACCAAAATACAGAAATCAGATCCACTTACTTCATAGCAGAGGAAGATACTCATAACTAAGGCACCCCAAAATATCAATCCCCATTGGAATAGTGAATCTGCTTTGTTTCCTTGATGTACAATAACAATGTGCTGCAGAATGCATGTTTTAAGACTTTCCCCCATTAAGAATCTAATTTGTATTTTACTGAGATAACCCGTTGGAATAAAAACTTCATAATCAAAACTCTGGGCACTATTTTTGTGCTAGTGTAAGGCGATTTTCCCTCCCATGTATGCTTTGCTCTGTCTCCAAATCTGTTCTGTGGGGTTGAGTGAAACCCACCCCACAGACAGATTTAGGGAGAGGGGGAGATTGTACCAATGTGCTATGCTGAATACAGTCCTGTGCATTTAGAGCTGTGATCCTATAGGAAATGAATAGTAAGGATACAACTAGGTAAAGGTAAAGGTAAAGGTACCCCTGCCCGTACGGGCTAGTCTTGCCAGACTCTAGGGTTGTGCGCCCATCTCACTCTATAGGCCGTGGGCCAGCGCTGTCCGGAGACACTTCCGGGTCACGTGGCCAGCGTGACATCGCTGCTCTGGCGAGCCAGAGCCGCACACGGAAACGCCGTTTACCTTCCCGCTTGTAAGCGGTCCCTATTTATCTACTTGCACCCAGGGGTGCTTTCGAACTGCTAGGTTGGCAGGCGCTGGGACCGAACGACGGGAGCGCACCCCGCCGCGGGGATTTGAACCGCCGACCTTTCGATCGGCAAGTCCTAGGCGCTGAGGCTTTTACCCACAGCGCCACCCGCGTCCCAAGGATACAACTACTGTTGTTCTAATAGTAGATATACAGCTACTGTTTAGTGCCTGCTTACTGAGTATATATAATTACTTATTTTTCCAGACCTTGGGATGGGCAGATGCTGGATGAAGCTTGCAGAGCGGTCCTCAAAGAAATTATTCTCCCAAGTTCAGCTCCAGGTGGTAAAGTGGAGTACAGAAGAACTCTCATTGTCAGTTTCATCTTCAAATTCTACTTGGAGGTGTTGCAGTCACTGAAGATAATGGTAATTTTGATTTGTATTGATTCCTGTTTTGCAGTTATATGTGACCAGCCTGATTCATAAACTGTTTAAAGCCAAAGTGTTGGGTAAATGACATTTCCATGCCTGCATGCCTGCATAATCCAGTTCCATTTCTGGGTGGAATTGAAGGGAGCAGTCTCAGGGTGAGCAGCCTACCAAGTTATTTTAGAAGCTGCGTCCCAATCTGCCTAGTTGTTGTCTTGGGAGTATTTTTATTTATAATTATAATTTCTAGATGTTGGAAGGTGAATGTAATAGATGTTGAGCCTGGAATTCACTAAACTATATAATGCATTTGGTTTGTTTATATTCCATGCTGCATTTGCTTCTGATAGCATTTGGAGGAAGGGGAAGTCTTGAGACTATGTTTTGCCCCAGGTTATGTCTCTATGGCTCTGCTACTAGATCAGACCAAAGGCCCCTCTAAGTCTGACATCCTCTTCTCACAATGACCAATGAGGTGCCTATAAAAAGAGGAGACCCACTATTCTTCCACACATGCTTGCACATATCCTTATTTTTGGATTCTGTCCCTTTTTGCAAGGAGCATGGTATAGTTTATTTTTAAACATTCAAAAACTTATTTAACTGAATTACATTTACAGTGGTATCTCGGGTTAAGTACTTAATTCATTCCGGAGATCCGTTCTTAACCTGAAACTGTTCTTAACCTGAAGCACCACTTTAGGTAATGGGGCCTCCTGCTGCTGCTGCGCCGCCGGAGCACAATTTCTGTTCTCATCCTGAAGCAAAGTTCTTAACCCGAGGTACTATTTCTGGGTTAGCAGAGTCTGTAACCTGAAGCGTATGTAACCCGAGGTACCACTGTTATTGTGTATGGGGAGGTGTGTGCATGTTAACTTTAGAATTGAGTTTTAATTAAATGTTTCCTTTTTATAAAATGTGACAAATCATTTTCTTATAGTATCCTACTCAATATCCTGATATCCCAGATAATTATGCAAGTGCCCTTGAAAGTTTCCATACAAAAATGCCACAGAGCATGCAAAAGTATCAGGTGAGTAGAATTACTTTAGTACTACCCTATTACACAGAACCCATTATTTCAAAACTGTGATTTTGAGGGGGTTTGTAATATCAGGCTTTGACTTCTCTACGTGATAAGTTATTGCTGCCTGCTTAGAATTCAATCATCATCTTAGCTTTCTTTGTCAGATCAGTGAGCTTTGTTAGATTAGTGAGCTATTTCCAAGGTGGAATGAGAGGTGTTCCAGAGAGTCATTGATTTCAGCTTTTTTAGTCTATACATTGAAGGACTACGGAAGCTAAGGGAAACACAGTCTGCTTTCATGCTAGGTAGAAGTCTCGTTCACTTGCATGTTATGGTAAAAGTATTAGGTAAAAGTTTGGCACTAGCTTGACTGAAAGAGTTGAACTAAAACATAATGTGGATAAGCCCTGATTTCTCTTCCTTACAGTTTAGGATGCAGTTTATCTCATTGTGATTCCAATTTGGGGGGTGGGGGGTGGATTGTCGAAAGGAGAAATAGTTTGCATTAAAAAGAAAAAAAAGTTAAAGCAAAGGGTCATCTTGACTTTTTTGTAGTTGATTTGTGGTTTCCTTTTCTTTCTTTCTTTTAATTAAAAAGGATGTGGAGCCAGGACAGCTTCCTCAAGATCCCGTAGGACGTCCAGTCATGCACCAGGCCGGTACTAAACATGCCACAGGGGAAGCTATTTATTGTGATGACATTCGCACCGTTGATGAAGAACTCTTCTTGGCTTTAGTAACCAGTTCTAAACCCCATGCAAATATTGTGTATGTGCCGCAATATAGAAAACTATATATATTTTGTGTGTGTATGTGTGTGTGTGCCACCTGCCCCTTCATGGATCACTGCCTTGTTGTGGCAAAGGGGCTTTAATAACCCTAAGAAGCTAAGAGCTATGCCGTGCAGGGCCACCTAAGACAGACAGGTCATAGCCCAGAGTTAAGACTAAATGTGATCCACCTGGAGAAGGAACTGGCAAACCACTCCAGTATTTTGCCAAGAAAACTCCACGGACATGAAAAAGGAGAAGCTTTGAGAAGAAAGTGAGAGTTTCCAAGGCATGCTCTGGTTCATGGGGTCACGGAGAGCCGAACACAACTAAGACGGCTAAACAACAACAATATGCCACCTGATCTTATAAGATAAGAAGTCGTGGTGTATAACAATAAATTCAAGTACAATATAACGGAAAACACTGTAAAAACAATACAAAATAAGCATGATGTGGCATGTAATAGCTGCATGTAACCCAAATATGAGGGAGGTACAGAGTAGTAGTAGTAGTAGTAGTAGTAGTAGTAGTAGTAATAATAATTTATTTATTTATTTATTTATTTATTTATTTATTTATTTATTTATACATACCCCGCCCATCTGGCTGGGTTTCCCCAGCCACTCTGGGCGGCTTCCAACAAAACACTAAAATACAATAACCTATTAAACATTAAAAGCTTCCCTGAACAGGGCTGCCTTTAGATGTCTTCTAAAAGTTTGGTAGTTATTTTTCTCTTTGACATCTGGTGGGAGGGCGTTCCACAGGGCGGGCGCCACTACCGAGAAGGCCCTCTGCCTGGTTCCCTGTAGCTTTAGCTTTGCTTCTCACAATGAGGGAACCGCCAGAAGGCCCTCGGCGCTGGACCTCAGTGTCCAGGCAGAACGATGGAGGTGGAGACGCTCCTTCAAGTATACTGGACTGAGGCTATTTAGGGCTTTAAAGGTCAGCACCAACACTTTGAATTGTGCTCGGAAACGTACTGGGAGCCAGTGTAGGTCTTCACCCCCTTCCCTTCCCTGCCCCCCCCCCAGTTTCCTTACCAGTCCCGTCTCCATTTCAGTGTCGAAGCGACACATCCCACTGCTTCCCCACCCCAGTCCCATAGCCCCTTTAGTCTTTGCCAGCCCAGTGTCCCCTTGGCACATCTCATCCTCATTCTGCCACGTACCTCCTTTTCTCCCTGCCCTTGTCCCAGCAACCTATGAATAATTGTTTCTGCTCTTATTGTTAGTTAACTTGCTTGCACTACTTCTTGCAGATCTATTGATTCTTCAGAAGCTCTCAAGGTGTCAGGGGTAGTTGATATCATTTCTGTTCAGGATGTCCCAGCGACTAATGAGTTCTACAACTATGATGTCCCAGATATTGTGTTTGCCAGAGAAAAGGTATGCCACGTTTAATCATTAACAGTTCATAGTTATTTAAACTATTTATTTTAATTTTGTTAATCTAAATAAGAATTGACTCATTCTCCATTGTATATATACTTTGTTTTTTGTTTGAATATTTGTTTCTGTTGCATTATTATTTAAGTGTTCACTGATTTGTCTCACTTTTTATCTCTCTAATATTCCCCTGCCAGGGACAGTATGTGACAGTTTCTTGACTGGGCTTCATTCACAGAGTACCGTATTTTTCGCTCTATAACACGCACCCAACCATAACACGCACATAGTTTTTAGAGGAGGAAAATCCGTAGGCATGCCACCCGTAGGCATTTCCTCCATAACACGCACAGACATTTCCCCTTACTTTCTAGGAGGAAAAAAGTGAGTGTTATGGTGCAAAAAATACGGTACTTTTTCACACTGTCTCTCAGTTCATGCCTGGCTAATGAAAGTAAAGTGTGGGACAATTGGGAAAAGTGCAGCTTTCAACTAGCTCCTGAAATTATGCAGATCCCACAGTTTGGTTTGTGTACCAGTATGCAACCAGCAAACCAGTGACTTGCTCTGTTAATTATACAAGTTAGTTGTGCATCAGTGTGGAGCCAATATTGAACCAACATATATATTTGTGCTGAGGTTTAGGATACACACTTTTTTATATAAAAAAGAGATAACTTTGTATATGTATGTAGAGTATGCCCACTATTTACACAGGGGTTAAATTCTGGGGATAACTACTAAAACCAAAATCATGTATAGTCTAACACGCTGGGGGACTCAGCTATACAGCTGCAAATAAAACTTTTAAGTGCAATATACAATGTGACACTAGATGGCGATGGTGAGCCTTATGGAAACGCTTTTTTAAAAAGCATTTTCAGAATGGTTTTTATGTGTGTGTGGATTCCACCTGGGTTCAATGGCAGGTGGATCGCCAAAGTCATTTCCCCCAGAATTCTGCCCCCTTTTTATTTTTAAAATTACCACATGCATAAAGCTGAAGGCACACTAGTTAAATGTGTGTAAATTGTGGGCTTACTGCAGTTTCATCAGCTTTCTGTAGAATATGTGTGTCCAAAAGTTAAGAGGCTGGTTTTCTCTGGTTTTCAGGTGACTTGTGTGGGTCAGATTGTCTGTGCAGTGGTAGCAGATTCAGATGTTCATGCTAAACAAGCAGCTGCAAAAGTGAAAATACAGTATGAACTTCAAGAACCTGTGATCCTGACCATTGAGGTAAAGAACAGCCTTTTCTTAACTGCTGCTGTGATAAAAGCTATTTTGTACTACTAGTTATTTCTATTAAAATTCCAGGTGTCTGATTCAGTCCACAACCCAGTTAAATCAAATTACATTGATTTAAAATAATCTAGTCCCATTGTAGGGCTAAGTAGGCCTACAACCAGATATTCGGATTTTACTAATTTCCATATTGGCAGTCAGTCTGTTATAACAGAAGAACCAAGAGTGTCCTGTGGCACTTTAAAAACCGAGACATCTTATGATGGTATAAGCTTATTGTGCCCTAAGCTTTGTTGCATTTTATGGAGCAGACTCTAGTAAACAGAAGCTTATGCCATAATTGACTTGGTTAATCTTTCTCTTTTTTTATTACTTTTATATTGATTTTCAAAAACAAAACAAAATTAAATAAAACTTTAACTTTAACATTCAACCTTTTTTATCTTCTTATTTACCCTGCGCAATTTTGCGCCCGGACTTCCCCCCTTCCCTGCTTTGGTTTTCCCAATTTAGACTTGGTTAATCTTTCAAGTGTCACAATACTCGTTGTTGCTTCTGATTTTACTGCTCCACAGCCTGCCCTGTAAATTGTGTATTTGGGCATGTCTATATTAAATATTCACAATGCATAAAAGTTTAAATATTGTGGCTTTCCCTCAAGGGGTGCTGGCAGTTTGTTCAAAATAAACAGGTAGGGTTCTGAGCTTAGGTGTATGTCTCTTCTGTTGCTGCAGGAGGCAATAGAGCACAATTCATTCTTTGAACCACAGAGAAAACTGGAACGAGGAAATGTGGAGGAAGCATTTAAAGTCGCCGACCATGTACTTGAAGGTAAATCGCAGCCTGCTGATTCAAAACCTTACCGTGAAAGCCACAGAACAGACACCCCACCATTAGCAGCAGGTGTGGGGAACATTTGGCCCTCCAGATGTTTCTGAACTGAGACTTCCATCAGCCACAGCAAGCGCTGCCAGTGATGATGGGAGCTGGAAGTTCAGCAACACCTGGAAATCTAAAGTCTCCTTGTACCTGATTTACACCCCACTCGTCAGTGCACTTGGACTGAACACAATACAAATCCATGCCTCCCAAACTTGCGAATATACAGTGGTACCTCGGGTTACATATGCTTCAGGTTACGTACGCTTCAGGTTACACACTCCACTAAGCCAGAAATAGTGCTTCAGGTTAAGAACTTTGCTTCAGGATAAGAACAGAAATCGGGCTGGGGTGGCCCGGCGGCAGCAGGAGGCCCCATTAGCTAAAGTGGTGCTTCAGGTTAAGAACAGTTTCAGGTTAAGTACGGACCTCCGAAACAAATTAAGTACTTAACCCGAGGTACCACTGTAGTTAATGCACCATACAATGTCAGAAACAGCTATTTGTTCGATTTGAATATATACCTTGTCAGAATGCAGGTGCTTAACCTAATTCTCACACAGGCAATAATTTGTAACTTCTGCATACAGGCAGACTTTTAAAGGCCCACCTGATTAGTTGTGCCTCATAATTTCTGCCATAGAGAAGTGCAACATCTGCATCCTTTCTTACTGGTGCCCTTTATTATACTAGGCGGTTTGAGGCTTGGCATTTCTAAGATTGCAAAAATGAACATTTGTCTACAGTTATGCACAATGCAGTGTGGCTTTTCCTCCACTTTCTTCCCAGTCTCAAGAAAGCCAGGCTGCACACTTTTGGATGTACTGATTTAAGATGTTCTCTTTTTGAAACAGGCGAGATCCATGTTGGCGGACAGGAGCACTTTTATATGGAGACTCAGAGCATTCTTGCTGTTCCAACAGGAGAGGATAAAGAAATGAACTTGTTTGTGTCCACCCAGCATCCAGCATTTGTACAGGTTAAGAGAGCTATCTCATAACATGTTGCACAAGTGACAGCCACGTTCTCTGTGTCTTAAAGCCCTATGTTTATTGGGCTCAGCATATCACTTCCTCTCTTATGGGCTCCCACTGATATTTTGCTGCTACCTGGAAATCAGGATGCTACCCTGGAGAGGAGCTCCAGAATGGGCTCTTTCTTACACCTGCCGCCGGGCACGCGGGGCGCCCTGAAGCAGAGTGCCCCTCGCGCCGGGCAGACATCCGCAGCGTGGGGAGCCCTGCAGGAGTTCTCGCAGGGCTCCCCACGCTGCGGATAGCAGCGGGCCGCCCTGAAGCAGAGCACCCCGTGCGCCGGGCAGACATCGGCCAGCCCCACAAGCTCAGGGGACAGCTGGGAGGCGCAGCGCCGCCGTACCGCTGTTCCCCGACCTGGTTTTGGGGGGGAAATAAAGGGGGGAAAAATTCCCTTTATTTCCCCCCAAAAAAACTAGGTGCGTCCTATGGGACGGAGCGTCCTATGGGGCGAAAAATACGGTAAATTGCTTTCCGCAGGTAGGAAACAATAGACTCACATAAGCCTTCAGCTATGATTAATTTGCGTTTATCAATCAATCAATCTTTATTACGGTCCAGAGACCCAACAAATTTGCAATTTGATTGAATTTGCATTTATAGCAAAGCTGGTGCCTTACCTGATTCTGCTAATGTTCAACCACTTTTGGAGAAGATTTAGGAGAAAAACAACAACCAGCCTCTGAAGTATTTCTGTTGGTCCAATATTTAGAAAGGGTTTTTTTCCCCTTTTACTTTTTTAACCTATGTGTTATCCCGAATTTGAGACACCTCTGATTGTACCGGCATAATAAAATATTTGGTTTTGTGCAGGAAATGGTGGCCTCCTGTTTAGGCATCTCAAGCAACAGGATCATGTGTCATGTGAAACGAATCGGAGGGGCTTTTGGTGGAAAACTGTTGAAAACAAGTCTTCTGGCATGTGTTGTTGCTGTGGCAGCTAAGAAGTAAGTGTGTATGTGTGTGTATATATACGATAGCTCATGAAGTTGTCTGTCAAAGCAGTGGAATTGGAGGGGATGGGAAATTAAATAATGAATAAGGCGGGTGAAACATCCATCCCATTTTCAGATGCTAATTGGAACACAGTCAACAAGCTTTTAGAAATTGGAACGTATCTATTTTGATACTTAAAGTAGTATTGGATGGATTTAAATGCCAGGAAGGAATTGTCATAAAACTCTTGGCAAATGTAGAGGAGGTGTATATGGCTTGCCATGCTGTGCTGAGACCAACAGAGCTTCTGTTGAGACAGTAGCATCGTGACTCATTGAAATAGATAATGACAGGATGTCTATTGTAGCCCAAAGCAATGGGTTGTTGTGCAAGTGGTTCCTATCTCGAAGAAAGGCTGTGTTTTGGATACAAAGCCACCATTTCAGATTTTAGTGGCAAGAGATATATTTCACGGGTGCTGGACATCCTCATCTAAGGATAAAACTAAATTTCAAAAAGCTGTGTATGTTAAGAGGTTTTGTTGTGATTACCGTATTTTTCGCTCTATAGGACGCACCGGACCATAGGACGCACCGGACCATAGGAAGGGGAGAACAGGGAAAAAATAATTCTCCCCCTCTCTGCTCAGCGCCCCTTCAGCGAAGTGGCAGGAGTAACGGAGCCCCTTCCATTTATCCTCCCGCTTGGCTGAAGGGGCGCTGCGCAGCTCTCCCTCTCTGCTGAAGCCAGGAGAGCGAAGTCTTTGGAGTGCAGCAGGGCCTCGCGCTGCGCTCCAAAGGATTTGGGTTCCTTTGGCTGAAGCCAGGAGAGTCTTGCTCTCCCGGCTTCAGCAAAAGGAACCCGAAGCCTTCGGAGCGCAGCACGAGTTCCCGCTGAGCTCCAAAGGCTTCAGGCGGCTATCCCTGAAGCCTTGAGAGCAAGAGGGGTCAGTGCACACCGACTCCTCTCGCTCCTTGGCTTCAGCGAAAGCAACGTGAAGCCTTCAGAGTGCGGAGGGAGCACTCCCTCTGCCCTTTGGAGGCTTCACGTTGCTATTGCTGAAGCCAAGGAGCCTGCATTCGCTCCATAGGACGCACACACATTTCCCCTTAATTTTTGGAGGGGGGAAAGTGCATCCTATAGAGCGAAAAATACGGTGATTTTTTTGTACCTCATAAAATATAGCCGTGTTACCAAGGTGAGATCAATTGGCCTTATTCTTTTTTTAAACAAAGGGATTTATACTTTTTGCTGTAGCTGCTAACTACATAGGCCAGGGGTAGCCAGTGTGACGCCTTCCAGAGGTTTTGGGCTACCATTCCCATCACCATAAATGATAGTTAATGTTGGGATTTCACATTGCAAGCCTGTTCATGTTTACTGAGAAGGAAGCCACATTAAGGGACTGGGGCTTGCTCCCTGATTAAGTTTTTCATTTTATTAAAAAAATAGCATACTTATTCAGCTCATTTAATTTAAAGGTTTTGTCTCCTCTGGATTTCAGCCATGATAATAGCTATTCTCTGTGCGTGTGCGCTTGGTATGCGCGGGATCAGTACTGGAACTATTTCCTTAGATGGTAGCATGTGAATAAAATGCTGAAACATGCTCAAAGTTGGAAAGACAAGCATCCAAAGAATTGCTGAAGCATTTATTTGCTGCATTTATATTCCACACCAGAAGCACTATAGAGTTCCTGGGGCAGTTTACAATTTTTTTAAAAAATGCAGTGTCATGCAATATGATAGGAACGTTGCCAAATTAAAAAGAACAGCACAGTGAAAACAGCAAAAGACTCCAGTGAATACAACCTCAAAGGAGCACAGTAGCTTAAAAGCACAACACTTAGCAGTCTGAAAAGTTAAGTACTTGAACACTCTAGGCTATAATAACATGGTTTTCTTAGAGCGAAACTAGATGGAATGATAGACACATTGTCTGTCATGGGGTCCCTACATCCTTTTAAATAGCAGCTGGCATGGAGTGAAGCTGCTGTTTCTTCCCCGGAGGTGCAAATCTGTAAATATTAGCTGGGCTGGTGGTGGAAAAAGCCATAGGGAAAGGGGTTAAGCCAAATCACCTCCACACACAATGGATACTATCAAAAAGAAAAGGGACCTACAGATGGCAGCAGGCAGATCCACACCATACATTAAAAGCACATAAAGTGCCCATTTAAAGCGCTTGGCTCCCCTCCCCTCCCCAAGAATCCTGGGAGATGTAGTTTGCTAAGGGCCCTGAGAGTTGTAGCTCTGTGATGGGGAAACTTCATTTCCCAGGGTTCTTTGGTGGAAGACATGTGCTTTAAATGTGTGTTGAACGTTCTTTAAATACAGTGGTACCTCGGGTTACAGACGCTTCAGGTTATAGACGCTTCAGGTTACAGACTCCACTAACCCAGAAATAGTACCTCGGGTTAAGAACTTTGCTTCAGGATGAGAACAGAAATTGCGGGGCGGCGGCAGGAGGCCCCATTAGCTAAAGTGGTACCTCAGGTTAAGAACAGTTTCAGGTTAAGAATGGACCTCTGGAACAAATTAAGTTCATAACCCAAGGTACCACTGTATATGGTATGGCTCTGCCCAACATGTTTAACATCACAACTAGTTTGGTGATAGTATAGCTCCCTTCCCGTTTGATCCATTGCCTATGGTTCAAGTATATGGTAGTAGTTTATGTGGTAGCAGTTATTATGAACATGGAGCAGGGGTTTGGTTATTCTAGATGAATAAACATGGATCATATGTGTCTGTCTGCCATATGATGTGCAGGGCTCCTAAGAAAATGTTAAGCTACATTATCATAAAAGTAGGCATCAAAGGGGCGTTTTAGGCTTGGTTACATAAAATACTTTTTTTTTTTTTTGCAAACTTAGAAAATAAAACATGTTTCTCAAAGATCACAAATTACACTTTCACATCTGTGCAAAAAGTGCTGTCTCTCTCTCTCCCTGCTTCAGTTTCCATTCACAGCCACCACTGGTGTGAACAGCTTGTTTTGAACTTAAAGAGCTCTCTCCTTTTCCTTGCATCTTTCATCTGATATCTCCCACATTCTACAGAAACCTGAAATCTGTTTGATGATTACATAAGTATTGCAGTGGCACTCATTGAGTTTTGCCGCCCGAGGCAGTAGTTTGAATTGCCTAGTAGGTTGGGGCAGCCCTCTTTGTCACTCTCTACTTACCGTAGCTATTTTTTTGTTTTCAGGACAGGCCATGCAGTTCGCTGTGTTCTAGACAGAAGCACTGACATGTTAATCACCGGAGGCCGTCACCCAACCATCGGCAAGTATAAAGTAAGCAGCAGAATTAACCTGTGTGTCAGAATTTTTTCCTGCTTCTCATCTTGCAAATACCGTATTTTTCGCTCTATAAGACGCACCAGACCACAAGACGCACCTAGTTTTTGGAGGAGGAAAACAAGAAGCCAGAACAGCAAGAGGGATTGGTGCGCAGTGAAAGCAGCAATCCCTCTTGCTGTTCTGGCTTCTGGGATAGCTGCGCCGCCTGCATTCGCTCCATAAGACGCACACACAATTTCCCTTACTTTTTAGGAGGAAAAAAGTGAGTCTTATAGAGCAAAAAATACGGTAAATGTGTACATAGAACAATGCACTTGCATCAATTGTGAATGCCACACATGTAGCTCAGAGGCTGAGCTGTGAAAGTAGAAAGTCACAGGCTCACATTACTAGAGGTCCTCCAGTCCTCTTCAGACTTTGTTGGCATTCTTCATTGCACTCAAGGAACGCAGTTATGGGAAAGGTATCTACCCACATGTGTTCCCTCACTCATTTGCAACATTCTTCTGCAAATAGCATCTCTCCCATGCAGGCAAGAAACTGCAAAGGCATGCTTGCCAGTTGCCTGGAGAAGGGACTGCACATGTACAAGCATAGCCACATTGGAGATGTGTGAAGTATCCAAACATGGCAGAGATTGACTCTGCTACATTCAACTCACACATTCAGGAGCTCCCAGCAAGCCATTGTGTTTCAGTTTTTGAAATGGTATGATGAGGAGTGTTCAAAGAGTGTTTGCAAAGAAGATAACTAAGACTTCTAGGTTTATTTGGTGGCTTCTATGAAGGGTTTCCATTCTGAAGGAAATCAGCCCTGATTGCTCACTGGAAGGACAGATCCTGAAGCTGAGGCTCCAAGACTTTGGCCACCTCATGAGAAGAGAAGACTCCCTGGAAAAGACCCTGATGTTGGGAAAGATGGAGGACACAAGGAGAAGGGGACGACAGAGGACGAGATGGTTGGATAGTGTTCTCGAAGCTACCAGCATGAGTTTGACCAAACTGCGGGAGGCAGTGGAAGACAGAAGTGTCTGGCGTGCTCTGGTCCATGGGGTCACGAAGAGTCAGACACGACTAAACAACTAAAACAACAACAATGAAGGGTTGGCAAAAGGCTGTTTCATATCTCATTCTTATCATCCAAACGCATTCAATGTATTTGAAGCACCCTGAACCTTATGAAGTTCTTTAAAAATGCTTTAAATATTGCCCTATTTTAAAACATCATCTTCCTCTTCTCACCTCTCAAAGCAACTTACAAAAGGATATACAGTGGTACCTCGGGTTACATACGCTTCAGGTTACAGACTCCGCTAACCCAGAAATATTACCTTGGGTTAAGAACTTTGCTTCAGGATGGGAACAGAAATCATGCTCTGGCGGCGTGGCAGCAGCAGGAGGCCCCATTAGCTAAAGTGGTGCTTCAGGTTAAGAACAGTTTCAGGTTAAGAACGGACCTCCGGAACGAATTAAGTACTTAACCCAAGGTAGCACTGTAATTATAATGAAATGACTGGATCTGCCTGTGGTCGACATTGCAGAGAAAATAGGGAAAGATTTGGCCTCATCTTCTGTGTTTATTGCAGGGAAAGCTATCCTTTTAACTGAATGGTTGTTTGTACATACATAATTTTATTTGTATGCCGCCTTTCCACAGTTCAATCCATGCTCAAGGTGACTTACAACATGAAAAAATACATAACTACAAAACAACAAAAGTAAATCACAAGGTCTAAAATAAAGATACGAAAAAAGAACAGCAAGCCCCACTCAAAAACCCCAAACACCCCCCGCAAAGACTATATTTTGCTGCAGTACCATTTAAATAATAGATAAGTGGAGAGTACCGGGCATTAAGCTCAAAGTAGCCTGTCCTTTCATTGATCCAATTTAGGTTGGCTTCATGAGTGATGGCAGAATCATGGCTTTGGATATCAATTTGTACTTGAATGGAGGATGCACCACTGATGATTCTGTTCTGGTGAGTATGTTTTAACCGGAATGATTTTTCATGTTGTACAATAGGAAAATGAACAAAACACCACCTTCCTATGAGAACAGTGGGGAAAAGGGCAGCTCTTATGAGGATGAATGCAATTTACTTATGTAGGGTGATTTTTAAAAAGCCGCTGTTCCCCTAGTTACTGATATTACCCTTGCTGGTACCTTTCCCAGGAAAATCAGAGGCTCACTATGTCAGGTTCCTACTGGAAGACCGGACAAACGCTAGAACATTATCAGTGGCAAAGTTTTTATCAGTGGTTGCAAGAACCAATGATCCCTATCTTTAAGTCTGAACAAAAGGCTTGTTTAACCTTGAGGTAGGCTGTCTGAATTGTGCATTGCTTTGTAACGATTTGTTGGGTCTCTGGACCGTAATAAAGATTGATTAATTGATTTACTTATGTAGGGAGATTTTTAAAAAGCCGCTGTTCCCCTAGTTACTATATGTTACATTATCACCCGTCCAGTTGCAGGAGTTCAGTTTACAATGTTTCAACAATGAAATCAGGTTAGATAAAACAAGAAAGGTCAACAATTAAATCCAAAACAAATATACACACACATACAAACCAGTGAAAATGTTCAACTTGCCCAACGGCTTTTTAATATAATAAATGTATGGTATGGCATTCACCATAAATAGCTGAGTGCAGACAGACTTGGGATATTTTGGCAATGTGCATTTTCCAGAATACACATTAGCTACAGTCACACACTTATCTGATCTTCATAACAGAAGCTCCAGCATGCATACACCTGAAGGCATGTGGAGGCGCATGGCCCGAGATGTGTGCCATCATTGGGGCATGGCTGGTGCGGTCCGGTTCTCTCCCTGCCCCCCATTTGTGAAAAGAGGCTAGTGTTAATAGGCCAGGGAAAGCCAACCACGGTGCCCTCCACATTCTGTTGGGCTGCAACTCCCATCGGCCCCAGGCATTGTGGTAAACACTCGGAGATTGGTGGGTGTTGCAACCAAACAACCTCTGGGGAGCAACACGTTGGCTCCCTTTAGCAGTAGCCATTAGCTTTGATTTGCTTTCAGTTGATTGTGGCACATGGAATCTGAACCTTAGCTTCTTTCTTGCCTGTTTGATCCCATTTTCATTTCTGTGCATTGTATTCAGTCCTTTTAACCTCTGCTCAACTTGTTTCAGCAAGAGACCTAGTAGCAGCACAGCACTAACCATCCCAGCTTCTCAGTGTTCTCCTTGCCAAAACAATACGCAAAAATGGAGGCAACAGCTTCAGGAGCTCCTGGAGAGGGGAGTGGGAGTGGTTAATGCCCGTATTAGAAGAAGGTCATCCTATGTTGCGAACGGCCCAGTGTTCTCTCATATTGTTGTTATTCCCATGCTCAGCTATTAATGAATGTTCCCCTGATGAAGGTTTCGGAGATAATGCTGCTGAAACTGAATAATTCTTACAAGATTCCCAATATCCGAGCTCACGCCCGCGCTTGCAAGACAAACATGCCACCCAACACTGCTTTCCGTGGCTTTGGCTTCCCACAAGGAGGACTCATTACAGAAGCCTGGATAACGCGCGTTGCAGCCAGATGCGGATTATTACCAGAGCAGGTAGATTGGGGGCGGGGAGAAAGAGAAATTGCATGCCTATGGTTCTGAAATTTTAAGAGTGAATGAAAAAGTGCACCTTGTTGCAAAGGGCATTCTGGGAAGAGGTGTGAGAGTGAAGGCTGGATGGAAGTAGCTTATGCACTCCCAGAAAGAAGAGACCCGAGTACACAGAGGAAATCTTTCTGAGGAGAAAGTGTTAACTTTCGAAGATTTCAGATAAACTAGGGACTGTAAGTTACTTTTCACAGGACTTTTGGGAGACTGAACTTTCAGAAAGCCTATCAGAAAGGAGTGTTAGGCTGAGAGGAAATGTAGCTGCGTCAGTAGGAGATAAGAACTTGGCATCTAACATTGGTTTCAGTACCATCAATAGTTTAATTGCCCTCTTGCTTTCTAGCGGTGGGCAGGCTATCAACTCCCTGCTCCCCACTTTTGGGACCCTTTCAGCTGTAATGTAGCATAAGAAATGGGCTTGTTTGGTTTCTGTATTAATAAGACCTAGATGAAAGCCACTGTTGAAAAATTTGCTTTCTCAAATACCGTATTTTTTGCTCTATAAGACTTACTTTTTCCCTCCTAAAAAGTAAGGGGAAATGTGTGCATCTTATGGAGAGAATGCAGGCTGCGCGGCTATCACAGAAGCCAGAACAGCAAGAGGGATTGCTGCTTTCACTGTGCAGCAATCCCTCTTGCTGTTCTGGCTTCTGAGATTCAGAATATTTTTTTTCTTGTTTTCCTCCTCCAAAAACTAGGTGCGTCTTGTGGTCTGGTGTGTCTTATAGAGTGGAAAATACGGTATATTGATCCTGGTCATATAATTAAGTCTCCTTGTGTGACTGAATCCTGTTTTTGAGGTATCCTGAATATTATTGTTTGCTTGTATTGATGCTAGCATTAATAATACTTTATGATCTGGTAATAGTTCAAATGTGTATGTGTGTGTAAAATATAAATAGGCCCAGTTCTACCTCTAGGCTGTGAAAAATCTATATAAGGTTTGGCTTTGGGTAAATACATCTTAACTCCCAAAGCACATTATGAATGTGGCACCATATTGCAGAATGTTGAGATACTTGTCTTCCAGATTAGAGAAAAAAATATGTACAAAGAAACCGGACAGACAGCTTATAAACAAGAGCTCAACCCAGAGAACCTCCTCAGATGCTGGGATGAATGCATGGAGAAGTCTATGTATCACACCAGGAAAGAAGCTGTGAATAAATTCAATAAGGAAAATTACTGGAAGAAAAAAGGGATTGCCATTATTCCCATGACGTTCCCTGTTGGATTTGGCTTACGCTCCCTAGGTCAGGTCAGTTTCTCTGGACACTGTACAAGAAAACAAGCATTGCTCACCTGCCTTTCTTGTTTTTATTTTATATTATTATTATTATTATTATTATTGGCTGTTTTCTGTTTCGTTTTCGAAAAGTGCTCCCTTTCACCGCAGTTCCCACTTGCATGCCCCTGGCCACACAACTTGAAATCTGAGCTATGTTCCCTTACAAGGGCAGACATGCTCCTGATAGGTGTGCCATGGTTGGCAGCAGTGTCAGTTGTAATCCTTTACTGTGCTTTGACTGTAGGAGGGCAATACATGGGAGTGGTTTTTATTTATGCCGTCTCCTTTGCAGCTTTCAGTGGTGTATTCTCAAGTTACGACTGACCCCCAAGCAGGCATGGAATTCCCACTAAGCACCATTCTTCCCCCACTGCAACCTTGACTTTCCTATCATCATCATCATCATCCTTGCATTGCTGGTGAATCATCAACATGGCAGTTTTACTAGCACTGTGTACCACCAGCAGAACAGCAACACCGTGCTCAAGACTGCCCTGAGACATTTTGCTGTCCACAAGGACAGTGCGTTTCCAATTCCACATACAGAAATTTGGCAGTGGAAGCTCACTTCAGCACTTCTGAGCAGGCAATGTCCACCACCACACATGAGGACAGCAGACTGGCTTAGGGGTGCAGGACAGGCTGCGTGTATCTCTGTCCTCCTATACCACTTCTCCCTACCACCCCAGCATCTGCTTGCCTGGGGCAGCTGCTTTCCTCTGCTTAATGCAAGGATGGGGAAATAATTTTTAGCCCTTCTGTCAACCTTCACGGGTGAAGAGGGCCAAAGGCAGAAGCTGACAGAGCAACAAGTGTGAATTTCATCTTTGGACCATTGGCTAGTTTCTACACACCCTTTTCTATCTTCCAAACGAGCAACAGCCAGCGTGGTGTAGTGGTTAAGAGCAGTGGACTCGTAATCTGGGGAACCGGGTTCGCGTCTCCGCTCCTCCACATGCAGCTGCTGGGTGACCTTGGGCTAGTCACACTTCTCTGAAGTCTCTCAGCCTCACTCACCTCACAGAGTGTTTGTTGTGGGGGAGGAAGGGAAAGGAGATTGTTAGCCGCTTTGAGACTCCTTAAAGGTAAAGGTACCCCTGCCCGTACGGGCCAGTCTTGACAGACTCTGGGGTTGTGCGCCCATCTCACTCAAGAGGCCGGGGGCCAGCGCTGTCCGGAGACACTTTCCGGGTCACGTGGCCAGCGTGACAAAGCTGCATCTGGCGAGCCAGCGCAGCACACGGAAACGCCGTTTACCTTCCCGCTAGTAAGCGGTCCCTATTTATCTACTTGCACCCAAGGGTGCTTTCGAACTGCTAGGTTGGCAGGCGCTGGGACCGAGCAACGGGAGCGCACCCCGCCGCGGGGATTCGAACCGCCGACCTTTCGATCGGCAAGCCCTAGGCGCTGAGGCTTTTACCCACAGCGCCACCCGCGTCCCTTGAGACTCCTTAGGGTAGTGATAAAGCGGGGTATCAATCCAAATCCAAACTCTTCTTATCAGTATTCAAGTGCATATTCCATCAAGGGAGAAGCACTCGTGGAGGGTGTGAAACATGGACGGCTAGGGACTTGTGTTTGGAGAGTGGGAGTGGCTTGGGAAGAGTCAGGGCAAGTCCTGGAGGCTTGCATTTGACTCCTTGGCCTGAGGTTGCCAATCCCTGACCTAAGAATAGGGCTAACACTAGTGCAGCAGATTGTAGCAGCAATCCTAACCTTTCACTGCAGAGCGTCTCTTTAAAATATATATATAGCTCTTCACTTTTAGATTGATAAAGACAGCCCAACTGAAAACATTTCTGCTCATTTCATGCAGAGTGCAGAGCCAAACTGTGTGTTCTTATTTTATGCAGGCCGCTGCTCTGGTTCATTTGTATACTGATGGGTCCGTGCTTCTGACTTACGGTGGTGTAGAAATGGGGCAAGGGCTCCACACCAAAATGATCCAGGTACTAGGAATTGCTTATCTCTTGCTTATGTGTGTGAATAACAAATTGCTTTAATGAGATTTTCTGCTGATTGACATCTTTAATTTTCTGCTTTAAAAAGATGGCAGCAGTCCATGTTACTTCTTGGCATCTATTTATTAGTGTCAGTGAAGTTATGCCAGATGAAATATAGTGGTCTGATCTCAAGATAAGGGTAATTACAAACCCAGTTTTAAATGAGGACCCAACCCCCCGTGGTTTCCAGGAACTGGAAGCATTACTGCCTCTAGCTGTGGCTAAAATGACTGCTCCCCACTTCAAATGGGGAGCGCTTTTTGCGTGGCCGCGTGCAGCCCCCTGATCCCACACGATTCCGGCAATTCGGCCTGGTTTCACCTCCCCGAGCTGGATACCTGGAGGTTCCCGCCCCACCTCAGACAGTAAACCAATCCCAGCTGGGGAGGTGTTGCCAGGGGAGTCAACCAGATAGAGTTGGGACCGCCCTGCACACACAATAGAGGGTGGAACTTACCTGGGAGTCCTCAGTCCCCTGCCCTCCCTCAGTTTATGCCTTCATTTTGCAGGTTAACATCTTCTTTACAGGTATGTGGGCGCTGCTAAGGTCATTGATGGTTGCTGTTGAAGGATTGGGAAGGAATTTCCCTGCATTGGCAGGTTTTGTCTTCCCCATAGCAAAGCGTCACAACTTTGGCAGTTTCAGGCCTTGGGCGGAATCCTTTAGTCTATCTTCCCTAAATTGGGGTGGGGGGCCGTGAAGCGGTGACCCATGCCCCCCCCTGTGGCGGTGATCCCAGGGTTCCCCATTAAAGGGGTTGTTTTGGGGGGAGTCACTGGCCATACGCTGATAGGTTGTCAGTGCTCTCCCCTGCTTTGCAGCAAAATGGGGGGTGGGCTCTCTGCTTAAACATACATTCACCAGAGCCAGCCCAATCCCCACACTGTTTGGACAACCCTGATGTTCCCCAGATCCCCGGCTGGGACTGGGAGGGATAAATGTCCAATGCCTAAGCCAAGGTCTCCCTACATCTGAAAGTTTAATAAAGTTGTGGCCAATTTTAATCCCATAACACGTTGTCATGAGTCATTATTCCACCCGGGGGTCACCTGGGGTCGTGGAGTCTCCGCCTGGCCACGCAATACTGCCTTTTATTTGTAGTTTTGAAGCCACATTGGGAACAATGAGCTAGTTAGGCTTGATGGACAAACCTGTCTGTTTCTGGTCCGCATTACTTTCACATGCTTTTAGCCATAATTTAATTCTGCTTCAACATTAATCTGCATTGGGGCAATAAGGTTAGTCAAAGAAGATGGTTCCAAGATGTGAAAGTTGGTGAAGACTCTCTTAACCGTCTGCAGCATTAAAAAAGGAGCAAAAATAAACAACAACCCCTCCTGACATCTCTTCACCTATCTTCAGCGTTACTCTAGTTAATATGCAGAACAGCTGTGATTATACACAAGCAGTTTAAATAGTTATCAGTGCCTGATACATGTACACGATAAAATAGGCTCTGGCTTCTTTGTATGGTCTATATACAGTAGACATTGTGGAGGAGCTAAACCTTAATCTGATTTCTCCAGCTATACCCCCTCCATGACCCATGGGAGTGTAGTTCTTCCATACAGTATTCTGCTGCTGAAAGTGGGGGGAATTTGGGTCAATGGCATTTGTTGAGTGTCTTTGTGAATGCCACTGAACCCCAAAAGACCTTTTACAAGCAGAACTATGAGGTGTAACCCTTTTGTGTGTGTGTGTATAAAGGTCTAGGTCAGGCTTCCTCAACCTTGGCCTTCCAGATGTTTCGAGACTACAATTCCCATCATACCTGACCACTGGTCCTGCTAGCTAGGGATCAAGGGAGTTGTAGGCAGGCCGAAAACATCTGGAGGGCCAAAGGTGAGGAAGCCTGGTCTAGGTTGCTGTACTTAAAACAGAATATTGTATGTATTCCTTTCTCATTCTAGGTTGCAAGCCGAGAATTAAAGATGCCAATGTCAAATATTCACTTCTGTGAAACAAGTACACAGACAGTCCCTAATGCATGTGCTTCAGTTGGATCAATGGGAACGGATGTCAATGGAATGGCAGTGAAGGTAAAATAAGATATTAATCTTCTAGTTAGTGCAAAATTCCAAGGTTCCAGCTTCTTGAAAGATATTCATAGGAGCTTACTTCTGTTAGATGATGATGAAATGTATTGATTTTTTTGAAAGACTTTCATACTAAGTGCACAAAAACGCTCAGAAGAAAGCACCACTGACTTCTTGAACACAGGTGCCTGGTTGTGTTTTAGGATTGCAACCTTAAATAACGTATAAACTATAATAATAATAATTTATTATTTATACCCCACCAAGCTGGCTGGGTTTCCCCAGCCACTCTGGGCGGCTCCCAACCGAATATTAAAAACACAGTACAGCATTAAACATTAAAAACTTCCCTAAACAGGGTTGCCTTCAGATGTCTTTTAAAAGTAAGATAATTGCTTATTGCCTTGACATCTGCTGGGAGGGCATTCCACAGGGAGGGCGCCACTACCAAGAAGGCCCTCTGCCTGCTTCCCTGTAACCTTACTTCTCGCAGCAAGGGACCCAGCAGAAGGCCCTCGGAGCAGGACCTCAGTGTCCGGGCTGAAAGATGGGGGTGGAGACACACCTTCAGGAGCTGAGTCTTACTTTCTCTTATTCCTCATACCTTGACTAACATTGTGTTTTGCAGAGAAGATACACGCTGAGATGGGAAGTGCTGGGAGTTTCATAGATTCATAGAATTGTAAAGTTGAAGGGATCATGAGGGTCATCTAGCCCAACCCACTGCAATGCAAAAATCTTGCACCCAATGTGGGGGTTGAACCCATGACCCTGAGGTTAAGAGTCTCACGCTCTATCCTGCAATGGATTTCAGACAGCTAGGTGGGAATGTACGAATCACAGGAACAGCATAGGAAACTGCCATATACCAAGTAAGACATCTGGCCCATTTAACTTAGTTTCGTCTACACTGACCGGGAGTGGTTCTCCGGTTTTTCAGGCAAGGCTCTTTATCAGACCTACCTGGCAATGCCAGGGATTGAACCTGTGATGCTCTGCATGCGAAGCAGATACTCCGCCACTGAGCTATGGTCCTTACCTGATGAGCATGCAACATCTGGTTAGTGCAAATTTGCCCAATTGGTTGTAGTACAGAAGAAGCCTGAATGAGGTTTAACTGATGCCCTTCCCCTTCTGGGTTGCAAAATTTAAGCTGCTCAGGACTGAAAGTGGAGGCTCTTGATTTTTTGTTGAAATAACCTCTTGGCAATGTCATAAAGGTAAAGGGATCCCTGACCACTAGGTCCAGTCGTGACCGACTCTGGGGTTGCGGCGCTCATCTTGCTTTATTGGCCGAGGGAGCCGGCATACAGCTTCCGGGTCATGTGGCCAGCATGACTAAGCCGCTTCTGGCGAACCAGAGCAGCGCACAGAAATGGCGTTTACCTTCCCGCCGGAGTGGTACCTATTTATCTACTTGCACTTTGACGTGCTTTTGAACTGCTAGGTGGGCAGGAGCAGGGACCGAGCAACGGGAGCTCACCCCGTCGTGGGGATTTGAACTGCCGACCTTCTGATCAGCAAGTCCTAGGCTTTGTGGTTTAATCCACAGCGCCACATGTTTAATGACTCCTGTGGTGTGAGCAACAACGCAGCAGTATGGAAAAAACAGAACCCTTCAGATGTCTTACATAGAATTTTTTCTTCTTTGTGCTCCTCCCAATGTCATCAGGATGCCTGCCAGACCCTCCGGAAACATCTTGAGCCCATCATTAGACAGAACCCTAAGGGCACATGGAAAGAGTGGGTAAGATTAGTTCTGTGGTTTCCATGGATTACCCTTTATATGGAAATTCCCAGGGCACATTTTATGTTTTTTTACTCCCTTCAGATCAGAAAGCATCAATTTCTTGCAGCACGGCTAATTATAGTACTGATGCATGTAAAACTTTAGCAACTTGTAATTTTGCTCTCTATTCCTGGTATTCTATAGTATGATACAGTTACTAGTAATTTCGGCATTGTCAGTCTTCACTTTGTTTTGTTGGGGATCATTTTATATATTTGGACGTTTCTATTTTGACCACTGGCTATTGACCATAACAAAGGGATTGATTGACTGACAGCAATTAAATAAGAAGCACCACAACAGACATTTGACTTGTATTAAATGGTATATGACTTTAGAGCCAAGGCATAACCTCTTGTTTTAACTTGCCTAGCTTACCGCAACATGATTAAAGAAAGAAAATGGAATATGAAGAATTTGTGTTTATGCAGGACTTTGCCCCTGCCTTTGGCAAGTTTCTTCATTCAGATTTGTTATTCACACTTTTATAAATGGGCTTGTTTTCTTTTCCACTGTCCCTTAAATTAATGCACTTAGTACAGAGGAGAGGAATCTTTCTCATACCAAGAACTGCTTTCCCCTGTGGGAAGTGGTGTGCACAGCAATTGATGTGACTCTTACCTTTGTAAAGGCAACAACATTGCAGCCGCACAAAAGCCACAGATTTCTGCATCCCCTCCCACCGTTCCGCATGCACATTTCTCCATACTTCATCTAGGCAAGCACAGGGTGTTACCACACCTGAAGGACACATTCCAGGGGGGATATTAGTCCACGGTTTGAGTGGACGAATTAACATTTAAAGTAAGAGCAGTGAGGAGATGAAATGAAGTACTGTAGACACATTTCCAGAAGCTTTATGGCGCACGCCGCTAATAAAGAAAGCAGCTTTTTGCCACCACCAGGTGCTTCTCTTTTGCTGGAGGAAAATATATAGCTACTAAGAATCAGGTACAGTTTGACTCTTAACTGAGCTAGTAAACCTGTGTGTGGTGCTAGTGAGAGCTCATGTACTGGGATGCCTCTCCATAGAAAAAACAACTGCTTGCAACTATCATGTCAGGAAGAAGGCTAGGCCAAACTTCTCCCTGAAACACTAGTTTTCTGGATGGATGGGATTGTTTTATTTGGAGGAGTATTCAGCTACCTGAGCTCCTACCAGCAGTCTTACTTCCTCAGTGAAAGCCTCATTTCCACAATTCTCATATGTGCAACATTCCATTTCATCATTCAGTCAACTGGAAATACAATTTTTTCTGATTGTATTTTATTAAGTTTCAACATTTTTAACATATACAATCAAAACACGATTTCGTCTTTTCTTTTGGTTGATTTCCCACCCCGTTTTCCATGGAGTTGTTTCTCCCCTTCTGCTGCCCCCTATATTCTATCTATTAAATCATAGCCACAATATTATTGCCTGATTACTTCTGTTACTCATAGCTCAAATCCTGCCCATGAGTTGATCGTCCAGCTGGAAATATTAATAGGAATGTCTTGGTTTTAGCATGGCCATGGTATCTTTTTTATACAAGATTGCTTTTTGAAGGAATAAACTTACTATGCTTGCTTGTTTTACAGGCCAAAGAAGCTTTTGAGCAGAGTATCAATCTGTCAGCGATAGGTTATTTCAGGTACTAGATATTAACTCATGACTTCAAGAAGTGACTGTCAAAAGAGAATTATTGTAATGAACTTGCATAACAAGGTAGCTTCTGCAGGGATCATGAATGACTTGAGCTGATACTTTTAGTAGTTGCATATACTGCTTAGACATAAGCATACAGAGAAAAGGGCATGTCGTGTCTAGTCTTGTACATGAAGGTCCTGAAGGAGAATGTTAGCAGCAGAGTTAAAGATACACTACTGTAGCCTACTGTTTTGCACTCTATAATGAACCATGCACACTGATGGCACTAAATTGATAAATATTTCAGGGAGGATCCAGAGGATCCTTCTGTGAGTGAAAGGCACTAAGATCCAGAAGATCGTCCTGCTGGAGAAAGATGCATTTTTTTTAACCAGTTGGAGAAAGAGGAAGGCTGCCCTATCTGCTTCCCAAATGATTCCAGAGACACTCCCAACTCTCCAGAGCCACTTTTCAGGCAAAACTCACCTGTTCTCCCCCTCCCCAACCCACCTCATGGGCTTTCTCATGATCTGCATTCTGCTTACAGTAACTCTGGATCCAACCCACTGATCAAGTGGAAGGAATTATTGGTCGCATTCAGAAATTGGTACATTTGGTTAAAAGTGCTGTCAGCGAGTCTGGAGGTTATGTTTCTGTAAAGGAAAAGTCTTTCTGAATCAGAGAACTCAGGTCAGCGCTGCATTCTGACTGCATCAAGGGAGAATATTATGTGGCAACGATGAGTAGTAGATGATACAGCTTTAAATGAGGAAAAGCCAAATCCATAGATCTATTAATGGGTATTAGCCATTATAGTATTGACTGGCTTTGGGGGAGACGAATGTTGGGGGCTTTTACCTACATCTCCTGTTGTGGGGTTCCTGGAGGCCTGGCCATTTCCAGAAACAGAATGCTGAATTAGATGAACATTTGATCTGATCAGCAGGCCTGCTGCTGTGTTCTTAAACAACATGATGCATTATCAGAGCAAATCTCACATAGCTCCACTGTCATGACTGATTGTACCAACTGAGGGTCCAGCACATCATTGTGACTGTGAGGCTCTTTATTGCTATTTCCCCCCTTGTCTCTTTTATTGTGGTTCCCATGCCTGCAAGCATCCCTTACTCCCCAACATACTTTGTTGCTTCTTGCAGAGGTTATGAAGCAAACATGGACTGGGAGAAAGGGGAAGGCCACCCATTTGAATATTTTGTTTTTGGAGCCGCCTGCGCAGAGGTTGAAATAGACTGTCTGACTGGAGACCACAAGGTAAACTGTCAGGTGTCACTTACAGCTAGTGCAAAAAGCACAGTCAAGTTCCTGTGTAACTAATGAAAAGCTCTTGTGTTTTCTTTGTCGTATTCAATCTAAACAGTTGTTTGCAGTGGACAGCAATAAATCCTGCTGGTTTCTACAAAGCACAGCTAATTGGAAATGGGTGCAGGATACTGTATTTTTCCCTCTATAAAACGTGCCAGACCATAAGACCCAACTAGTTTTTGGAGGAGGAAAACAAGAAAAAAAGTATTCTGAATCTCAGAAGCCAGAACAGCAAGAGGGATCGCTGCGCAGCGAAAGCAGCAATCCCTCTTGCTGTTCTGGCTTCTGGGATAGCTGTGCAGCCTGCATTCGCTCCATAAGACGCATACACATTTCCCCTTACTTTTTAGGAGGGAAAAAGTGAGTCTTATAGAGCAAAAAATACGGTAATTGGAAATGGGTGCAGGATACATAGTGGTTTCTTGTGTGGATCGAGTTTAACCTCTCCTCCTTCCTCGTGTGACTTCAGTAATCCATGAGCTGCTGCTATGGCACATGCATGGCAACTTTGAACATGAATTCATCCGGGCACTTGTGTTGCAGTAGCCAACAGCCTCCACTTTGCCCTTTCCCCAGCTGATTTCTTCCAAAGCTGACTGGGCAAAAGCAGGCAGTCTTGTGCAAAACCAGACAGCTTTTTATTTAAGTTTTACAATTTATGAATTCCATTTTGCACATGAATTTTCCCATAGAAGTGGTATAGTGTTTATTGCCACAGAAAGATAAAAAGAATACATAGCATTTATATAGCACATAAACGAGTGTAGTCCACTTTGCATATATTGTATAGTGGTACCTCGGGTTAAGTACTTAATTCGTTCCGGAGGTCTGTTCTTAACCTGAAACTGTTCTTAACCTGAAGGACCACTTTAGCTAATGGGGCCTCCTGCTGCCGCCGTGCCGCCAGAGCACGATTTCTGTTCTTATCCTGAAGCAAAGTTCTTAACCTGAAGCACTATTTCTGGGTTAGCGGAGTGTGTAACCTGAAGCGTATGTAACCTGAAGCGTTTGTAACCTGAAGTGTATGTAACCTGAGGTACCACTGTATTGTATCTCTAATTTTTGCAGGATTCCTGCAATATTATTCCTTTTTCGTATATGGGAATCTGGCTTTGAGGCTGAAGGGCTGCCCAGTACATTCATAGTTGAAGGGAAATTGTATTTAAAAAAACCAGAAACATTTATTCAAAAGTTACAATACATTTTCAATCAGTATATTGGGAGGATTCAAAAGCTGGTAGTTGTTGGTTTCTTAGCCAAAGCTCTCTTTCTTAGCCAATACAATGCACCAGCTTTGCTGGCTACTGTTACTTTTTCATTAAAGTGATGTCCACCCTACCTACTTCTAAAAATGAAAGTAGCATCATTGACTTTAATACGGTTTTAGACTGGGAAAAGCATTACAAGATAAGGACTGCAGCCCTAAGCATACTTATAACAAATAAAGTATTGTTAAATTCATTGGGACTTATTTCCCAAAATGAGCCACAAATAGCTCATACCACACTGGGTACGAATTCTCGATATCCTATCCATAATATTTGGCTCATCTCCTCATGCTTCAGTCCCTTGAATGTAATACAAAGTTACAACCTGTTTTTCATTAACAGAATGTCAAAACAGATATTGTTATGGACATTGGATGCAGCATTAATCCGGCAATGGATATAGGTCAGGTAAGTCCTGAGAATTTCTTCATTTTGATACAAAATTCAACAATACAGAAATTCACTGAGCACAGGGCTGGACCTCCTTCCAACGCTTATGATAGAAATGGGTAATTAAAATGTAGCATCTTGCAAAAATGCCCCCCCCCCATTTCAGCTTTGTTAGATGGTGAAATTTAAGAGAAGGGGAGCAAAGAATTGAAATATTCGTGAAAGGCCAGCATTATTCATAGAATTCTGAAAGTCTAATTACAATATTAATGGAAAGGTGTCCAGTTGCCTTTCAGATGTTAGATTTTTATGCTTGCTTTTATGGTTCATTTGTTCAATTTTAATAATAAATAAATATAATTTTAAAGCTAGCATTGCTTTCAGACAATGTAACAAGAGCTCGTATTAATTTAACACAACAAAGTATATGGAAATCTCACTATAAGCTATACTTCCTCTTGGCAGATTGAAGGTGCCTTTGTCCAGGGCCTTGGACTTTACACAACAGAGGAACTCAAATATTCCCCAGAGGGAGTCCTCTACACACGGGGCCCAGATCAGTATAAAATCCCTGCTGTTTGTGACATTCCAGAACAGATTAGTGTCTCCTTGTTGGCATCTAGCCAAAACCCAACAGCGATCTACTCATCCAAGGTAAGAAGATTGAAATCCAAGGTGAAGTTCTTCGCCTTTTCTCCTGCTAAACCTAAGTGATCCATATTACTGAAGGAAAAACTGCAGACTTGGAGGATGGGATGGAAATGATATGAGAGAATAATTTGTTTTCACTATGAATATCTTGTTACTGTATTATTAATCATGCGGCTATAATCCATCCCACAGCCATTCAGGTATAAGTGCGCTTGAAATCAACAGTGATTAAATGCGCTTAACAGCGGTTGGGTTTATGCCCACATGGATATAATATCAGGAGAGTTTCATTCAGTTTTGTGACATGTTATTGAGCAAGTTGTCTCCCCTAAGACTGAAGTCCTCAACTTCCCATTGGAATATTGATTGCAGACCACAAGGCAGCAGAGCCAAAAGAAAAATACATGATATACTCCAGTGGGAACCCTTGCTAGGCAATTGTTTCACTGTGGCATGTCGGGAGAAGAGCAGTCAGTTTTGAGGCATTCCAAGCCCTTTTTGGAGGCATGATAGCAGAACAGGCTATCAAACAATCGGAAATAAGGAATGCAATTTTTACAGTGGCCTAGCCTTCTCTCTTAACTACCCATCGAGGCAGTGGTAGCTAGAAAAACTCTGCCAACTAGCCGAAAACAATCAGAGCACAGTTATCTACTTGCAGCCAAACGGAACACAAGTTATGTCAAACTTCTAGCAAAACAAGGCCAAAAAGCCTAATGGGGGATTAGGCCAGTTACGCAGCTTGACGGAATGTGACTATAAGGCCCTTGCAGACCACACACTTGCAGACCACACACTTGAGTTTTATCCCTTGCAGACCACACACTTGAGTTTTATTATCTGTAGCTCTGCTGGCTGTGCTAACCACCTCTGCTTGTTGATTGGCATCCATCTGTTTTGAGAGACAATGGAGTGCACCTCCAGGGGTGAATTCAAACCACTGTGTTAGCAGCACCAAAGTGACCTCCCTGTAGCACAGGCCTGGGCAGTATGTATGGAGGTTCTGGGCTGCCCAGATGACAAGAGCCTCCCCTTTCAGCCTCACTGATGTGTTCCACAGGAAAGTAGAGCAGTACGTTTTGCACCAGCTTGACTGCAGGAGTTGCTGGAAAGAGGCATACTGTATATATAGCCGTTTTAGGGGCTCCACTCTGGATTTGTGCAGGATTTACTCCTTAGCTTTTTCTTTTTCCAAAGATATCCCACGTGGCATCTTGAGGTCTAGGATCAGTGTTTTCCTTCTCCTAGATGGGCTCCCTTCCCAAGTTGACGAGCCCCTGGGAAAGCACTAATATCAGGTGGCGCCAATTGTGTCCATCCACATCTTGATCTCATTGGGCTGACGCTCAAAAGGGCTTTTCACCTTTGGCCTTTTGGATGTAAAAACTGTGGCATGTAAAATGAAACACGTCGTTCCAGGGAACTGGACAGATGTTGCATCTTAGGATAAACACAGACGAGGGGGAGCTATATAGTGGCAGCCCAAGCTCAGATGAGAGGGGCAGAATAATAACAGTCACAGATTCCTAGCCTGTAACATCAGCCAGCTGCATGGCTGCAATTTGCTCTTCCCACTACCCTCAGCCCTCTAGCACCCGTGATAGGCCGCAGTTGCGGCTGCCACCATTTTGGAAAATGGTGAGCAATCTTTGTGAACCGACTAGGACACAAGAAAAATATGTTCTTGAATGGCAGCAGTGCATTGCTAGCAGAGAGGTGTGGCCTCACATTGTTTGTTTTCATTTTGGTTAGGTTTTAAAAAGTGCATGTGCACACATGTGGATATAAGCTCATGCTTTCACATATATTTTTAAAGCAACCGCTCAGAATAGGTTAAAAACCTTTCTAAAATAACCCAGAGTTTGCAGTCAGCATTCTCAGAAAGGCTGCCACAGGACCCTTGTTAGATATACTGCTGTCTCCTTCTCCACAGATGAGCAACAGGTGGGCACTGTTGCAATTGTGACACTGTGGACATTGATAAGCCACCCAGTACTGATTTGAAGAGTGCTGTTACTTCTGCTACCATCACTACTCCTCCTCCTTCTCAAAAAGGCAGGGCCACCTACCACCCTTGGAGCTTAGTGGAAAATAAGTGGAAGGACAGAGAATGAGACTAGAACATCCACCCACCACATACCGAATCGGGAAGCCCACTAGTGGCCCCATCGTGAAGGCCCCCTCAAGCTTGGAGCCAGCCCTGAGCACAGGGAGGTGTTATGCAGTAAGTTCCTGTGGCTTCTCACATCAGCCACATGAAGGTGCTGGCTCACGTAAGGTCTGCCTGCTGGCCCAAGTGAGTGCACAAAGGCTGATGCCACCAAGCTCTTAAGAGTGTGTCAGATGCTGGGTCTTGTTCCCACACAGAGAAAACAAAACAAAACTCATTTCATGTGTGGACAGAGATGCTCCCGGAAAGGTTCTTGATGTGAAATATTTGCTAATGCCTCAACATGATTTCACTGCTTTTGTCTCTGCTTTTGACAGGGTCTTGGTGAAGCGGCACTTTTCTTGGGGAGCTCTGTATTTTTTGCAATATGGGATGCAGTGGCTGCTGCCAGGAAGGAAAGAGGATTGCCATCAGTCTTTGTGTTGAACAGCCCCTTGACTCCTGAACGAGTGCGAATGGCCTGTGATGACCAGTTTACGGAGATGGTAAAGATTTTTAATGCACCTGGTGCCTAATTCTTCTTTCTCTCGTGACTGTCAGGATGAGGAATAGGTTACTCTTAAATTAAAATCAGGACGTAGCATCTTCTGGTCCGTCTGTCCTTAATGGCACCCTAAATCTTTTGAGCCTCCAGTGGCTTCCTCTCGTTGCCTTCAGGTATTGTTGAATCAGTTTCACAGAAATCCAAACTGATTTTGCAACAAGACTTAGCAATGACTCTTCAAGACTGATTTTTCCGTTTACTATTTATTCATTTTTCTAGATCCCAAAGGATGAAAAAAGCAAGTCCACTGTTCCGTGGGAAATCTCCCTTTGAAGAAGAACCAGGAATGTGCAGAAAGTGCCATGAAGTGCTAACTTCTTCAAGTCAACATCTTCCAGTGCTTTATCAACAAATGCAGTTCATTTTAGTTCAGTAGTTGCTTTCTTGTGGGGAATTATATTGCAGGCTTCATATTCATTTACATGAGAGTCTCCTACCATTTTCACACTTTTTGGTATTAGGCTGCTACAGTTCAAGGCCTAACCATTTGGTGGTTGTTTCTATCTGCCTTTGCTAAGTTCCTAGTGCTCCGTCTCCTTCATGGAGCCCCCTCAGCAGATCCAGGGGTCTCCTGCCTCTCTTAACTCATTTGCCAGTCTACTCTCCCTCCTCTCCCAGGGTCCTATTTCACCATCCCCTCCTTTTTTTGGCTACTAAGTTTCCTACAACCTCTAACTACCTTTCCATCCGTCTTCTGCCTCTTTCACACCTCTTTCCCTCAGTTTTTCAAGGTATTACTAAATGTTACAGAAAAACATGTGCCAGCCACTAGACATAGCAATCATGTACAGAGTTCCCCCAACCTCAGGCAATATCTAATTCACCTTCCCCGACATAGTGAGCCTGAGATGCTTTGGACTACATCTCCCATCATTCCTGACCATTGGTTATAATGGCTGGAGCTGAAGGGACTTGGGAGTCCAACAACATCTAGGTTGGCGAAGGCTGATGGTAGCCGAACTTGCCTTGCATCCTCCTCGTCTCATTATGCTGTGTGTTTCCCTGTTCCCACATGCCAGGATTGGCTGCCACTGAGCATCTGCCTACTGCTGCTGTTGTCTTTGAAGTGCGAATCTCAAATTGATCCACTTTATTTACTTTGAACAAGGTCTGTGGTAAAATAAATCTTGAGCTGGTTTTGGCTTTAGGAAATCTACTGTGCAGTGGTGTGCATGAAAGATTGCTCGGGGCATCAGACAACATCCTCAGGGTGTGAGACAGCATTGTTTAATGACTGCTGACTGTTAAACAGTACAAGGTGCATGCCAGAAAGAGTCCCTTTGTGCATCTTAGACGTCTGGTGCATGCATTATCTCCTGCGACGGTTGTGTTGTGTAAGATAAGCTGTCTTTCCAGAATATCAAGCACTAGGCAATAAAAATCATGCACATTAAAAGATGCATATGCCACTTCCTAAGGCTAGCATGCAGATTATTTCTTGAAAGGCGAAGGAAATAATGCGAGGAGTGATCTGTTGTTTGATTATGTGCCTCGTTATCACACCTTTTTTAACTAGAGCATGGATTAAAATTGATTAAGTATGCAGGTGCACGAGTAATGAAGCCTACAAGTAATATTGCTTCACACTTACCCTGTTACTCTCTTGTGTGTAGCTTTGCCAGGAAGACTGAATCACTTGGCTTGCACTTCACCGAACTTTAATTTATTAGCTTTTCAACAAGTTTAATTAGAGATGTGCAATATAAAAAATAATAATCCCTTCCATGCTCATGGGTGATGGAGTGGCAAAGAATTTAATGGGAGGAGGAGGAAGAGGAAGAAGACTAGTTGCACTCATTCCGGCTAAGAGAATTGCAGTTCCTGGGACTCCCAGAGATCCAGAGTTGGTACCCCTCCAAATGTTATTGGATTCCACATGCCACCATACCATATGGTTGGTCTTGGAGACCCCAGGTTCTCCATCTCTGCTGTCACTCACGGTCCTTGTCCTCACACTCTTTTTCCTGGGTTTTGCATTTCACTTAACCGATGCTGTGTATGTGCAGTTGCACCCACGCCCTTGCATGCACCTTGGATCAATATGAAAATGGCAGTGTTGTGAGTTTTCCCCTCTGTGCCATCTGGTACAACTTGTCCTGTATTTTGATGTCATTGAGCTGTGCCTTTCCTTGCTTCACAGGATTGGCCGGTGTGGGGCAGGAAGCACACAGTGTAACAATGTGAGGACGCTGGGCAAATTGTGCTATGCATTATAAAGCTGGAAGAAAGATTCTGTGTTTGGCGGCACCTCCCTTTTTTTGTCCGTTCACCCAAAGCAGAACTAAATCTTACAGAGGGCTTCTGGGCGGGGACTTAATGTTGTAAGTAGGTTGTTCAGAAATTACAATTGGGTTGTTGTCAACAGTTTTGGGTTTTTTTAATAAGGAGCCCGCCCCCCCGAAGGGTAAATGCAGGTTAGAGGGGGGAGAATATACAGTCTAGCATTTTGATGCCAATGACATTGTGCAAAAAAAACTGCACGAGGAACACCCATCAATAAGTACCTGTCTGAAAGCAGCCCAAGTACACAGGTGCAGTGATATAATTTCACACCTTTTTGAATCTTGTTTAGAAGAGCAGAAAAAACTGATGATGCGCAGGATGAGAGTTGGAGAAGGTTCAGAAAAGGCAATCAGAATGATCAAGGAGCTGCAGCAGCTTTCCTATGAGGAAAGCATTTTGGACTTTAGAGAGAAGGCAAGTACCGTATTTTTCACTCTATTGGACGCAGTTTTTCCCCTCCAAAAATTGAGGGGAAATGTGTGTGCGTCCTATGGAGCGAATGCAGGCTTGTGCCATAGCCGCGCACAACCCCTCCGGCAGGGAGAGGCTGCACAGGGCTATGGCTTCTTTAGCTCCACACAGCCTCTCCCAGCAGGGAGAGGTTGCGTGGGGCTAAAGAGGAAGCCAAAGCAGTGAGCGGGATCCATCCCACTGGCTACCTTGGCTTGTGACATAGCCGCGTGCAACCCCTCCAGCAGGGAGAGGTTGTGCGCAGCCTGTACGCTGCTCTTTGGGGCTGGAGGGGGGGAAAATATTTTTTTTATTGATTTCCCCGTCTAAAAACTAGGTGTGCCCTATGGTCCGGTGTACCCTATGGTGCGAAAAATACGGTAAGTAGTGACATGATAGGATTTTATAAGACTAGGCGTGGCATGGAGAAAGGGGATTGAGAAAATATTTTCTCCCTCATAACACTAGAAATATTCAACGATGCTTATTGAAGTACCTCACGCATAGTTAAGCTCTGGAACCCACTCCCATAAACGGCAGTGATAGCCACCAACTTGGAAGCCTTTAAAAGAGGATGGAACAAATGTAGAATAGACTTGTGCTCTGTCTGTATGGTCAGAAGCAGTATTATTTTGAATACCCGTTGCTGGAAACGGCAGAAGGAGTGAGGGCTCTTATGTTTGGATCCTGCTTGCGTGCTTCTCGCAGGTATCTGGTTGGCCTCTGTGAGAACAGGGTGATGGACTAAGTGGGCCATTGGCCTCATCCAGCAGGCTAGCATTTCTGTGCAAAGGAAAATCCAAACAAGAAGTACAGTGCATATCATGCATTGTAATATTGTAATATTGGTAGAAAAATGCAAAAATCTGTTGGCATGGTTGCATGTAAGGTATTCTACTTCCTGACTTGCTATTTTGCAGGGGGAATTAGACTGCATGTAGCAAATTCGGGTTACGAAATTAAAGTGTATTTGGCACTCTTATGCAACAAACCATCCTCCCTCTAAATGACGCTTCTTGTAGCAAGGAAAGTGTTGGGAAGATGCACTGGGAAATGTAGGGTTACAATTGCTTGATGTGATGTACTAGAATTTCCACACAAATCAGTATCAACTAATAGTGTATAACCTCAAGAAATTTTGTGCAAAGAAATCAAAATGAATGATAACCTGGTCATCTGTAAGTACCCTAAGTCTGGGAAATGTTTGCCGGTTTAATCAAGCTTGTTAAGGTGATGTGATCACTACAACTGTTGGTATTCATTTCTGTTGAACAAAAGGTCCCATTCTGTTTTAGTGTGGACAGATGTACCTCGGAGTCCTATTACCTAAATAAACTTTGTAAGCTTCCATTTTTTATCTTTTACTTGAAACCGCCCACAAGTGCTGGGCGTGTTAAGCAGAGAGTCATTATAGAGTCAAATATTTCGGATGAGGAATGAAATATGCAGTGTTGATACCTTTTCCCATCTCTGTCAACCCTGATCCTACGGTGGGTATAATCCCAGGAACTACTCAACATGGATAGGTAGTTTCGAGTCAAGGAATTGGGGAGGCTAGCGGTCCTGGACAGGGTTGCACTGCCTTTGAAGGGACAGGTGCATAACCTGGAGGTGCTCCTAGAGCTGTCTTTGGAGGCTCAAGTGGCCTCCACAAGCAGTGCCTTTTACTATCTCCGGCCGATTTGCCAGCTCTTGCCATCCCTGGACATGGAGAGCCTTGCCACAGTGATCCAAACACTGCTGGTAACAGAGCCATAGCTAGGGGGTGGCGAGGTGGGCCCCTGCCACAGATGCAGGCGAGGGGGGGGGCGCAAAATCATCTGCCAAGACCCTCCGCCAGCCAGCACCCTGTCCAGCCAGTGTTCCCTGCCTGCGGCCAAGCAGGACAAGGAAAAGGGCCCGCACCAACTTCAAAGCCTGCCTACTCTGGAGTCACTCCCCCCCTCCTTTCTCACACCCTCCCTCAAGGGTGCCAACTTGAATAAAATACATTGGGGGGGCGGCAGGTAAGCACCGCCCTGTATAATCGACCACAAGAGGGAGCACATGGACACTATTTGAATGGCAATGCCCATTAACTGGGGGGGGGCTCCTCAAATATTTTAGGGGGGGTGAAGGAACCTTGGCCCCAAGGAATTGGCTCCCATGCCCTTCTCCCTATTAAAGTGGGGTGCTCCCCACTTTATGCGATTTCACTTATGCAGGCAGGGGCCTAGAATGTAAGCCGTGCGTAAGTGGGGAGACGCCTATATACCGTCGTCTAGGTCAGCCTTCCCCATCTTGGTGGCCTTCAATCAGAACTCATTACAAAAAAGAATTCACTACAAGATGAAGTGCATGAGGAATTGAAGGGGGGGTGTTGGAGGAGAGGCAGAAAGAAGAGTTAATTTGTTCGTGGCTGGGGGCACAATCTGGACTGTTCTGCCAGGGGCGCAAGATCACCTAGCTATGGCTCTGGCTGGTAACCTTAGAAGTGGAAAATTGTAATGCACTCTGTGTGGACTGTCCTTGAAGTTCATCATCATCATCATCAAACCTTTTATTGGCATCACATACAAGCATCCATAGCAAATCAACACAGAATTCCCTGCCTTCCCAGTGACACAAAACGTTTGTCAAATGAAAGAGGCAAAGCAGTCTAACATTACATCTCTAGGTCTCCAGGGAGGTCAGACGTCTGCAATGTGTTTCGACGACAAAAAACCAGATAAAGATATTTTAGTCACTAACTTAGTGAGCTCCTGATTATTCCCCAATAATAGAAAATGTATGACCTCTAACTCTGGTTTCCATTTGGGGATGCAGAGTTGATCTAGGAACTGCTGGCGGAGATCAACATATAGTTTACATTTAAGAACCATATGTGTAAGATTTTCCACCTGATGGTCTTCACATGGGCAAATTCTTTCTCCTTCCACCATTCCCGAGAACCTTCCCTATAGGAGGTTTGAAGGATTTGAATTAAAGCTGGCCAGCGAAAATGCCCTTTCTTGAGGATTAAACAAAAATTCAAGATAATTGTGGTTAATTTCATATGCCCAAGAAAGTTGAAAGTTAAGAGGGGAACATGTTTTCTCTGCTGCCGCTGTTAGTTCCTGGCGTTCAATGTCCCACAACCTAGTTTTTATTATAGCCTTGGCAGATGGTGGGGGCATCGATCGCAAAAATTCCACTGACAGCCCAAGTTGCTGTACCTTTATGTTAAACTGTTGTAGCCCTGGGGAAAGAAAGGGATCTAGCAAAACTTCACTAAGGAGAGGATCTTTATCTGTTGTGAGGCAGATGTTTAACCAGAATGTAAGAAATCTCACCCAGGCTATGGTCTCTACCTTGTGTTGACCTCCCTCTAGACACAAGGCTGCATAGGGTACACCACGTGGGACAGCAAAAATTTTAATAAGGAAAGCTGCCTGCACTCGTTCTACCAGCTGGATAAACCCTGGCAGCCAGACTGGAATTCCGTAGAGCAATTGAGCTATAACTTTGGCGTTGAAGACCTTGAGGGCAGAGGGGATATGCGAATTACCTCCTTATAAAGAAACGCATTATGGCTTGCATAGACATCTTATTGGCATTCACCACCATGCAAGGACCATAGAAACCTATGATGGAATGTGATTCCCAGGTAGTTGAATTCTAATACCTGCTGGATGGGTTTTCCACCAAATACCCAGCTATAGCTTTTGCGTGAATTCCCAAAAAACATTATTTTGCGTTTATCAAAGTTCATGCACAATTTCATTCTGGACAGATAGTCAATACAGGAATTTCACAAACGTTTTAGGCCAATTCTTGTCCGTGAAAGCAAAATCATATCTGCGTATAGAAGGATGGGAATACTTGATGCGTTGAGTTTTGGGCTGTGGGCATCCACCTGTTTTAGTAAAGAAGCGAGATCGTTAAGAAAAAGATTAAAAAGAGAGGGAGCGAGTACACAGCCCTGCTTTACTTCTTGGTTTATAATTTTCTTTTGACCTTATAATTTTCTTTTGACCTTTCAGTGCCCTGTTCAATTGAAAAGGGGAGACCAGTACAGAAAGGCATACTTGCTTAGGACGATCACAATGGTTTCTGTGTCAACCAGTTATTTTGCTTTTTTAAAACAAAACCTTAGGTATAAAAGCATCTGCCACCTGCAAGAAACCTTAATTTATTACAGCCATGCATCAAATTTATGATTAGAGAGGAAGAAAAGCAACCCTACAGAGCTCTTCCAACCGATTCTACTCTGGCTCCTCCTCTTTGCCTATATAATTTGTCGCTCGGTTCTGGGCAACACAGACCAAAGCGGTGGTGGAAGCAACTATAGAATCTGTATTCCCCCCCCCTTTTGCTTAATATCTGACAGCTTTCAAGGTGTGCTTTCATACGGCAGAATGGCTAATCCCCAACAATCGGATGAGCTCATTTTTTTTGTGAATGGAAGGAAGGTAAGGATTTCTTTTAGTACTTTAGTGTGTTTTTAAAAGGGGGGGAAGGACAAGGGGCACATTCTTGTATCTACAAAGAAGATTTAAAATGTTCTCTAGATGTTGTTCATGACCTTACAAATTACACATCTTTTCCCTGCAATCTTCTGTCATTTCAACTTCATTGTTTACAAGTTGGGACTTTCTTTCTCTATTTCATTGACCACCATTGACTGGGATTGTCAACTGTGTTTATTTCACGTTACTAAATTAAACTTTGCAGACACTTCCTCTAGTGTTTGAATGCCTAGGTCTTACAAAAATGAAAGAGGATGGAGCAACAGCTGTCAGAGCAATGCTGTTGGAAATGCATTAAGCTATTATTATAGCTATAAGCTATAGTAATCGGTTGGAATACCGTATCACCAAACTTTTAAAAATGAAAATACGGCATGAGTTCACTGTGAGTGCCCTACAATAATCTTAAGTAAAAAGTACATTCAATGAAACTTTCCCTAATGAAATATAATCAAATAACATTAATATCCCTTCCTGCTAAAAAAAAAAAAAGAGTTATGCATGCAATTTAACACTTAAAATGCACCCATGTGTTTACTTTCTCTTGTTTTCTCCACTTGAGAACAAAGACAATAAAACATCTCCATTTACAGATATTTCACCCAGAGAGGACGAGGAAATGATTAAAATACATGTGTCATGTTTCTTAGCAACTTGAATTCTGCATTTATAGGAAGAAAACAACTGCATGCACTAATTGTGCTTTGTATACTTTCAACTATAAGACTAGTATGACATAACTATAAAAGAGGCACTTTGATTTCAGTGGGAGAGAGTTAAGCACATTTGAAACTGTCCTATTGAAATTGTCAGTGTTTAAAAGTGGTTACTTGGCTAAATTGTGCCCTTATTTTTTATTTTTTATTATCAGAAGAAGAGGAAAATAGTGGGTGGCATTCAACTAACATTTAAGTTCATTAATTTTAACATCTGGAGGGCCAAAGGTTCCCTTCAGCTGCTATAAAATATTGTTGCATGCCACCCCAATCTCTGAGCAGTGAGAGATTCCAGAGGTTCGAAGCACTTGCCCAGGGTTTGTGTTTCCTTTTGGAAATGAGGCACAACAGAGAATATGGTGTCTTTATGACATATGGTTTCTTTACACATATATACAACCTTAGCCTACGATGGAGGGGTTCACAACATTAACACCCCAAGAGTGTCCTACTGCTCCCATAGCTGCAGCCTTGGATTCAAGCAGAAATCAAACAGAAATCTGCCTCTGGCTTTCGAACCTGCAGCTGTATTTCTAGTTTACATCACAGCTCCAAAAACTCTACATCAAACTCTGGCTTTGTATTCTAACTCTGAGTTGCTATCATTTGCTATCTGGCACACCGCCCCTCTCCTTGCTTTCTTAATGGCCCATTACCTTTCCTTCGTTCTTTTAATGACCCATCACCTGGGCCTCATGAGGAAGTTTGCCTGGGTCCCAGGATTAAGAGTCTGGCACCCATTTTTACATTTCAAGCCTTGATTAAATTCTCACACTTCCTGGATTCAGGAATTACAGGTGCCTGGCACCCACAAATTCATAACAGTACTCATCCATTCATATATTTTATTACTCTTCTGCCTTGTTCTCTACAAATACATCATAGTTAAGCAGAACTTCCAAAAAAGGAAAAAAATATTACAAACCTTATATGTTGGATCCAAATAAAACTAAATGCAAATAAGGGAGAAGGATTTGGATTCCAAATCTTTTTAAAGTTTCTCCGGTATGCAAGTGCTCCCCAAAATGGTTCCCATCATAAATCAAGGCATAAATCGAGATTTCAAAGATGCAATGGGAGCACTCTAGATGCAGAGTAAATGCCTGGGATGCCATCAGCCCAAGTAGCTGAACTCAAGTTCCAGTTTCCCTGTGGTTTGATAAGACCTGCATTGTTGTATCTGAATAAGAGAAACTGAAGAAAAGCGGCATGTGATATTAATTCCTCTCATCAAAAGCATAGGTAATCCTCTTAAGCAAGGTGTATTTTTTGGTTTCTCGACTCTCCTTTCTAATGCAGGTGATAGAGAGATCTGCTGATCCTGAAGAACTGCTGCTTAATTACCTGAGAAAGGGGCGTATCCTTTTAGAGCTCTTGCGTTGCATAACTATTCTGTTACCGATTTGAAAAGTTTATTGAGACGTATCCTGGGGCTCCCATGTTCAATCAAGTATGAGAGGTATGAAGAACTGGGTATAGGTATAGAACTAGCACTATAAAATACTGGTTGCGTTGCCATTTTTGTTGCCAACCTTCGACTCTGCAAACTGACTTACTTAGGGACTCTTCTAAATCCAGATGGTTCCACCTCTTACATAGCAAAATCAGATCTATTGGTATTGACTTGGAACCCTTGCATAATTCAAGTGAGCGATATATTTATCGCAATATTCAAACCAGATTAAGGGACATTGAAAAACAAAACATGAAGTCAGCTGTAAATATAATTTACTCCCCCAAGTTCTGTGGTTTAAATACAACAGATAACAGGGTCACCTATATCTCAGAATTAATAATTCCAGTCCAACGCAGGGCCTTTATGTTAGCCCGACTGAACATTTCCCCCTCAGCTTTTGTCAAGGGCAGATATTTAAATATCCCCAGAAATGATAGCCATTGCGTATGTTCTTTGAATATGCTGGACACTGTAGAACATATCCTTTTCTACTCTCCATTGTACAACCAGCTATGCAAACACGTGCCAAAATTGCATTTTCTGTGAAAAAATCTTATACTTTGGCAACAGGTTTCTTAAGGTTTTTTTTTACAAGTCCTAGTCTAGAAGCATCCTATTCCACAATTCGATTTTGCATGCATTGGAAAAATAAATAGATATTTTAGAACTAGAAACTTACTAAAACTTAGTGTTCCGGGGCCCGGATCTGGCCCAATCGCCTTCTAAATCTGGCCTGTGGACAGTCCGGGAATCAGCGTGTTTTTACATAAGTAGAATGTGTGCTTTTATTTAAATGCATTTATTTAAATGCATCTCTGGGTTATTTGTAGGGCCTGCCTGGTGTTTTTACATGAGTAAAATTTGTGCTTTTATTTAAAATGCATCTCTGAGCTATTTGTGGGGCATGGGAATTCATTCATTCCCCCCCCCAAAAAAAATATAGTCCAGCCCCCCACAAGGTCTGAGGGACAGTGGGCCCCCTGCTGAAAAAGTTTGCTGACCCTTGCTCTAGAGTCTACATAATTGAAAAGCTTGCAAATAATATTTTACCAGGACTTGGAAACACTCTGGGGCATAGGATATTGCAAAGCAAAAGTCAATTTATAAAGTGAGATTAATCTCTGCAGTCATACATTTTAATGGAGCAAGCCTGTTTTTCTTGTTTGGACAGTGGTTCACAGAAAATCAGCATGAAATTGAAGTAAGAATAAGCAGAAGTGTTAACACTTCCAGTAATTATCCCATGAATGGAAATAGTTCCAGACAGGAGCAGCGTCCTTTTGCTCCCCCTCAGGTGAAATGGGAAGCTACTGTGTAGCCTCACTTACAAGGCTTGTGTGGTAGTGGTGGCTTCCAGAGAGCACTCGCAAGATTTCACAAGATCTTGCAGAACTCTTGCAGAGATCTCACAAGATCTCACCGGAAGCTACAGCCGCAACCACATGACCCCAGCAGGGACAGGCAGGGCACCTGCAGGGGTGCCAGTACATGGGATTCTGCCACCCAAAGCAGCTGTTTCAGTTTGCCTCATGGGAGGGCCGGCCCCAGTTCCAAGGGATGGGCTACTTGGGCAAAAGATCTGCAGTTTTCCTTCTGATATTGGTGCCCTGCTATGGATGCTTTCTCTAGCTAAGGTAAATTGGCATCCACAAGGAGGAACAGCATCTCTTTGGTGCTACATTCTCTACTGCTCTACTGCATTGTCCCTCTTGGCTTTTCAAAAGCAAGGACTTCTGGTTTGCACATAACATTAAACCGTGGTTTATTAAACTATGGTTTGTTGTTGACTTACAAACCTAGGTTTGTTTTGATTATGGTTTGACATTATGTGCGAATCGAGCACCCTTTCTCAAACGTGATTTGTTGATTACCTCAGTCCAGCCAATCACTAAACTACAAAGGCACATGACAGGTCACATGAAACAAAACAAACCATACATAAATATGAATTTCAGAAGAAACTACAACAGAGCAATAGTTACAGCACAATTCTATGCATATTTACTCCTAAGTAAGTCCCACTCTCGGGTCAGTGCATATTACTTCAGTCTTAGGCTCCATTTGCACAATACATTTGAAGTAGGATCATGCCACTTTAACCAGTCATGACTTCCCCCAAAGAATCATGGGAACTGTAGTTTAAGAGTGCTGAGACCCCTATTTCTCTTAAGAAAAACCCTACAGTTCCCAAAGGGAACCCTATTTAAGGGACCTCTATTTCCCCTCAAAAAACTACAGTTCTCTGAGAAGAGGGGTTGTTAACCCACTCCGGGAACCGTAGTTCTCTGAGGGAAATAGGAGTCTCCTAACAACTCTCAGCACTTAACAAACTACAGTTCCTTTGGGGGAATCCATGACAGTTTAAAGTGGTACAATACTGCTTTAAATGTATCGTGCAGATGGGGCCTTTGGCTACATAAAAAGTTAAATTAAAAATATTCATTAAAATGTAGGATTTTTTTATTTAAAAAATGTCTTCTCAAACTTAGCTACCATCTTGATAAAGTGCCTTCTCTTTGTTTATTTTCTTTCTCCTCCACCCCATAAAGGATATAAAAAGTAATGTGAAAGACGTTATGCGGGGTGGGGTGGGGGGAATCCAGATATTAAACAAGGAGTCAGCACTTATTTTCCTTAACCCTCCACTGTAACTACAAGTCTGCCTCACAGGAACGAAGTATGGCTGTGGAATTGGAGGCTGCGGGGCTTGCACAGTGATGATATCGACATACAACCCAGACACCAAGAAGATACGGTATCCTTAAGGAAGGGAAAGATGCTTCATGCAGATAACTGCATCAAAATTTGATGTCATTAAAAAAAAAAAAATCACTTGCCATATATAGCTTTCCCACAAATAATCCCAGGAAATGTTGTTTGATCTGATGGCTAAGAGGAGTATCTGCCACAAAGGTGCAAAAAAGACCTGCTGAATACTTAGAGGCTGTCTGCCTCCATTTTAACTTGCTTCAGACTCCATTTTGTCTCCATTTTAACTTGCTTCAGACTTGACAGTGGTACCGACAGGGGACAGGGAAGGGAGCAGGGGGTGATGAGGGGCAAACTCTGAGGGGAAGAGGAGCATTGGCGGCTGAAATATACTCAAAGTCGAGAGTGGATTTCATGCTCTTTATTCAGCTCCTAGTGGTGAGGAGGAATGAATGTCCCCTCAAAGTATCTGCTTTATATACATTATTTACACAATGGGCTGCACGTGATTGGCCAATTCCGGAATTCTCCTGTAGGCCAATCAGGTTGTGGATTCACTTCCATCTGGAGCCAGATTGGGTGGCTCCTGCAGACCAATCATACTGCTGCATTGTTCTAGGACCAATCAGACTGATGCATTTTGGATCCTATTCAACTCAGTACATAACAGCGGCCATGAAGGGTTAAGGGCCCTGCAGGGCGTAATTTTTCTCCTCAGAACATCAAGGCCCTGCTCAACTAGGCTGCTGCCATGGACAGAATTTAACTTTGCTCCCCCATGCGAGTTTTTGAGGGGTGATTGCGGTCCTTCCTCAGCACTTTACCTGTGTACGTGCCATACCTTTAAAACCCATTCCAAGCACCTCGTTTCCCTCAAAGAATTCTGGGCCCTGTAGCTTGTTAAGGACGGTGGTGAATTGCAACTCTGTGAGGGCCCAGAATCCTTTGAGGGAAACGATGTGTTTTGAATGCACTTCAAAGTTAAAGGGTGTGCATGGCTTCAGGGGTCCTCCGTTTGGGTGTTGGGCCCTCAGATGTTGTTGGACTAGAACAGGGGTCAGCAAGCTTTACCGGCCATGGGCTGGATCACTCCCACGGAGATCGTCGGTGCGTCAGACTGGAGCAGCGAGATGCCGGAAATTGCATCTGCGCATGTCCATGGCGCCAGAAATCGCTTCTGCGCATGCCCAGATGCTGGAAATCGCGCCTACGCAGGATTTGCCTGCGGACTTGCTGAGCAAGCGGCTCGGTTTGCGGGCAGCTTGTGGGCCGGCAAAATGGTCTTCGTGGGCTGCATCCGGCTCCTGGGCTGTCAACACTTCCCTTTTATAAAGGGAAATTCCCTTATTCCGAATAGGATTTTTCTTTTAAAAAAGGGAAAAGTTGACAGCTATTACATTGCTGACCCCTGGACTAGAACTTCCATCATCCATGCTGACTGAGGATGATGGAATTGTAGTCTACTAACACCCAGGGGACCCAAGGAAGGTTGAAGAAGACCAGCTCTACGTCACTGTCACACCTTTCGATTAATATAATTAATGGTTAATGGAGAATGCAGTCTGGGAAAGAATGGGTAGTTCTGGGGTGGGGAGTAACCATTTCAAGTTCTGGTGTCCAGTGCTGCATATTGGATTGTGCTAGCCCCGAGACCATCCATGGCTAAAAATGGTCCTAGGTGGTTGGAAAAACGTGATTTAGTCTTCAAAATTCTCCTTTACATTTCAAAGACATTATCCAGCCAACTCATGCCTACTTCCATTATGCCTGTTGTATGGCGCTGCAGTAACTACCGTAGAAGGAGTTGGAACTACAAAAACCAAGCTCCATCCCATTCAGGTGAGAGTAAAATAAGAGATGTTGCCCAAGTTCACTTTGCCCGAGTTTCAGAATATGTAAAAAGCCTGGTGGCCTGTATTGCTTGCCTCTGGTCCAAGGCAAGCACTGCAGCCCCATTGTTCTTCTTGGGCCAGTTTGGGTTTGGACAATCTGGAGAAGAGCTTCTAAATAATAATTATTATTATTTATATGACGCCCATCTGAATGGGTTTCTCCAGCCACTCTAGACGAGTTCCAACAAATTAAAACACATCCCTACTGTCTCATCTCTCACCCATCCTCACTTTTCCCTCTCCGCTCCTCTTATCCGGCTGTTGGCATTACACCCTTCCTTCCCTCCCACCCGCCTTCCGTTGGCATGTGTGCCAGCGACCCTGGGGAAATTGCATTTCCTTGCCAAAAAAGGGAAGGAAGAAGAATATCTGCCACAGCAACCAAAATAGAAAATAGGAGATGGAACTTGGGGAATGATTGGGACCCTGTTATGCTATCAATGACTTCACCAAGAGTATGGCAGGATCTGAAACAGATTGCAACCAAGCTGCTTTCTTCTTCCTATTAGTAGTAGTAGTAGTACTAGTAGTAGTAACAGTAGTTGTCATGGTGTCAGTAGCAGAGCCAAATTATGAATCAAGCTTTTGAGAACGGACCACCCATTTCTAGAACTTTTTTCTTTTTCTTTTTGGCCTGGGACTGTCTGGGACTTTGCCAGCTTGGTCACTGGCCCTCCTCCAAAAATGTCGCCAGCTAGGGTGGCGCTGTGGGTTAAACCACAGAGCCTAGGACTTGCCAATCAGAAGGTCGGCGCTTCGAATCCCTGTGACGGGGTGAGGTCCCGTTGCTTGGTCCCTGCTCCTGCCAACCCAGCAGTTCGAAAGCATGTCAAAGTGCAAGTAGATAAATAGGTACCGCTCCGGCGGGAAGGTAAACGGCGTTTCCGTGCGCTGCTCTGGTTCACCAGAAGCGGCTTAGTCATGCTGGCCACATGACCCGGAAGCTGTACGCCGGCTCCCTCGGCCAATAAAGCGAGATGAGCACGCAACCCCAGAGTCGGCCACGACTAGACCTAACGTTAGCTACAGGTAGCATGGATATAGAAGGATGGGGAAAGCTTTTGCTTAATCCTTGTATAGCAGGCTGCTGTCAAATGGTGCCACCCCCTTTAAATGTGACAATGCTTCTGATTCAGCAAATTTTAATGGGGTGGGGGGCAGAGTTTGTTAGCAGGAACCAGGACAGAGTGCTCCATGTCAAAGAACAAAAGCTACAATTGACACTTCAAAACTTCTCCTGCCGCTTCTGCCCTTTGCTACAGCCATGAATTTAGGCACAGGATGCATTTTTAGTAACTTTACTGAGTAATAGTAATAATAAGGGGGCAAAGGAGATCAGGAAAAGGTAGGATGATACTCTAGAAGTCAATGTTTCTTTGTATGGACTATCCATTTAGATATGTATTTTCATTCCAGGAAAGGCTTGCAAAGTGCCACGGCTCCCAGTGTGGCTTCTGCACTCCTGGGATGGTGATGTCTATGTATTCGCTCTTGAGAAATAACCCCGAACCTACCATGGATCAGATAACTGCGTGCCTGGATGGTAGGCTGGCTTTCTCAAAGTATTTCCCCCCAAACTGATACATAAAAATTGTTGTTGTTGTTTTTATTTGAATGTCTTGTAAAATTGCTTAGTTAGGAGTAGGGGTGGGGGAGAGAGTCAAATCAGTTCACATTTAAAGGAGAATTTACCTAATTCACACTTTCTGAAACATTGCACAAACCGAAACACAGCCATCTTTTGAAATTCACGCTTCTCTGAATTTTGGAATGCAGTTCTCCAGTCAAGTGGTGTATACAAAAATGCATGTACAGTGGCACCTCTGGTTACGTACTTCATTCGTTCCGGAGGTCCGTTCTTAACCTGAAACTGTTCTTAACCTGAAGCACCACTTTAGCTAATGGGGCCTCCCGCTGCTGCCGCGCCATTGGAGCACAATTTCTGTTCTCATCCTGAAGCAAAGTTCTTAATCTGAGGTAATATTTCTGGGTTAGTGGAGTCTGAAACCTGAAGCGTATGTAACCCGAAGCATATGTAACCCGAGGTCCACTGTACTAGAGCAAAGTGTGCATAAAAATGCAAATATAAGTGAAAATAACATTTAAAATTGCATTATATTCAGGAAAATTTCTTTGCAAAAATGTGTATATTAGGAGAAATTCATGCTTAAGCGGTGATGAATTTTCACGAGGACTTAAAAAAATAATAATCACAAACTGATGCCTAAATGCAGAACACGGAAAAATGGGAAAATGAGTGAGACTGAAATTGACAGGTTCACCCATCCCTAGTTAGTAGCAGAACACTTACCCTATACATTTGTGTTGCTCTGTTGTTTGGTGTCATCTGGTTCCTGTGTGCTCTGAAGGACCATTTCTTAAATGCACGTGCATTTTGCTTACGGCTCAGTAGAGTCCAGGCTAACTAGCAGACAACAGGCCAGATTCAGCCCACCACCCTACAAGAGCAAATTTACTGGCTCCAAGTATTTCTTCTTCTTCTTTATTTTAAGTTCTAACAGCCCAAAAAAGCATGTCACCAAATAATTAAAACATATAACAACATTACATTTTGATCAACATATCCTCAGGTACATGGATAAGGAAAAGAAGCAGTGTGTATGCAAGAGACAGAGAAAGAGAGAGATTGCCCCCTTTAAGGCTACATTATTATTTTTAGTTTTGTATGCAAATCCTGGCCAAATCCCTGCCAAGGTTATTTGCCCTTGATCTCTGTTACACAAGTTGAATTGAAGTGCTAGGTTCAGATTGTAGCCTTTCAGACCTTTCCCATTGGTTGGGTTTGTGTTGCTCCCGGGAGAGAGGAAGGAGTCAATAGACACCAAGGGTTGGTTCAGAGAAAGAGTTTATTTCTGCTTTCCGGATAGCAGAAAGGCACTGCGTGATCAGTCACAGCGAGCACACTTAAGAGCGGTTACATACAGCTTATATCCCCTTCAGGTCCCCTTTCCCCCTCCCCAGGAATCCAGCCTCATGAGTTTGTACACGTAAGTTTACATCCTTGAGCATGAACAGATATTCCTGTTCCTGTACCCATATCTTGGGGTAAGAAGGTCACTTCACTATAGGAGTGCTCCTGGTGCCATCCCCGGGTGCGGGGGCTGACAGGCCTGTCTTGCAAGGTCTGTGCGTCAGCGTGGTCAGGATATTTACAACCTATAATATAAGACCCAGATCTGCCATCCCGTCTCCACTCGGGACTGACAAGGCCCTCCATTAAGCCTTCATGGACTGGTGAAGGAGAAGGCTCTGCTTATACAGCTGGGTTTGCTTAACACAGCCCAAGCTAGCCATTTTAGCTAATGGATCATTGAAGAAGGAATTTGGGAGTTTGGGGGCCTGGTTCGGGTGACTGCACAGTCAGGTTTGGGTAACCTGTTCCTTCAAGATGACTTGCAAAACTGTAGCTTTGATCTATTTATCTCTGTGTCTGATCGTTCCTTCCAGGCAATTTGTGCCGTTGCACAGGATACAGGCCTATAGTTGACAGCTTCAGTGCTTTCTCTCCGGTAAGGGAAACAAATAGAAAAAACAAATAATACTGTGTTAAAATTGCTATTTGTTGGTATACACAAAGGCACGGGGCACTTTTGACCCTTCGCCAAAGTGACGTGATAGAGGGATATAAAATTTTGCTTGGTCTCAGTGGTCAGGGCTCTCTCTCTGTCTCCCAGAGTCATCCCCAAAAGCTGAATGGTGGAAGATTAAGGGAAAGTGTGTATTATTCCCTCTTCACTACCACAATATGTGGAGATGGATGCCAACTTGGATGGCCTTAAGAAGGAATTAGGTAAAGTCACAGAGGATAAGGTTACCAAGAGCTGCTAGTCATGATGGCTGTCTATCACCTCCAATACCATACCTCTGGATGGTATTTAGTGAATATCACGGGTGGCGCTGTGGTCTAAACCACAGAGCCTAGGGCTTGCCGATCAGAAGGTCAGCGGCTCGAATCCCCACAACGGGGTGAGTTTCCATTGCTTGGTCCCTGCTCCTGCCAACCTAGCAGTTCGAAAGCACGTCAAGTGCAAGTAGATAAATAGGTACCACTCCAGCGGGAAGGTAAATGGCGTTTCCGTGCATTGCTCTGGTTCGCCAGAAGCGGCTTAGTCATGCTGGCCACATGACCCGGAAGCTGTCTGTGGACAAACGCCGGCTCCCTTGACCAGTAAAGCGAGATGAGCGCCGCAACCCCAGAGTCATCCGCGACTGGACTTAACGGTCAGGGGTCTCTTTACCTTTACTTGTTGAGGAACATGAGTTGGAGAGTGCTTCTAGGGAGGGGTATATCTTGTAGAGCTGGTGCTCCTCACGCACACTTTTCAGAGTCTACCTAATGTCCTTGTCAGGCTCTCCTCATCTCCTCATCCCTGGTTAATCTGGATTTACCCTTTCTGGGAGAAATCTGGCAATGACCTGTTGAGGGGGTGGGCATTCCAGGATATGGTCTAAGGCAGGCATAGGCAAATTCCGGCCCTCCAGATGTTTGGGACTACAATTCCCATCATCCCGGACCACTAGTCTTGTTAACTAGGGATGTTGGGAATTGTAGTCCCAAACATCTAGAGGGCTGGAGTTTGCCTCTGCCTGATCTAAAGGCACATGAAGCTACCATTTTACTGTAGCTAAGCAGTTCTGAATCTGTTCAGTGCTCGGTTGAGAGACTTCTTCAGAGCCATGTGGATGCCACTCGGGTTCTGTGATGGAAGAAAGGTAGGGTATTAATGTAAGAATATAAATACGACAAACATCTAAACACGTATTTTACAAGTGCAAACCTATGCATGTTTTCTCAAAAGTTCTCTTAGTATTTTCTAAGCCGCTTGATAGCCTTTGGGGCTAAAGGGCTGGGTGTAAATGCCACAAATAAAAATATAAAGGATCTGGCTGTGTTCCACAGGGCTTGCTTCACCTTGCAGCCTTAAAAATCCATATGCATTGCTTGGAATGGGATAACCCTCTGAAGGACTATTGAATGAATTCTTTCTTTAGGAATCCTGCCCGCTGGCAGGGAGTGGGAAATGCTGCATGGATAAAGATGGGAAAGAGAAAGAAGGTAAAGAGAAAGAAGGTAAAGAGAAAGAAGGTAAAGAGAAAGAAGGGAAAGAGGAACACTCGTGTTCCAGAGAAGGAAACCGGGTAAGTGACCACTTTCTAATTCCCACATTTATCACACAATGATTGAATGTGTGTAATCTTTACACAAGTGCCTGTGAGTTTATCTTGGTGTTTAAAACTTCCACTTGAAGAAAGCCTTCACACCCTAGTGGAACAGCCTTCCCTGACTTCAAACGGGGAATAGGAGAAACGAAGAATGGAAACAACACAACATAACACAACAAACTAAAACACTCTAATTCAACAACGGCAATTCATTGTTTGCAGTTACATTTCAAAGGTATTCACTCAGTTAAGAATGGATACCAATTATTGGGGGTGGGCTAAGATGCAGGGGGGCCTAACTCTGTGTACACTACGCTTATCTATAAATCTTCCATTACAGTTCCCCAGCCCTGCTTTACAGAGTCACATGAAGTCCGAGGAACCAGCAACAATAGAGAGGGATTTTACAAATATCCCAGAATGTGACTGAGCTCAGAAATACGTAGATGCCGATCCATCCTTCAAAGCACCATCTTGCCAGATGGGAGCAAGCTTCGGAGCGATCCCAACCCTACTCTAAAAGGGAACATAGTTTCCCAGAAAAATAGCAGTGTTTTGACAGAAAGTTGGCACCTGTCTGTCTCGAGCAACAATGGAGTGAACCTCTGGGGGTGAAGTTAGTAGCACTGAAGTGATCTCCCCGGGGCGCAAGCCTGAGCAGGGAGAATGCTGGGAAGTAATTAGTAGTAAATCTTTCTCCAACCCAGGAGTTTATTCAGGTCAACCCAGGATCACAGAGTTTCTACCCAGAGGAGAAACTGTAGTTCCACATTAAACAGTACAAAATGCCAGTTCACTGGAACTGCCAGAATTCCTCTGATGTTTAGTGAGAACTGGATCCATCTTTCAGAAGCAGTGCAAGCTTAATGCGATTTTGCAAAGTTGTGGCAGGGAAGGGTTGATGGTATTGTGTTCAAATGTTCCATGGCTGTGGGGCACCACACAACCTCCCCTCCTCTGCCTACCTATCCAGGTGACAATTAGGTTTGAAAAAAGTCCCGCAGTGGCTCCTGCCAACAGTTTCTAAGCTTAATTGTCACACAGGGGAGTACTAGGGGTTGGAGTCACAGTATGGGAGAGGAGGGTTAACGCTCCCTGTCTGCACTGATCGATACACCCCAAAATCCTACACACACAGGGAGTGCAATTTTACTTGCTAAATCATGCTTCAGAGGTCTAATGAGAGTCTCTGGAGCATTTGGTAATCCTAGAAGGGAGAAGCCAGATCTGTAAAACTTGGAACGTAAAAACATCGCTTTCAGAGGGTGAGGTGGCTTAGCTACCTTCTCATTCACCCAAGTTAAATCTTATTAGACTAGCTCTGACCTGCAGTGGGTATGTACACAGGACGTGTAACGTGATAGGTGAGTGGAAACATTTTCGGTTGTCAGCATTTCCCTCTACTCTTCTAATACTGTTTTGCAATAAGGCAAGTTTTGGCAAAGAGGATTTATGCCATCTTCATAATCCTTTCATCAGCTTTGTGATGAGTGTGAAGGTCAAGAATGGTTTAAATGGAGCTTGTGTTTCTTACACAACTGTGAAATATAATCACCACACCCTTGTGCAACATTGCAGAGGAAGCTCTAAACCTGCTTAACTATCTGGTTGTTTGCTAAGCAAAATCTTCAATTGGCAGTGGACTACTCTGTAAAGAGCTTTGGTTATTTGTGTTTTAAAATGGGGATTAATGCGATTTGAGGAGAAATGCTTTTCTAATGCGTTTACAAAAGAAGAAGAAGAAGAAGAAGAAGAGTAGAGCATGTTATGTTCCAAATGATTAAATGATGGTGACATTGTCCAAACAAAGGTCATCCACAATGTGATTTTATATCCTATCAATCCCAATTTGAGGCCCGCTGAACATATGCCTTGTTAAGTTGTGGGCGAACATATCAGACGACACAGCGATTCTTCAAACAGCTCTTGTTTATTCAGAGGCCATAATAGAACTGAACTGAAGAGCTCAGTCAGCCTGCTTATATAGAGCTCCAGAACATCGTAACTGTAGCAACTTTTTAAAACTATCCAATCACTGAACGTTACTTTCGATCCTTCATTTGCATAACTATCTACAGTATCCCCCTGCTGGCCCAGGGGGAGAACTTCAGTACATAACATGCCTGATCTGCATTGTCTATGGAGGCCTGCTTCACAAATGCAGGAAAACCAAATTGCTCACTTTTCTGAATCATGCAAATCCTTGTAATGTTTACAAAGCATCCCCTCAAAACCATCACCGAAGCACAGATCACCTCTTATGGCCACAGATGTGTTTGGGGATTTGTTGGTGCTTTTGTTGTTCATGAGGATCTGTGCCTTGGATCAATGGTTTTGACCACAATTCAAGAAGGACACTGACAAACTGGAACGTGTCCAGAGGAGGGCAACCAAAATGGTCAAAGGCCTGGAAACGATGTCTTATGAGGAACGGCTAAGGGAGCTGGGCATGTTTAGCCTGGAGAAGAGGAGGTTAAGGGGTGATATGATAGCCATGTTCAAATATATAAAAGGATGTCACATAGAGGAGGGAGAAAGGTTGTTTTCTGCTGCTCCAGACAAGCGTACACGGAGCAATGGATCCAAACTACAAGAAAGAAGATTCCACCTAAACATTAGGAAGAACTTCCTGACAGTAAGAGCTGTTCGACAGTGGAATTTGCTGCCAAGGAGTGTGGTGGCGTCTCCTTCTTTGGAGGTCTTTAAGCAGAGGCTTGACAACCATATGTCAGGAGTGCTCTGATGGTGTTTCCTGCTTGGCAGGGGGTTGGACTCGATGGCCCTTGTGGTCTCTTCCAACTCTATGATTCTATGATTCTATGATTCTATGACTTGTTCATAAGCACCAGATCTCTGTTGTTGTTGTTTTTTACTATGCTGCCTACCATTGTAAGCCTTAATTTGACGTTGCAAATTCAGGAAGATCCATTTTAATTCTCCTGGGCCTGACTTTTGCCAATACTATTTTGAACAGCAAATATGTGTCTGACTGAGTTTTGTCTCCTTATGTCTGTATTTGGGTCCAAGGGGAGTGGGGAGAGAAGTAACCAGATGGGGGTGTCGCCTACAGCACTCCCTTAAAAAAACTTTAAACATGGGCTCATGGGCCCCACATTTTTGGCCACTGCTAGTGGTATATTATACCCTTCTTTTCCACTTCCCGTGCATGCTAATATTAAGCCTTATTTTCTTTTCCTATAGATGTGTTCAGGTCTATGCAAGCCTGAAAGATTTCATCCCATTGACCCAACCCAGGATTATATATTTCCTCCTGAACTAATGGTAGGAGAAATTTGTTCATGCCTGTTGTGAAGGAGTCTACAATAGACTGTATAAGTGTGTGTGTGTGTGTGTGTGTGTTTGCATATTGTTACAAAGTTTGCATGCCACCCCTAATATTTGCTGAGTGGTAGCAAGATTCCAGTGGGTTCTAAGCACTCACTCGGGGTTATGTTTCCCCATACAACCCTAACACACTTACCCGACCCTCAACTGCTTACCAGATCTCCCCTGAAAATGCATCCCTCCTTCACTGGGGTTGCCAGAAGGATGAACGGGTTATTTTCCCCAATTGCCTGCTCATCATGGACTTCAGTCCTCTTTGTTGTTGTTGTTTAGTCGTTTAGTTGTGTCCGACTCTTCGTGACCCCATGGACCAGAGCACGCCAGGCACTTCTGTCTTCCACTGCCTCCCGCAGTTTGGTCAAACTCATGCTGGTAGCTTCGAGAACACTGTCCAACCATCTCGTCCTCTGTCGTCCCCTTCTCCTTGTGCCCTCCATATTTACCAACATCAGGGTCTTTTCCAGGGAGTTTTCTCTTCTCATGAGGTGGCCAAAGTATTGGAGCCTCAGCTTCAGGATCTGTCCTTCCAGGGAGCACTCAGGGCTGATTTCCCTAAGAATGGATAGGTTTGATCTTCTTGCAGTCCATGGGACTCTCAAGAGTCTCCTCCAGCACCAGAATTCAAAAGCATCAATTCTTTGGCAATCAGCCTTCTTTATGGTCCAGCTTTCACTTCCATACATCACTACTGGGAAAACCATAGCTTTAACTATACGGACCTTTGTTGGCAAGGTGATGTCTCTACTCTAGTCCTCTTTACTAGAGTATGAAAAGACAGCAACTTCACATCTCTGTGAAGTTTTTCTATCGCTGCCACTTTGTCCCCCTTATCAACACTGTGGAAACTCTCTGAAAATATTTTCTGTTTTTTTCTTACACACTTCTTTTTAAAGCCAGAAATTCTTGCAATTTTTAAATTACCATAAATGTAATCTCCTCTGTGTTGTGGATGCACAAAACAACACCAACACAATAGTTTCTTACAAAGCTATCCTGGGAAGAGTGCTTAACACTTAACTGTAAGGTGTGGTTCAGGATTAAAGAGGGCTTGGTTCTCCCTGAAACAGCTATGTTTGCATTTTGTTCATCATTGTGCAATACTCTATCCATGTTGCTTTTCCTCACAGAGGTTGGCCGAAGAGAGCAAAGGAAAAACTCTGGTTTTCAATGGAGAGAGAACCACCTGGATTTCTCCCGTGTCTCTGCAAGAGCTTGTCAACCTGAAAGCCAACTACCCAGATGCACCTCTTGTTGTAGGAAATACAAGTGTAGGTATGTAAATGCAGCCCTGCTAATCACCCAATCAGCCCAGAGGTCACACAAATCATAGAATTGTGAATGGCTGTGGGTTAAACCACAGAGCCTAGGACTTGCCAGTCAGAAGGTCAGCGGTTCGAATCCCCGCAATGGGATGATCTTCCGTTGCTCGAACCCCGCTCCTGCCAACCTAGCAGTTCGAAAGCACGTCAAAGTGCAAGTAGATAAATAGGTACCACTCTGGCAGGAAGGTAAACGGTATTTCTATGCGCTGCTCTGGTTCACCAGAAGCGGCTTAGTCATGCTGGCCACATGACCCGGAAGCTGTACGCTGGCTCCCTTGGCCAATAAAGCGAGATGAGTGCCGCAACCCCAGAGTCAGCCACGACTGGACCTAATGGTCAGGGGTCCCTTTACCTTTACCTTTATGCCACTTTACCAGTCATGGTTTCCTCCAAATATTCTTTGGAACTGTAGCTTACCCATGACAGAGCTGCAATTACCAGAACCATTAACAAACTACAGTTCCCAGCATTCTTTGGGAGAAGACACGTGCCTTGAAAATATAGTGCGGACGTGATCAAAGTGTTGCATAGCATGAGGCAATATCTGCAAGGAAAGCTACTAAACGTTTAAGATAAAATGAAGCTGCCAGCTTGACACCAAAACTTACATACATCTATATACATGCATATGACTATATCTAGAGCAGGGGTCACCAACATGGTGCCCCCAGATGTATCATATGACCAATGACCAGGGATAATGGGAGCTGTATGCCAGCAAGCACCTGGAGGGTAATGCACTGGCTATTCCTGGTCTAGGCAACTGACCGTATTAGTAATATCACTGGAAATAGAAGCCTGGTGTAGCAGTTGTTCATGGATCATGCAGAACACTTCAGGCTAAATTTGGTGATATGAGGTGACTCTAATAGTGAGGAGACTGCTGTATGAAGCAGAATGGTGTGGCAGAATTCAGAATTGGTAGAATGGACTGTAATACTGTAGACGGCAGGTATGGAATCTGATTTTTGAATGCCTGCTGTGTAAAAACAAAATCTCCCTGTACATACAAAATTAGCTCATTGGGGAGAAACATACAAGCTGCTGTGCTAGGTTTAAACTTGCCGGGGGGGGGGTGTTTTTAATGCATGAAGCTGTTAAAAATGTGATTCTAACCTAGTTTGAGGGACTGACTAGATGTGACAGATATAGAGTGTGCATTGATTGGAGCCAACACCTAGAGGCTGAGGTCCCTTTGCCCTCCCCCAATAAAATATTGGGGGGGCTGGTGCCCCCAAAAGTTGTTTCTGCCACCTTGCTTGTAGTCCTGCTTTATCTTTCTGATATCTCATTGTGATTTTGTCCCTTTTAGGACTTGATATGAAACTTCTTTCTGTCTATCATCCCGTTCTCCTTCATCCTACTAGGATCCCAGATCTGCATGTTACTGAAGTTGGAGACAACGGTACGTCTCTAAGCAGTCACTGGGGCCAACATTGGGGATTAGTGTTTTAGCTCTTTGGTTGGCGATAAACTGTACTGAAGACAGAGAGCCAGTGTGGTGTAGTGGTTAAGAGCGGTAGTCTCGTAATCTGGGGAACCGGGTTCGCGTCTCCGCTCCTCCACATGCAGTTGCTGGGTGACCTTGGGCCAGTCACACTTCTCTGAAGTCTCTCAGCCCCACTCACCTCACAGAGTGTTTGTTGTGGGGGAGGAAGGGAAAGGAGAATGTTAGCTGCTTTGAGACTCCTTCGGGTAGTGATAAAGCGGGATATCAAACCCAAACTCTTCTTCTTCTTCTGAATGTACTGTACTACAATGATAAACAGCATATGCATTGCCAATGTGAATATAGGCAAGCGATAATTCTTAACTTGTGGGCTTCACTGAATAAGGTATTGCCTTCATACGTTGAAGGATAGACCTATTGTCCCATAGCAATCATGGAACTAGTTGTGGCTAGCTTTAAAACAATATGGATTTCAATAGGACTCTGCCCTTATTGACTTTGGCTAGACTGGGGCCATTGTGTCTGGATGGATGGATGCACACATCTTAGAGATACCATTTTCTCACCTATTATTTGCATACATATTTAGCAGGCAATGTTTCACCTGTTATTTTGACGTTATTTGCATGGTTTATAAGGCAGGAGATAATACAAACCCAAGATTCACTAGGATGAGGGAGTTAGGATCCTGTTTAGTCAGCTGGTTCCTAGTGCAACCAGGTTATGCTGGTGTGAGCCCCAGATCCTAGATCAGCTGGAGATCCCCTGGAATAAAACTCTCACCATGGATCAGCTAGCTCAGGTGAGACTGGTAGATCCTACTCTGGCAGAAACTCTGAAAAACAGGTGTTATTGGGTAGTTGTGGGAGGATTAATGGTGGATCCTAACTCCACCGAGCTCTGTCACATGACCTGGCAACCCGGCAGAACCTACGCCAGCAAAAAGGGTGTTGCAAACAAAACTTTATTTTAAAGGCTTGTTTCCACTCTCCCTGACTTAGGCTAGCTCAGCCAGCAGTAGAGCTGCTCCTGAACAGAGTTTGAAATAGAGGTAATTTACACTTGCCTAGCTTCCACTGGCTTAGTAAATTCCTCCAACTCTGTCTGGCTTCAACCCTATACATGCTCACCTGGGGGCAAGCCCCACTTAACCCATTTGGATTTACTACTCAGTAGACACGTGGGTGGCGCTGTGGGTTAAACCACAGAGCCTAGGACTTGCCGATCAGAAGGTCGGTGGTTCGAATCCCCACGACGGGGTGAGCTCCCGTTGTTCGGTCCCTGCTCCTGCCAACCTAGCAGTTCAAAAGCACGTCAGAGTGCAAGTAGATAAATAGGTACCGCTCCGGCAGGAAGGTAAACGGCGTTTCCATGCGCTGCTCTGGTTCACCAGAAGCGGTTTAGTCATGACCCGGAAGCTGTACGCCAGCTCCTCGGCCAATAAAGCGAGATGAGCGCCGCAACCCCAGAGTCAGTCATGACTGGACCTGATGGTCAGGGTCCCTTTACCTTTACCTTTAGACATGCACTGGATTGCATATACAGTGGTACCTCGGGTTACAGATGCTTCAGGTTACAGATGCTTCAGGTTATAGACTCCGCTAACCCAGAAATAGTACCTCGGGTTAAGAACTTTGCTTCAGGATGAGAACAGAAATCGTGCAGCGGCAGCAGGAGGCCCCATCAGCTAAACTGGTGCTTCAGGTTAAGAACAGTTTCAGGTTAAGAATGGACCTCCAGAACAAATTAAGTTCTTAACCCGAGGTACCACTGTATCAGTTATTTGCTGCCCCTTATCATGACAAACACCAACTCTGCCTGCGGACTGTGTGGCTCTTTAAAAATGCCCATTTGTGCTCCCCATCCCCCTTGTGAAAATTGCTTGGTTCCAGGGATCTTGATCGGCGCAGCAGTCCATCTTGCCCAACTGAGGGACTTCCTATTAACCATCGTCCCAGAACTCCCAATGGAAAAGTCAAAGATTTATGGTGTGCTGCTGAAGCAACTGAGGACCCTTGCTGGAGAACAAATTAGGAATTTGGCGGTAGGTTTCCCACTTTGCTTCCTTTGACCAGGTACAGATAATAACAACAACAACAACAACAAAACAACAACAACAACAACAACAATAAATAAATAAATAAATAAATAAATAAATTTATTATTTATACCCCGCCCATCTGGCTGGGTCCCCCCAGCCACTCTGGGCGGCTTCCAACAAAACACTAAAATACAATAACCTATTAAACATTAAAAGCTTCCCTAAACAGGGCTGCCTTCAGATGTCTCCTAAAAGTTTGGTAGTTATTTTTCTCTTCGACATCTGGTGGGAGGGCGTTCCACAGGGTGGGTGCCACTAATAATAATAATAATAATAATATAATAATAATAATAATAATAATAATAAATTTTATTTATATCCCGCCCTCCCTAGCCGAAGCCGGGATCAGGGCGGCTAACAACAATAAAACAGTACAAAAGTACAGCACAAACAAACACTCTAAAATCATTCATTATAAAATTAATTCAAATCAAGCCACTGGCAACCATTGGGCCAGAGCTCCGCGAAGATTGCCGAGGGGAGTCAGGCTGTGCCCTGGCCAAAGGCCTGGTGGAACAGCTCTGTCTTGCAGGCCCTGCGGAAAGATGTCAAGTCCCGCAGGGCCCTGGTCTCTTGTGACAGAGTGTTCCAGAAGGCGCTTTGCCTGGTTCCCTATAAGGTTCCCTGTAAGATTACTTCCAGCCATGGCTTCACAGTTCTGCCCTCCATTCTCTCATAAATATTTGCACCCTATCCAATGCTCTGTCTGTACTGCTAAGCCATGGGCTTTCTTCCCCGTTGCTCCAGAACTATCAGGTGGATCACTAAGGGTGAACATTTGGCAATAAAGGAACAGTTATGGGGTGGTGAAGGATGAATACACTTGTCTGTGTGAAGGACCCCACTCTGTCCCTACCATTGCCTGGGTCGTTTTTGCTTTTACTCATCTTTCCCAGCCTTTGGAGGATAGACAACTGGCTGTGTGGTGCCCACTTCTAAACACACAAGATGTTGTCTTAGTGATTCACAAACCCACCTGCCAGTCCAAATCAAGAAGTCCCAACATTAAGGAAATCCAAAGGGAAAATATGAAGAACAGAGGATCTGACGAACGGATTAACAAAAACGCGTGAGGCAAACGGTGGAAGTCTTTTTTAAAAAAAACACTTTATTTAAGGTAGATAAGGACAAGAGGAAATTACACAATTGAATATAAATATAGATGGGAAATGGCTATGTATAGTGAATACTTATCTACTTTTAAAAATTTTCACCTATGATTTTTTCTTTTACTTCTTTATTTTTTCTTTGTTCTTTTTTCCTTTTTTCTGATATCTTATCTTTCATTTCACTCCTTTATTGTGAATAGCATTTTATAGAGGTATAAATAATTGTAAATATGAAAAGAGACAAAGTATTCTGTATTTTTTTTCTTGGTTATATGTATTTTCTTTTTCTTTTGTATTTTCTTTTGTTGTAAATATGTATGTTTTCTAATTTGTACTTAATAAAATTTAAAAAATTTAAAAAACAAAAAAACAAAAAGTCCCAACTCTCTTACTGACAACAAGTCAGTGGAAAGATTGGCAAGTCTCTTATTTTAAGCGACAAAGGGAAGCACTCAAGTGCCTCATTAATACCAAGGCACACAGAGCAGTCACATCCCATAAGAGTTATATATCCCATTGATGTTGTCTCTATATCATTTTCCTCTGTTGTTAATCTCAGTTTTCCAAAGCTGGTTTTCATTTTAAAAACTAAGGAAAACAAGACATGCATAGTTTGTCCCCCCCCACTCTCCTGTTTAAATAAATAATGATTTTTAAAACTTTGCTGGCTTAAGATCCAGGGCTTGAATCCAGCTGAGGCTGCATACACAATATACCGTATTTTTCGCTCTATAGGACGCACCGGACCATAGGACGCACCAGACCATAGGAGGGGGAGAAGAGGAAAAAAAATAATCTCCCCCTCTCTGCTCAGCGCCCCTTCAGCGAAGCGGCAGGAGAAATGGAGCCCCTTCCATTTCTCCTGCCGCTTCGCTGAAGGGGCGCTGCGCAGAGAGGGGAAACTGTGCAGCACCTCTCCAGCGAAGCGGAGCCTGGAGAGCAAGAGGGATCGGTGTGCACTGACCCTCTCGCTCTCCAGGCTTCAGGCAGAACTCCTGCTGCGCTCGGAAGGCTTGCGGATAGCTGCCTGAAGCCCTCGGAGCGCAGCCTTTGAAGCCTCCGCAGAGCAGCGGGGTGAAGGCACCCATCTGCCCTGCGGAGGCTTTGTGCAGCCACCCCCAAGCTAGAACAGCGAGACGGAGCGCTGCGCAGCGCTCCGTCTCCCTGTTCTGGCTTTGGGCTTAGCTGTGCAGCCTGCATTCACTCTATAGGACGCACACACATTTCCCCTTAATTTTTGGAGGGGGAAAAGTGCGTCCTATAAAGCGAAAAATACGATACCCCTAAAACACACGCTAAGCATATTTCCCTCTTCAAAGAATTTTGGGCACTGGAGTTTGTTAAGGGACACTGGGAATTGTAACTCTGTGACCAGCAAACTACAGCGCCCAGAATCCTTTGAGAGGGGAAATTGAGTTGTTGTTTTTTAACCATTTGAAGGGTTTTGGTTTTTTTTTAACAATCAAGCAGTGTATAAATTTTAAGAAATAATAAATAAAGGATATAATTAATGATAATATAGGTATACCCAATTTAGTAGTCGTAACAGTGATATCATTGTCCATTAGTCTTTAGGAGGACATATCGTGAGCAGAGGGTCAACCTGGGATCTGAACCCTGTCCTGGCTGCTGGGAATGCGCTTCTCAATCTGGTATCAATAGGTAAAAGGCAATGTCTCCCGTTGCATACATTTCTGCACTGGGTGTTGTTGTTTAGTCGTTTAGTCGTGTCTGACTCTTCGTGACCCCATGGACCAGAGCACGCCAGGCCCTCCTGTCTTCCACTGCCTCCCGCAGTTTGGTCAGGCTCATGTTTGTGGCTTCGAGAACACTGTCCAGCCATCTCGTCCTCTGTCGTCCCCTTCTCCTTGTGCCCTCCATCTTTCCCAACATCAGGGTCTTTTCCAGGGAGTCTTCTCTTCTCATGAGGTGGCCAGAGTATTGGAGCCTCAGCTTCAGGATCTGTCCTTCCAGTGAGCACTCAGGGCTGATTTCCTTAAGAATGGATGCGTTTGATCTTCTTGCAGTCCATGGGACTCTCAAGAGTCTCCTCCAGCACCAGAATTCAAAAGCATCAATTCTTTGGCGATCAGCCTTCTTTATGGTCCAGCTCTCACTTCCATACATCACTACTGGGAAAACCATGGCTTTAACTACACGGACCTTCCTAGTCAGTTGATTCGCTCACCATTTGTATTTGTAACTGTTATTTCATTGTGTACATTTAGTTTGATCAAAATGTACACAATGAAATAACAGTTACAAATACAAATGGTGAGCGAATCAACTGACTAGGAACTTTTTCTGCTCTTATAAACTGTTAATAAGAAAGCTTTAGACACTTTGATCAACAGTAACATAGCATCTAGTACAGTAAGTATTTTCCAATGATTTATTGGTAAACATAGATCCTATATTCTAGGGCAGGGGTCAGCAAACTTTTTCAGCAGGGGGTCGGTCCACTGTCTCTCAAAACTTGTGGGGGGCCAGACTATATTTTTTTGGGGGGGGGAGGAAATGAACAAATTCCTATGCCCCGCAAATAACCCAGGGATGCTTTTTAAATAAAAGCACACATTCTACTCATGTAAAAACACACTGATTCCCGGACCATCCATGGGTTGGATTTAGAAGGCGATTGGGCTGGATCCGGCCTGCGGGCCTTAGTTTACCTACCCATGTTCTAGGGACTGTGAACTACCTGTTTCTTGATTGAGCTGAGAATTACCATATTTTTCGCTCCGTAGGGTGCACCGGACCATAGGGCGCACCTAGTTTTTAGGGGGGGAATAAAGGGCGGGAAATTATTCCTCCCCCAGCCCCAAAGAGCAAAGAAGCCAAGGCTGGATCCATCCCACTGGCTGTCTTGGCTTCCTTGTTAGCCACACGCAGCCTCTCCAGCCGGGAGAGTCTGCGCGCGGCTTCGCTTTTAGCCGCGGGGCTGGATCGGGGGAAGCTGGGTCGGGGGATAGCTGCCTGAAGCCCCGGAAGCGCAGCGGGAGTTGGCGCTGCGCTCCCAGGGCTTCAGGCTGCAGGCTGCTATCTGCAAGCCTTCGGAGTGCTCCGAAGGCTTGCGGATAGCTGCCTGCAGCCTGAAGAGCGAGAGGGGTCGGTGTGCACTGACCCCTCTCGCTCTCCAGGCTTCAGCAAAAGCCTGCATTCACTCCATAGGACGCACACACATTTCCCTTCATTTTTGGAGGGGGAAAAGTGTGTCCTATAGAGCAAAAAATACGGTATTAGGAGACCCCTATCAGAGCTATCACCTTTAACAAACTACAGCTCCCAGGATACTTTAGGGAAGCTGTGGCTGTTAAAGCGGTACAAGAATGCTTTAAACGGATGGTGTGGATGTGATTCAATTTCATAATAGTAGGGAGGGGGTGGGAATAAAATCATGCCCTAATATCAGAAGTCATTGGGAGACTGCAGAATCCTTACTCTCCTTCCCCGTTTTGCTCTTATGACTATGATGAGAGAGAGGAAACCTACTAACTGATGTTCTGTTACAATGGCAAAATGCAGGGTGGTGTATTATTACATGAAGTCTATGATATATGATATTGCCCAGGAAGACAATATATAATAATAAACAAGTGGAAGTCCATTGTATTTATCAACGACAAATGCCAACTGACAAGTGTGCAGGTTTGATCTTGCAAAGTTCTGACCGATACTACCTTGGCTACAAATTGGGAGCATCTGAAATGGCTAGAATTATTTATAGCTGTCAGCACCCTTCATACAAATGTTTCTGTTGGGTAAATCAGCCGTTAAGGGGGCCAGTTCTGCCTCAGAGCTTGAATAGATGCAGCAATTTTCTCTTGCATGGGACAGATAAAATCAGTATCTGTTAAGAGCTCATTCTCTAAAGACTATTGTTTCCTCTATCAGATGGATCACGACAGATTCCCTTGAATGATGAATTCCTTGCGCACTTGCCACAGGCAGACCTTTCACCAAGAGAGGTCATAGTCTCTGTTTTTATCCCTTTCTCCAAGGAAGTAAGTTGTGTGTTGTTTGTTTGTTTGTTTGTTTGTGTATGTTTTCCTCCCCACCCCTCCAAACACAAGGTGATTTCTGCACCGTGGAACACTTACGTTGGGCAAGACAAGATTTGTATCAAAAGCTCAACATAAATTAGTCCATGCAGGCACATAAATGACAGGTCAACACATTGCTGGAGAGAGAGGCAACATATTTCCTAGTATTCATCTACCAGTAGAAAATCACATTTAAATTACCTAGGGATCTGTGAGGGTGGGAATCTTAACGAAAGACACATTGCTCCCTGTTGCTCATTTATTTGTTTATTATATTTATCATCTGGTTTTCAGTTAGAAAATTGACACCTCAAATAGCCTACACCCTATAACAATTAAAATCCTACACAAATTTCACATACAGGACAAAATAGTCATACTTCACTAAATCAATATGCCAATACATAAAAAGCATGCATTGAAAACAGTCAATAAAGCTGCATTTAATAAAATGGGTGGTCTTCTCCAAATATATGCAGGGGTCTGGGAACAGAGAGACCAACATTTTTTTTTAAAATTGTAACTCTTGAGTCCCTTTCGCTCTCACTTGGATTCAACCTTCCGACTCTACAATTCTAAGATTCCCTGATTCTATATTAGCTCTGGAAAGTTCAGATCAGTTTATTTCTTACTAGAATTTGCATATAACAAATTCCTCAAGCATGTCTCGATGCGCACACTCATTAACTTTTGTCCCACTGGGCACATAGGTATTGCAGGTTTCTCAAGAAGTACAAAAATATGCTAAACCTGTGAGCAGTGTTGATTGCATATGTGCCATGGGGAGTAATATTTCCTTCACCAGTAAGCAGCCACATTGCCGTCCCCATCTCTCTAGAGCAGCTTTCCTCAACCTGATGCCCTTGGGATATTGGACTACAACTCTCATCCCTGACCAGGCTGGTGCTGATGGGAACTTGAGACCAAAAGGCTGCTGTAGATGAATGATATCCAGATTTCTTGGATGGCTGAATGGCCCATGTGATGCCAAAGTTATCAACTCCCTTCTTTAATCCACTCCTATACAGCAAGAATAAAACAACAACCAAGTGAGGCTGAGTTTGATAGGAAGTATAGTTTATATCAGGCATCTCCAACTCCCAAGAGACAGTGATCTACTCCCACTAAAAAAACAACTGGTAATGATCTACCCATTGTCATTGCCAAGAGTTGTTGATCTTTTTTTGGGAAGGGATGGTCAGAGTTGTTGAGCAATCTACCTGGAACACCCCTGCGATATACCGGTAGATCGTAATCTACCATACCTTTAAATACATGGATATTAACAACCAACCACATGTGCATTGGGACGCGGGTGGTGCTGTGGGTTAAACCACAGAGCCTAGGACTTGCTGATCAGAAGGTCGGTGGTTCAAATCCCTGTGACGGAGTGTGAGCTCCCGTTGCTCGGTCCCTGCTCCTGCCAACCTAGCAGTTCGAAAGCATGTCAAAGTGCAAGTAGATAAATAGGTACCACTCCGGCAGGAAGGTAAACGGCGTTTCCGTGCGCTGCTCTGGTTTGCCGGAAGCGACTTAGTCTTGCTGGCCACATGACCCGGAAGCTGTACGCCAGCTCCCTCGGCCAATAAAGCGAGATGAGCACCGCAACTCCAGAGTCGGTCACGACTGGACCTAATGGTCAGGGGTCCCTTTACCTTTTTACATGTGCATTGCCCTATGTATACATGAGCTAGGATGGCAACATCTTCCCAGCGAGTTTATGATGTAGTCTATCGTTTGGCACATATATGTATGATGATTGAAGGTGGCAATCTGTCAGGGTGAAATTACACATTACATTGTTCATATGCCTTTAAAAAGCATTCTTAAACTGGCCACTTCCATTTTGAAGAAAATGAATTTTGAGACTCCAATTTGAAATAGATCCTTGATCTAGATCAGGGCCCTGCAATGTCCACAACAAAATTCTCCCCTGTCTGCTGTTTTATTCCTGAATGTGTTTCTTGTAGTAAACTGTACGCATTTAAGGGCAAACAGTTGCCTGTGAAGAGAGCGGTTTTCAGAGGGAAACAGGAGCAGGGCCCAGACTGGGAACACATTCCAGACTGAAGCTTTGCACATGTTATTTCCTTCCAAAATAAAAGTGGCAAGGGTAACTACACATTTTATAAAGACCACGAATAATGTAACATGTAATTCGACCCTTACTGACTGTTTCCCGGAAGGCTCTTTACGTATAATGTCACCCTACAGCTACTAGCATGATGAGGGCAGTAAAATAACCCAATTTCTCCTCCTTGCATCTGCCAGGATGAATTTGTGTCAGCATTCAGGCAGGCTGAGCGCCGAAAAAATGCATTGTCTGTGACAAATTCTTCAATGAGAGTCCTTTTCCAGCCAGGCTCTGGTGTCATCGAGGACATGGCTATTTTATATGGTGGCATTGGTCCTACCACAGTGAGCGCAAGAAATACCTGTCAGAAGCTCATTGGAAGGTACATTGACTGTAACATTTGACATTATATAGGAATAGCTGTTTCTTGCTTTTGGAGGAGTTTGGGGCAGAATCTAGAAGCTAGGAAAATTAAACTCTCTGTACTTTAACCTTGTCTGCAAGTAGTAATGAAAAACTTTTTTTTAAAAGGTGGGCAAATGTCTTCATTTCAAAATTGGTTTAGATCATGTCAGAATGCTGCTCTTAAAAACTAACAAACAAAAGCACCTCTCCAACATTTCACCAAACCACACTGGAGTGGAAGTGGAGAAGAATTGCAATTTCTGTGAATATGAATTGGGATAAAATTTAAGAGCATAATTATACATATCAGTTTTCTAGGAATTTTTTTCATTTTGTGGTTCCTGGGAATTGTGGGACTAGATGTCATGTAATTCAGTTCCCTGAACTGCGGCAAGATCATTCAATCATTTTTTCATTTATTACCCAACCTTCTCCCTAGGGTTCCAGGGCAGGTTACAACATTAAAACACCATGTTAAATAAAACAAAACCTTCCACACTCTTATGTATTTGGGTTAAGATTTAGGGAAGTTTTTAATATTTAATGCTGTATTGTTTTTAACACTCAATTGGGAGCTGCCTGGAGTGGCTGGGGAAACTCAGCCAGATGGCCGGGGTATAAATAAAATATTATTATTATTATTATTATTATTATTATTATTATTATGACACAAATCTTAACTTCATCGTTCCTTATTAGTCAAGTCATGACCTATGTACATCTTCATATCCCGCTTGTGAGTTTCTCAAGGCATCTTATCTGACTGGTCACTGTTAGAAACTTTGTTCTGATCAACGACTTTAAGTGTTTTATCCATATGTTCCTAATGCACACTGTGGATGATGTAGGCTGGGTCACCAGCACCAATATCCTGTTCTTCCATGTTAAAATTAGCTATGACTGGTTCATATTATGCAATCTATTTTCCCACCATAGAAAGGACCTGTTTTGAATAATATTATTTATCAGTTCCTGAGAAACCTGAAATGAAATCCCATCTGTTGAGTTTTCTTGTGGCAAAGTGTACTTCGTTATCAAAGTCACTTTAATAAACGCATTTGGAAACCTTTTTCTCCTCACCCCTTCAAAACTCTGCATATACAGATCTATCATTTGCTAAAATAAACTTATTTGGTTGTATTATTTCTCCCCCCAGCAACTGGGATGAAGGGATGCTGAATGAAGCTTGCAGGCTAATTCTTGAAGAAATTATCCTCTCTCCTTCAGCCCCGGGTGCAAAAGTGGAATACAGAAGAACCCTGCTTGTCAGCTTCTTCTTCAGATTTTATCTGCAAGTGCTACAAGGTTTAAAGAACATGGTAAATAACACCCCAAAGAACAAAGCAGGGCAATAACTTTAAGAATGTCACAAAATGGCGCCCAAGCCTTCAGGCTTCTCCAGAGCTCTTCATCAGGCTGGGTATTAAGCAAAGGGGGGGGGGGGATGAGAGAAAATAATAATCACCCTTCCTATTTGAGTAGAAAGCCTTATACCTTTCCACTCCAGTCTCCAGCAACTCTTCACTCAGTTCCCAAAAGCTTTGTGGTATGGGAAATAGCTCTGCTATAAATCAAGCCGATATTAAAGGCACAAGAGCAAGTCTGGCCTTATTTTTGGGGTAAGCAGTTAGTAACTGAGCTAGGTACATATTCACACGGTGCTTATGGCACACATGCCTCTGAATACAAGTGGCTTGCAACACATATAAGAGGGTGCCATTGTCTTGCCTACTTTCCATAGGCACTCAGTTGACCACTATGAGAACAGAATTCTGGACCAGATGGACCTTTCGTCTGATCCAACAAGGCTTCTCTTGTGTTCACTATAGGTGGATAAGAAATAAACTATCCCTCCTCTTAAAACAATGTTCCTCCTACTTTCCTGCCTCTACCAAAGACCATTGTTTCCATTAACAATTTTTACACACCATTTTTTCTGCACCTATGTAGAAAAATTGTCTTACATACAACAGGCCTTTCTTCCTATGTATCAGATGCCATGCTGTTTTCATTCAGCCTGTGCTTCATGCTGGCTCGAATACAACTTTTTACAAAAATTAAAAAGTTTGCTAAAATGTTATAAGTGGAGATTTTGCTTACATGACTGGAAACCTCCCCACGTGAAATTTGTGTAGAAATGACACACCAGAAGTAGTTGTGCAAGTCATATCTTAATTTCAGCACCCTGGTAGTACATATTTGGGCAATGAATTACCATTATATGGTTGCTTGCCCCTGAATAATTTATTGGGAAAAATTGATGTAATATATAATTAATTTGTCTTTCCACAGAATCCATCTAAGTATCCTGACTTGCCAAAGAAATATGCCAGTGCTTTAGGCGAGTTCCGTGAGAAACCACCTCAGGGTATGCAAATATACCAGGTCAGTGAAATTGTTTTCATTGCTTTTCATCATATAACACTAACATTCATGTCAATGATATCATGTTAATCCACACTTCTCTAAGTATAATGGGTTGTATTCAACTGAGATCTACCCAGAGTAGGCCCACTGAAATTAATGCTTCTAAGTTACTCATGGAGGACGCGGGTGGCGCTGTGGGTTAAACCACAGAGCCTAGGACTTGCCGATCAGAAGGTTGGCGGTTCGAATCCCCGCGACAGGGTGAGCTCCCATTATTCGGTCCCTGCTCCTGCCAACCTAGCAGTTCGAAAGCACGTCAAAGTGCAAGTAGATAAATAGGTACCGCTCCGGCAGGAAGGTAAACGGCGTTTCCGTGCACTGCTCTAGTTCGCCAGAAGCGGCTTAGTCATGCTGGCCACATGACCCGGAAGCTGTACATCGGCTCCCTCGGCCAATAAAGTGAGATGAGCACCGCAACCCCAGAGTCAGTCACGACTGGACCTAATGGTCAGGGGTCCCTTTACCTTTACCACCCAGTGATCTGTGACTTAACAAATTGATTAGGTGGTTTACACCAATAAAAATATAAAGCAAAGCAATAGAATACAAATCAGGTATAATGAAAACAATTCCTTGACTCCGACACACAGAAGAAAAATCATCATGAAATTGTTGTTCAATTCCATAAAATTCCAGCTGTGAAAAAGCAGCAAACAAAGCTTCAGCTCAGCCCAGCTCCAAAAACTTGCCAGAAGAGGTGTGTCTTGACCTGTTTCCTAAATGAGTATAGGGAAGTGGCCAGGTGCACCCCAGTGGGGAATTACATAGATGCAAAGCCACCATTGAAAAGGCCCTTTCCCAGGACCCTGTGCTATGTACTTCTCCCTGTACAGGAACCACTGCAGATCTCAAAGCATGGGCAAGCTGGGATGGGAGCAGTCATTCTCTCAGCTACATGAGACCTGGGTCATTCAGGGATTTAAATAGAAGTATAAGCACCTTGAATTGGGCCTGGAACTCAGTTGCCAACCGATGTAGCTGTTGTAAAATGGGGGTTATATGCACTCAAGCCACGGCCCCAACCAGCACCTGGCTGTCGTATTTTGCTCTAATTGCAGTTTATGGACCTTTTTCAAAGGCAGCCCCACAGAGAGTACAATACAGCAGTCTATGACCGGGAACAATACAGTGGTGCCTCTGGTTACGTACCGTACTTAATTCGTTCCAGAGGTCCGTTCTTAACCTGAAACTGTTCTTAACCTAATCCAGTAGTAAATTAGTATACATAAAGGTAAAGGTACCCCTGCCCGTACGGGCCAGTCTTGACAGACTCTAGGGTTGTGCGCCCATCTCACTCAAGAGGCCGGGGGCCAGCGCTGTCCGGAGACACTTCTGGGTCACGTGGCCAGCGTGACAAGCTGCATCTGGCGAGCCAGAGCCGCACACGGAAACACCGTTTACCTTCCCGCTAGTAAGCGGTCCCTATTTATCTACTTGTACCCGGGGGTGCTTTCAAACTGCTAGGTTGGCAGGCGCTGGGACCGAACAATGGGAGCGCACCCCGCCGCAGGGATTTGAACCGCCGACCTTTCGATCGGCAAGCCCTAGGCGCTGAGGCTTTTACCCACAGCGCCACCCGCGTCCCTAAATTAGTATACATACAAATAAATAAATAAATCAGATCACCAAAAAACCAGGATCTCAGCAACAAAATGTCAACATGGAAGCAGAATATCACTCTAAGCCCAAAGGCCCAGTGAAACAATCCTTTTAAGGAGAGTCAGAAAACCTGCAGTATGGAAGCCCATATGAATCTCTTGCAGGGAGAGTTCCACAATCTAGACACTACTGCTAAAAAGATCCTGCCTGATGTCTGTTGGTTTCTGCTTTCCTCACTGTGCAGCAAATGCTTGTCACATGACAATGTTTACATTCCACAGTCAGAGTTACTGTTGGGTTCCCACAGGAATGGAAGACTGGATGTGACGTACACTGGTTTCCTGTTTTTCTCAGTGTTCTCTCGGTTTCTTTGTGTCGAGAGTTGTTGCTTCTCTGCTCTCACAGAGGCAAGATGTACGTTTGTATGCTCTCAGCATAGCTTGTAAATAAACTTCAGCATGTAGCACATTACCTGCTTATCCTTTCGTCTGCGTGACTACGCTCTGCTTGGGCTCAAGATAAGACGAGCCTGTACCAGCTCCAGATGGGCCGGAGCTGGTCAAATCTCACAATGTCACCATTAATTGAACCACTGAAAGTGGTGGGACAGAGAGCAGGGTCTCCACTGGTTATCTTAAGAATTAGGCAGATTCATGAGGTAGAAAGTTGTCCTCCATAATACCAAGGATACTAATTGAAAATGTTTACATATACTAACAGAAAACGTATATTTGGCCAACATGATTTCATAGCTTGACTGGTCCTCCTATATAAGCCAATATGGAATCGGAGCTTTGGGTACAGATAGTAACATGGTACAAGTTCTGGGCCCAACGTTCAGCCTGTACAAATTGAAATACAACCATGTTGTCACCATATAATTTTAGTAAGATTTTCTGAGTAGTACTCAGTAAACTAATGAACCGTCTGTACAGTGGTACCTTGGGTTAAGTACTTAATTCGTTCTGGAGGTCCGTTCTTAACCTGAAACTGTTCTTAACCTGAAGCACCACTTTAGCTAATGGGGCCTCCTGCTGCCGCTGTGCCACCGGAGCACAATTTCTGTTCTCATCCTGAAGCAAAGTTCTTAACCTGAAGCACTATTTCTGGGTTAGTGGAGTGTGTAACCTGAAGCGTATGTAACTTGAAGCGTATGTAACCCGAGGTACCACTGTATAGTAAATGTCTCTACCATATGACAGGATGTAGACCCTCATCAGCCTCCTCAGGACCCAGTGGGGCGTCCCATCATGCACCAGTCTGGTATTAAACATACCACCGGTGAAGCAGACTATGTCGACGACATGCCTCCAGAGGAAGGGCAGCTCTACATGGCTGTGGTCACCAGCACATGCGCCCACGCAAAGATTCTGTAAGTAACAAGAAGGAATGTGCGTGAGGAAAGTGTGGCAGTAGAACATGAGAAGGAGGACATATTGTAACAGATGCTGGCCATGCTTTGAATCTTGGTTTGGTTTACTTCAGGAGTGGGCTGGAATGCAAGTGTGCTTGCAAACGTAGGGGAAAAGAGGAGGGCATGACATCCAGCTCTTTTAAATAAGAGTGGAGTGCTCTGGAAGTGCTTATTCAGTGCACCCAACACACAAGGCTGATATCCACACCCAGTTCTACCATTAGGGACAGTGAGGCAGCTGCCTGAAGCAGCCGATTTGGAGCGTCATGAAAGGGTGGCAAATGGTTTGCTAGTTAATTTATTACAGTGGTACCTTGGGTTAAGTACTTAATTTGTTTTCCGGAGGTCCGTTCTTAACCTGAAACTGTTCTTAACCTGAAGCACCACTTTAGCTAATGGGGCCTCCTGCTGCTGCTGCACCGCCAGAGCACGATTTCTGTTCTCATCCTGAAGCAAAGCTCTTAACCCGAGGTACTATTTCTGGGTTAGCAGAGTCTGTAACCTGAAGCGTATGTAACCTGAAGCGTATGTAACCCGAGGTACCACTGTATTGTTGTGTTTAAACTCTCAGGGACAGGGTGCGGGGGGGGGCGAGGCGTGCTTGTGGTCTTTTCTGCCTCAAATAATGTCTGATGTTTTACAGTTTTTTATATATGCTGTAAGCCGCCCAGAGTGGCTGGGGAAACCCAGTCAGATGGGCGGGGTATAAATAATAAAATTATTATTATTATTATTATTATTATTATTATTATGGAAGAGGACTGGAAGAAATTTAAAGACTACTTGCAAAAGTATTGCAAATTGTATGAATGTTAGAATGATGCAGGATATAAAGATAATATGGCATTAGTGACATAGCTGAAAGGAGTATGTAAAAAATGGTTTATAAGAACAAAGGTGAAGTTAGAATAATATTATGTCAAACTTAAATAACTGATAATAAAGGGAAAAATTGGAGACATAATAGTTGAAATGTATAATACAAAATAAGATTTGAAAGAAGGTGAGGTATTGCTGAATAAGATTGTGTAAAAGGGAACACAGAAAAGGGAGATGTGAGGGAGTCTGGAAGGAGGGATATGAGAATAATAACTAAGAAATTGGTTTTCTTTTTTATGTCTTTTTTATGTTTTTTTTCCCTTTTTCTACTTTTTATGGTGGGTTTTTTACTGTGTTTTTCTGTTCTTTTTTGATTGAATGTGATGGTGTTTTTTCTTTTTTCCTGTTCTGCTTTGAATGTGAAGTTTGTTTTATTTTTTAAAACTTTAATAAATATCTTTAAATAAAAAAAACAAATTACTTGACCAGATGGGCACTCTTCAACTTGATTTGAGAGTGGGGATGGCATGGGGGACGGCAGCATTTATTGTCCTGCAAAATGTCTAGGGTAGAGTTGCCAGACGTCCCCAGTTCCCGGGGACAGTCCCTGGATTTGCAAATCTGTCCCCGGACAAATTCCGTCCCCGGAATGTCCCCAGATTTGCAAATCTGTCCCCGGGAAACATGGGAGCGACAGCCTCAGCAGCCCGGAGCCAGCCTGGTAGTGCAGTTAGCTCTGGCTAGCTTCAGGAGCTGCTTGCTGCCATGGGACCCGCCATTTTTCCTCACCAGAAGTCCCCATATGATGTGTTGCGCACAAGACACATCATATGGGGACTTCCGGGAGGCAAACTGGCGGGCGCCATGGCAGCAAGCAGCTCCTGAAGCCAGCCAGAGCCAACTGCGCTACCAGGCTGGCTCCAGGCTGTTGACTACCACTGCGGCTGCCACTGCTGAAGGGGAACTGGGGACGTCTAGCGGTACAGATCTCCTGCCCCCTTCCCCCTTTGTTTTGACTGATCGGGGGAAGGCTAGGGAGTTGCGGGCGGGCAGCCATTTTTAAAAAACTCTGCGTATTTATGTTTCACAGGGTGCAAAAGAAGGGCTTTTCACCTTTATACAATATGCATGTGTGCTTGGGCCCAGGGTCTTTTGCCTCGCAATCCCCACTACTGACTCCCTGTTGCTACTCAGCTTAAAACAAAACGAAACAAAAGTGTCCCCGGATTCATTGAAAAAAATCTGGTAACCCCGACCTGCACATATCAGCTGCCTGCCTGTATTGCAGTTAGGGGTGATTTCACACATATACAGATACCAGTTAAGATAGTACAAAGAGGTTTTTAAGACTAAATACATTGGGTTGTTTCACTATCTGTTTCCAGCTGCAGAAATACTAGCTGTGCACAACTTAGGCACGTAAAGAAAAAAGTGCATGTTTACTTTAGCCTTTGAATGTTTATTTCTTAAAACATTTATTTCTTAAATTCATCTTGCCATCATGTTTGATCACTGTGACCCATTCTATTTATCTCTCCTTTCCAGATCCATTGATGTGTCAGAGGCCTTAGAAGAACCAGGGGTGGTTGCCGTGGTAACAGCAGCTGATATTCCAGGGCATAATGGTGATGGAAAAGAGGAAATTTTTGCTAGCGAAGAGGTATTTTCTGAGCTTTTTGCCTTCCTATCCAACATCTACTCAGAGATAAGCAGGCCCAGAATTGTAGCCTAAAAATATCAAAGGCAGACATTTACAATTCCTTGGGCATGACTAGACCACTAGAACCGAGTTGCTTTGGAGGAAAACGCTAACAAACTTTCAGAGGAAGGGAAGTAATTGCTAGCTGTAGCATCTTTCATCACCATAGCTCCTGGACAGGGAAAGTCAAATACTGAAAATCTCGGTTCTAGACAACCCTTAAATGTGCAAGAGGCCCCACAGTGTCTGTGTCTGAATCATTGTTTGAAGGATCCATGAATGCAGGATTAAAACATAAATGTATTTTAAAGGCTTGTGTTCAACATAGCACTGAGGCTAAAACTCTGCAAACGCGAAGGTTTTTCTTGTGCAGCAGAAACTCTTCTCCCTCTGCATCCCCCTAAATCCGTCTGGGGACTCCCCCAACCCTCCAGAGCAAATTTGGGGATGGTATGGGGCACACATTGGGGAAGAAGAGATGAATTCCCATTATGCTGGGACCTTTAGCATATGCACTCTATCATAGAGCTATAACCCTTGGAGATAAGATTCCGCAACTCCTTAGACTAACCCTGTATGGTGGGTCAATATTATTAACCCATATATCAGATGGATGTACTGGGCTATTTAAGGCCACCTATTTGGGTATGTGGTAGAGATTACTTTTGAGTTGGGAATTTGAAATTCACTGCCTCTTAGCCACTATCCCATAAAATTAGACACAAGACCCAGTCTTCACCCCTTAATTGTCATCAATTTGAAAGGATTGTTTAAAAAAATCAAATGTTTATGTTGGTCCTCAGTCATTCTATATACTTTATATTTTTTGGTCTCCAATATGTATACCCTTTTTAAAAAACAACAACACCCTAGTTATTTGAAAGCAAATTACCATATTTTTTGCTCTATTAAGACTCACTTTTTCCCTCCTAAAAAGTATGGGGAAATGTGTGTGTGTCTTATGGAGCGAATGCAGGCTGCGCAGCTATCCCAGAAGCCAGAACAGCAAGAGGGATTGCTGCTTTCCTCTTGCTGTTCTGGCTTCTGAGATTCAGAATATTTTTTTTTCATGTTTTCCTCCTCCAAAAACTCAGTGCGTCTTGTGGTCTGGTGCGTCTTATAGAGTGAAAAATACGGTAATTTATCCACTCTTGTATGGAAGTCTTCTGCTTAAACAGATAAACTGGAAGCGCTACATGATGCATGCTAAATACTTCATATTTACTTAAGATAAATGCCACATATATATATGTGATGGGATGATGAGCTGCTTGTGCGTGAAATCCTAGTCCCTCAGAGTTTGGCCAAGTCCGCAAACCTCTGCCTACGACGGAGCCCCTCAAGCATGGCTCCGTCAGTCGCTAGCAGAGTCCGACAGTGGGCGCTTACGGAATCTCTTCCAGCATAAAAGCTCCTTAACGGAAACACGTCTTCTGGACTCTCTGCGCGACAGTTTCCGGCGAGGAGTGGGTGTCCCTATAGGAGGTCCTGGAACCTCCCCACTATTTTCGCTGGAAGTGTCTCTGAGCCATCCCTCCAACTCACTTTCCCTTGGAGCTCTTTCTCTCCCCCTGCTGGTTCCCTCTTCAGCTGCTAAGTCTCTCTCAACCTCTGTGAGCCCTTCCACCTCCTGTCCTTCCGATGGCAGTTCCCTGACATCCACCTCCCCTCCAGGGCCCCCTTCACCCCCTCCCGTCCCCTCCTCTATGGGCGGTGAGGAAGCAAAACCCCTGAAGGAACCTCCCTCATCTTCCGAAGTCTCAAACACTTCCCTCCACCGGTTGCTGTTCCTGGTCTCCAAGTACTCCTCCTCATCGGAGTCTATTCCTTCTTCCACCTCCGATTCCGCGAATCCTTCCAGTTCCTCCTCCTCGTCGGTGGTGCCGAAGTACTCCCTCCTGAACCTTGCTACAGGCTGAGGTTTCCTCGGGAACCTTTGGTGGAACGTTTCTATTAAGACCTCGTCACTGACCTCCTCTGCAGTTACCCAGGTGTTTTCTGACTCCGGTTCCCCTTCCCACGCCACCAAATATTCCACCTGATTTCCCTTCCACCTGGAATCGATGATTTCCGCTACATGGCTGCTGCGTTCCCTTTCTTCTAAGGCTGGTCCCCTGGTGGACTCCCCTTCACATCCCCCCCTATACGGTGACAGTAAAGACCTATGGAATACTGGGTGCAATTTCATGTGGTTGGGTAACCGGAGTTTGAAAGCCACTGGATTGACCTGTTGAATGACCTCAAATGGTCCCAATCTTTTGGGTCTCAATTTCTTACAACCCCCTTTGAACGGCAACCCTTGGGTTGACAGCCACACCTGATCCCCCACCCTTATGGTTTCACCTTCCTTTCTGTTCTTGTCTGCCTGCCTCTTATATTCTTCTTTGGCCCTTTCTAAGTTGAGTTGGAGCTGACGATGGATCGCTTCCATTTCTTCTACAAAATGTTCGGCCGCCGGGACGCTCCATCTCTCCCCTCCTCCCCCTGGAAATGCCCTGGGGTGACACCCATAATTAGCCAAAAAGGGGCTCATCCCTGTAGACACATTCTCCGCATTATTGTAGGCAAATTCTGCCAGCGCCAACTTTTCGACCCAATCGTTCTCTCTGTCATTGACATAACACCTCAGGTATTGTTGGAGGATACCGTTTGCTCTTTCCGCCTGCCCGTTGGTTTCAGGGTGCCAGGCAGTCGAAAAATTGACCTCCACGTGCAGTAAGCTCATGAGCTTCCTCCAGAACCTGGACGTAAATTGTTTGCCCCTGTCTGAGACCACCCTCAAGGGGGCGCCATGCAACCTAAAAATGTGTTCTACAAACAATTTCGCTGTCTCTTCTGCTGTGACTGCATGTGAGCATGCTACAAAGTGGCACATCTTTGTTAACAGGTCTACTACTACCATGATGGCTGTTTTCCCCTTGGACTTCGGCAGATCCGTCATAAAATCTATCGATACCGCCTCCCATGGCCGTTCTGGTGTGGGTAATGGTTCTAATAACCCTGCCAGCGCCCGCCTTTCCCCTTTGACTCGCTGGCATTGGTCACACCCTCTTACATACTCCCTAACATCTTCCCTCACCTTGGGCCACCAAAATTCCCTGGTAACCAACCACATGGTCTTGTGTTGTCCAAAATGCCCCGCTGTGGGGCTGTCGTGCAACTGCTTGAGTACTCTCCCCCTCAATTCCCCTTCAGGTATATACAGTGCCCCTTTGTAATACAATGCCCCATTTCTTTCCTCAAAGCCTCCGGGGCTCTCTCCCTCCCCCCTGAGACCTCTGAGCTTATCCTGGGCGTATTCATCATTCTCCGTTTCCTCTACCAGTTCTCTTTGCCCCACCAATGCCGCCCCACACACCCATCGGCCCACTGGGATGACATGTCTCTCTTCGGTTGCTCCCTCCCCCTCCAAATACTCAGGTTTACGTGAGAGAGCGTCCGCCCTGACGTTTTCTGGGCCTGGCACGTAACAAATTTCAAAGTGGAATTTGGAGAACTCCTGGGCCCATCTCACTTGTCGTTGGTTGAGCACTCGTGCCGTTCTCCAATACTCTAAATTCTTGTGGTCTGTGCACACTTGCACCTATGTTGTGCACCAATTAGTAAATGCCTCCATCTCCAGAACGCTTCGTGAATGGCGAGTAGTTCTCGGTCATACACCGTGTAGTTCCTCTCGGATTTATTCAGCTTCCGCGAGAAGAAGGCACACGGTCTCCACTCCGACTTACTCTTCCCGGGTTGTAGAAGCACCGCCCCTACCGCCCGGTCTGATGCATCGGTTTCTACTCTCATAGGTTTTTGTAAATCCACATGCAGAAGTTGTTCTTCCGAAGCGAACGCCCTTTTCAGTTCTTCAAATGCTCGCTCCGCCTCCGCCGTCCAAACAAATTTCTTCTTGCTGCTGAGACAGTCAGTGATGGGAGCCGTCAAGTGGGCAAAGTTCTTGATGAACTTCCGATAAAAGTTTCCAAACCCTAGGAATCTTTGCACATCCTTCTTCGTTTTCGGTGTTTTCCATTCCAGCACCGCTTGGACCTTGCCTGGATCCATGGCCAATCCCTTGTCTGACAAGCGGTACCCCAGGAACTCCACCTCCTTGGTATGGAACTGACACTTCTCCAGTTTCACCCACAGCTGGTTTGCTTGCAGCTTGCCCAACACTTCTCGGACGTCCCTCACATGCTGCTCCTCATTCTCTGAATATACCAACACGTCATCTAAGAAGGCCACGCAATTCTTGTAGAGCAAAGGTCCCAGGACGTGGTTCATAAACGCTTGAAAAGACGCTGAGCCTGCTTGTAGACCGAAGGGCATAACGAGGTATTCAAAGGCCCCCAAAGGGGTGAACATGGTGGTTTTCCATTCATCTCCCTTCCTTATTCGTATCAGGTTGTACGCCCCCCTCAGGTCCAGTTTAGTAAAAATCTTTCCCTTCCTCACCCTAGTCAAAATGTCATCAATTCGGGGCATAGGGAAAGCCAGAGGTTCCGACACTGCATTTAGGGCCCGGAAGTCCACTACAAGCCTCGGTTTATCTGTGTTTTTTTTGTCCACAAAAAACACTGGGCTGCCCCCCACCGCTCGGGACTCTCTGATGAAACCTCGCTTCAGGTTTTTGTCAATGAACTCCCTTAACTCCTGCATCTCCCTGTCTGACATGGCGTACAGCTTGCCCACTGGGAGTTGGGCCCCAGGGAGTAGATTGATTTGACAGTCAAAGGGTCTATGCGGCGGCAGTTTGTCTGCTTCCCTTTCGCTGAAGACGTTGCTCAGATCGGCGTATTGTGGGGGCACCTTCCCTTTGTCCGTTACTTCCGTCCCTGCTAGGGTGACTCTGGCCCCTTCCAGAGCCTTCCCCTCTTTGCAGTGTTCTAGGCAATGCGCTGACCCAAAGGAGACCACTCTCTGATGCCAGCCCACTAGCGGATCGTGTAGCGCCAGCCAGCTCATCCCCAAAATAATGGGAGCTCCTCCCAAGGTAGCCACATTGAACGCTATCCGTTCGGTGTGCCTTGCCACCCTCATTATCATGGGAACCGTCTGTTGACTAACTTCTCCCCCTAGTAGCTCCCGCCCATCGATCGTGGTCACCTGCAAGGGATTGCTTAGAGGGATAGTCTGTATCTGGTGCTCAGCTGCAAACTCCTTACTCATGAAATTACAGGAGCTGCCTGAGTCCAATAGCGGCTTTATCTTTAGTGGGTGTCCGTTTGGCAGTTCTAGCAACACTTCTATCACTAGAGCTGGTCTTGGAGGTTCCGGCGTGGGCACTTTCACTGCTCTTTAGCCTGGCTGCTGTGCCCCAACGGTGGCAGCCAGGCGTTGGCTTTTACTTGCTCCTTGCCTTCCTCCTCTTTTTCCCCAACAGCTCCCGCCATCCCTTGCCATTCCTTTCTTTGTGGGCAGACTCTGGCAAAGTGACCTGGCTGTTGGCAGAGATAACATTTCTTGGCACTCTTCCCCTCCTTCTTCCTCCCTTCACTGGGATTTGAAACTGCGCGCGCGCGCGCGCTGTTCCAATTTCCATCGGCTCTGCTGGCGGGAAAGGTGGCTCTGGAATCTCTGGAATGCGGAAATCCCTCCAACGTTCCCCTCTCCCTTCCCGCTTCTCCAACGCCCTCGCCTCCTGGCGTGCTCCTATGGTCAGCGCGGATTTGGTCAGCTGGTCCATAGACTCCGCCCTGGGCGCCCGGGAAAGTTCATCTTTCACCGCCGAAGAAAGACCTTCTTCGAAAAGCATTTGTATGGGCTCCGCCAAGAGATCCCACCCCAATTTATGGATCAACATGGTAAACTCAGTCCAGTACTCACGGACAGATCGGCTCCCCTGTTTACAAGCCATTAACTGTCTGCGCACCACTCCCTGCTCAATGTCGCTGGAAAACATCAGGTCCATGGCGCGAAAAAACTTCCTCGTGTCCTTTAGGATCTCATTATTCACTGCCATCAGGGGCCTAACCCAGTCTTTCGCCCCCGCTTCGAGATGGCCAATCACAAAAGCCACTCGCGACTCCTCGTCGGGAAAGTCATCAAACTGCAGATTGAGAGCATATTGCATCTCTGTCCTAAAGGCGTGATAGTTCCTGGGATCCCCCCCAAACTTCTGCACCAATCCTGGCACCTTTCTTGCGAGCGGGGTGGTTTTTCCCTTTTCTGCATCCTGAGCCCTCCTCTCCTCGAGCCTCGCCGTCTGCAGCGCTAGCTGGACCTCCAACACCCTGTACCTTTCTTCCAGGCTTGGACCCGCTCCAGCTCCTCCTGCTTCTCCGGTTTCGGCTGGGTTGCTCATGATGCCTCTCCCTGCACAAGCTGCTTTCAGAGACTGTCGGACTGCTGTGATGGGATGATGAGCTGCTTGTGCGTGAAATCCTAGTCCCTCAGAGTTTGGCCAAGTCCGCAAACCTCTGCCTACGACGGAGCCCCTCAAGCATGGCTCCGTCAGTCGCTAGCAGAGTCCGACAGTGGGCGCTTACGGAATCTCTTCCAGCATAAAAGCTCCTTAACGGAAACACGTCTTCTGGACTCCCTGCACGACAGTTTCCGGCGAGGAGTGGGTGTCCCTATAGGAGGTCCTGGAACCTCCCCACTATTTTCGCTGGAAGTGTCTCTGAGCCATCCCTCCGACTCACTTTCCCTTGGAGCTCTTTCTCTCCCCCTGCTGGTTCCCTCTTCAGCTGCTAAGTCTCTCTCAACCTCTGTGAGCCCTTCCACCTCCTGTCCTTCCGATGGCAGTTCCCTGACAATATACTTTACCAGTGGCTTTCATTGGCAAACCTCTGACATATCCACTTGTCAGCTGGTCATTGCAGAGAATTCTGAGGAGTCTTCTAGGGTGGGCCCTCAGTTCAGTTGAAGTCAGAGATTACTCAGGGCATGAGACATGCAAATTAGAATATTCCCACCCTTCCTCTGTGCCTGTACATTGAAGAGGAAGGTTGGTAGTGGTAAGCAAGCAATTCAGCTTCTGTTACTAATATCCTCACTGTGCTTGAAAAGCTTCCAGAGAACCCGAGGATAGTCTCTGGAACATGGTTTGAAACCCACAGCCTTAGCATGAAATCTATCGAAGTACATTAAACAACCACGTTGTTGTTGTTCTGTATAGTGAAGCCATTCCATTTCTGTTGGTCGGGTGTCATGCAGGTACTATATATCGGCCACATTATCTGCGGTGTGCTTGCAGAATCCTACGAGTGTGCAAAGCGAGCCAGAAGAAAAGTGAAGATAGAGTACCAAGAACTGGAACTGATCCTGACCATTGAGGTAAGAAATCAGCCTCTCATTTGTGAAGCTTCAAGATGGACTTTACTTGCACTCTATCTTAACTATAGGAATAGATAAGAACAGTGCTTTTTTCTGGGGGGACGCATACCCCTAAACATTTTGTGAATCTTTGTACTTTTGTCCATTTACTGTATTCATTTCCCCCGATTTGAACTAGAAAATGGTGATTTTACTGAGTCAAAATGAGAGTACCCATAAACATTTTTTAAGGAAAAAAGCACTGGATAAGAACATTAGAAAAGCCAAGGCAATGGCCCAGCTAGTCTAGCATCCTGTTTCCTCCTGCCAGATACAATGGTACCTTGGGTTAAGTACATAATTGGTTCCGGAGGTCTGTTCTTAACCTGAAACCGTTCTTAACCTGAAGCACCACTTTAGCTAATGGGGCCTCCTGCTGCTGCTGTGCCACCGGAGCACAATTTCTGTTCTCATCCTGAAGCAAAGTTCTTAACCCGAGGTACTATTTCTGGGTTAGCAGAGTCTGTAACCTGAGGCATATGTAACCTGAGGTACCACTGTAAAGCCCAAAGTCAGAAATAAAAATAGCAGCCCTCCATGGCTGATGGCTTCATAATATTCAAAGTCCTCCCAAAGGGCAAGCCAAAGGCATCTTGTAAGGTAAAGGTAAAGGGACCCCTGACCATTAGGTCCAGTCGTGACCGACTCTGGGGTTGTGGCGCTCATCTCGCTTTATTGGCCGAGGGAGCCGGTGTATAGCTTCTGGGTCATGTGGCCAGCATGACTAAGCCGCTTCTGGCGAACCAGAGCAGCGCACGGAAACGCCGTTTACCTTCCCGCCAGAGTGGTACCTATTTATCTACTTGCACTTTGATGTGCTTTCGAACTGCTAGGTTGGCAGGAGAGGGACCGAGCAATGGGAGCTCACCCCGTCGCGGGGATTTGAACCGCCGACCTTCTGATCGGCAAGTCCTAGGCTCTGTGGTTTAACCCACAGCGCCACCCGCGTCCCTTGAGGCATCTTGTACCTGAGGCAAATAAATGGGATGGCAAACACACACCTGCATAGGATCTGCATGACTTTCAGTCTTAAGGATGCTATTAGAACATGCAATACCCTGGTTTGACAGCCTATAGGTTAACACTGATAGCATTCAGATGACCATATCTTAATAAGCTGTGTCGCATTTTGGCTACACCTCTCCCCATCAACCACCCCAAACTCATGCCTTTGTGCAAGCGAACAAACAAGCCAGGAAGGATTTCACCAACTACAGTTCTCCATTTTGTCTGAACCAAGAAACTATGGCATCGGAACAAGTCAGGACATTAAGCCAAACTGTTGTATTGCAGCTTGTCCAGATGTGCTTGAATCATCCAAATATGGCCACTGTGTGCATGTATTTGTTGGTTCTGAACTTCAAATTAAAAGGGCATATCAGCTTATTAGGTTGTTCTGCCATCTCTTGAATCAGACATGTGTCTTTGAGAAAGAGGCAATGTCCATAAGTATACAGTAGTCTCCTTTCAGCAATGTCAGGATGACAGAGTACATACAAATGTACTTAGAGCCAGTGTGGTGTAGTGGTTAAGAGTGGTGGACTCGTAATCTGGTGAACTGGGTTCGCTTCCCCGCTCCTCCACATGCAGCTGCTGGGTGACCTTGGGCTAGTCACACTTCTTTGACGTCTCTCAGCCCCACTCACCTCACAGAGTGTTTGTTGTGGGGGAGGAAGGGAAAGGTGAATGTTAGCCGCTTTGAGACTCCTTCGGGTAGTGATAAAGCGGGATATCAAATCCAAACTCCTCCTCCTCTTAGCATTTGTCGCGTACCTCAGACCATTTAGTGCACTTTACATACAGCAGGCGAGGGGAGCCTGTAGCCCTACAGATGTTGTTGGACTACAACTCCCATCATCTGTAACCATTGGCCATATTGGCTGTTGGAAGTTGGAGCCTAATGGCATCTGAAGGGTCACAATTCCCCACCCATGGTATATAGTATCTCAGAAACCTTTAAAACAACCTATAAGATGTCAGTATCATTATCCGCATGTGATAGATTGTGGGGTAAGGTGGTTGAGCGATATTGGGTCACTTGAAGACGCCTAGTAAATTCATGGCTGAGGCTCAAAGCTCAACACTCTGATTACTGTGCTACACCCCCAGCTGCTTTCTGGATGAAATATGTTCCCCATTCTCACAGGTACTACTCATGTAATAATACTCACTGGGGAGCCGCAAAAGTAGATACAACTTTCAAAGAACAATACGAGAATGGGGCTTGAACAGATGGACAAAGAACACCAAATGCCTTCACCATGACACGAAAAAGGGCGGATTTTGGGATGCATGAGACAGACCAAGGGTCTTTTTTAATGTATTTGTTTATTATTTGCTTATTCCTGGATAGTTCTTTCCCATATAGCACTTTGGACACAGATCTTTGAATAACAGGGATTTGATGAACAGGAAAATAACCTATTGTTTAGTTTCTGACCAGGCATGAGCCAACTCCTTAGCTAGAGTAAAATCAGTGCAACTATACTGGGAAAGAATATCAGTGCATCTGAAAGAACTGTAAGATGGTAGTGATGAGGACGACATAGTGCTTTGTGTTCTGGGTCTGAATGCTGTGTTTCCTCCTATTTTTCAGGAAGCAGTTAAGCATAAGTCATTCTTGACAGAAGAAAAGAAAATAGAAAGAGGAAACGTTACAGAATCATTTAAGAATGTTGAGAACATCATTGAAGGTAGGGTGCTATCAGTAATGGATGGGGTTCTCGTGACATAGCAGCAAGCAGGTTCAGTCTATCTGTTTGTTGTTGTTTCGTTGTTTAGTCGTGTCCAACTCTTCGTGACCCCATGGACCAGAGCACGCCAGGCCCTCCTGTCTTCCACTGCCTCTGGCAGTTTGGTCAAACTCATGCTGGTAGCTTTGAGAACACTGTCCAACCATCTCATCCTCTGTCGTCCCCTTCTCCTTGTGCCCTCAATCTTTCCCAACATCAGGGTCTTTTCCAGGGAGTCTTCTCTTCTCGTCTATCGGTTTACATTTCATTTAAATTGATCACAGATTGGTATGATTACTGGGTGACAACTGTACCATGAGCACTCCTTATGCAGAAAACAAAGCTGTGTGAATCAGAGATGGGGAAGACTTTCGATTCAGTTCTTCTTCTTTTTTATTTTTTTTTATTTTATTTATTAATTACCTTCTTTTTTAAAAAAATAATTTTTATTAATTTTCCAATATAAATTTATACAAAGTTAAACATCCAATCTCACCAACATCTTCTTTTTGGACTTCCATCAACATGTCTGACAATTCTCCGTATTATCACTTTTTTCCACATTTCTCAATTTAATATTGCACTATATCATTATTTGCCTTATCATGTTATTTAAGCAATACTTCTACCAAACATTCTCACAAAGCTTCCTGAAAACTTACAAACGTTATCTGTTTATCACATATATTTTTAATATATTCTGTAAATTTGTTCCAGTCCTCAGTGAATCTCTGGTCTCGTCGGTTCGGGTTCTCCCTGTTAACTTATCCAGTTCTGCGTTCATTCTCCATTCTTCAATCGTAGGCATTTCTTCTTGTTTCCACTTCTGGGCCAACAAAATTCTAGCTGCTGTTACTGCATATAAGAATACCTTCCAATCCTTCTTTTTTATTTCATCACCTAATATTCCTAGTAGAAATGTTTCTGGTTTTTTAACAAATGTGTATTTCAACATTTTCTTTATCTCATTATATATCATTTCCCAAAAACACTTTACTTTTTTACATTCCCACCACATATGGTAAAATGTTCCTTCTTTTTCCTTACATTTCCAACATTTATTTTATTAATCACCTTCTAAGGCACCATCTCAAGGCAATTTACACATAAAATAATTTAAAACGGTAAAAACACAAAAACAACAAATACATTTAAAACAAGAGTAAAACCCTAACAAGTGGACATTCATGGCAAAGATCCATTTATCCAAGCCATGGACTGGTTGGATAAAGAGGAGTGGTGAAATGAACCAGCTGGGAAGCCACCAAGGCAGGCATCCCAAATTCGGCCCTCCAGATGTTTTGGGACTACAATTCCCATCATCCCTGACCACTGGTCCTGTTAGCTAGGGATGCTAGGAGTTGTAGTCCCAAAACATCTGGAGGGGCGAGTTTGGGGATGCCTGCACCAAGGGAAGAAGGCTCAGAGCCCAGGGAGTGATGGTGGGACAACAACGAGCGGTCAGAGGGAGAAGACTGGGAAGAGGAGGTGTCGGAAGCTGAAGAGGTTTAGTGAGTAGGAAGAGTCTGTAGCAGAGAGTCTCTGGCTTGCTGCCCCCCCCCCCCCCAGCCTGGCTCTGCTGTCCAGGTAAAACACAATATGCTTAGATATCTTCAGAATAGGGGTGCATGGATCAGTCTGCTTTTGGTCTGTGTTAATTCTGCACGTTTTCATTTTTTAAAAACCCAGTTTTGTTATTTTTTGCTGAAATCTGTGGTTTAAAAAACCAACAAAGCAGCATGGAAACTTTTATTTCTGTATGCATTTTCTCACAAAATACACATTTCTAACATATTTTTGCTCTAAATTCACATTTCTATACAGTGGTACCTCGGGTTAAGTACTTAATTCGTTCTGGAGGTCCGTACTTAACCTGAAACTGTTCTTAACCTGAAGCACCACTTTATCTAATGGGGCCTCCTGCTGATGCTGTGCTGCCGGAGCACGATTTCTGTTCTCATCCTGAAGCAAAGTTCTTAACCTGAAGCACTATTTCTGGGTTAGTGGAGTCTGTAACCTGAAGCGTATGTAACCCGAGGGACCACTGTATAGCCTAAAACACATCCACAAATTGCATCATAAAATTGGGAGGTCAAAATCCACAGGATAGCTGACCTTTGTAGGGAACCAATTCCTCAAGCACCCCAGCATTATAAACGGCTCCCTTATTATTCTCAGACATGAAAAACCACCACTCAGATGTAAGCCCTATTGAACTCAATGGGGCTTACTACCAGGAATGAGGATTGCAGCCTATTCCCCCCCCCCAGTTTTGTAAAATATTTTTATTGTTATTTTCACACAGAAAGAGAAATACTGTAGTCTGAAAAGCTGCATAGCACACCACCTCACCTCCAAGAAGAAGGAGAATTAAAAGTGCTGCAGATACCTCGAAGAGAAAACAGAAACTCAAAGCCTTTCCTAAAGCTAGACAGACACACAGTCGTACCTTGGTTGTCGAACGCCTTGGTACTCAGACGTTTAGGCTCCTGAATACCGCAAACCCGGAAGTGAGTGTTCTGGTTTGCGAATGTTTTTGGAAGCCAAATGTCCAACAGGGCTTCTGCGGCTTTGATTGAGTGCAGGAAGCTCCTGCAGTTTTCGAACCATTCCGGGAGTCAAATGGACTCCCGGAACGGATTAAGTTCGACAACCAAGGTACGACTGTATAAACTCATCAGCTCCCCTCTTGTCCACACCAGTCTAGTCATCTGAGTAGTTTTTCATATTTTGTTTTGTATGGGGCTCTTCTTGGTTGCCCTTGAGTGCCTCTCTACCATCTGTTTCAATCTGTTGAAACATCTGTTGTCAGCTTCGCCTTTGAGCCAGTGCCACCGACTGGGCCAGGTGAGCTGGGATAGCACTTCCAGAGACCTTCCACGCAGGAATCAGGTCTAAGTGCTCTGGACTCACAACTCAGAGCTGTGAGCACCAAACTCACTTCCAAAAGTCAGCAGAGCACAGCAGAGCATGAACCACACGAACGACAGCTTCGAAGAATAACTTCTTTTATTCTCTACAGCTACTGTAAAACTAACTAACAGACTAACAGGAGACGCTGGACTGCGTGAGTGTTACAGCTGCTTGAGCAGTGACCTTATCTATACACAGATAACACTCAGACTCCCTCTTTGAAGTCAGGCTGGAGCAGGATAAGTAATGAGCAAAATCGCCCCCTCCTCTCTAAAACATTGTCAGGAGATTCTTGCAATGGGAAGGGGTGAAATATCCTCATCTGTTTGTTGTTCCTGCTGGTCTTAACCATCCCCTTTTATGAAGCCTACAGGCTAAGACATGCGATGAAGTGCCGCATAGTATGGTGAGGTACAAATCTAATCAAATTAGCCATGCAATTGTTTTTTAACAGGCGAAATCCATGTCGGAGGGCAAGAGCATTTTTACCTGGAAACAGACAGTGTGTTTGTCGTTCCAAGAAAAGAGGATAAGGAAATGGATATATATACGTCTACCCAATATGGTTCGAAAGTCCAGGTGAGGCAACTCAAGTCTTTGACTGCTAGCGTGGGGAAACTCCACAACTATTTCAGCAGTACACATGAGATGGACCCCACTGGCACAAAAGAGTCTTAAACTGGATGTAATCAGTTGTTGATGTTTGTAATTAAAAACAACAGCATTTGTATTGATACAAAAGTTAGGTGCCACCCCCACTCTGCAAGATTCTGAGGATTCCGGGCACTCGCCCAGGGTCAGTGTTCCTTTGGTAGCTGTCATCTTTTATTTCTACACACAAAAATACATATACACACATGCTGAATTTCTGTCTTTCAGCATGTGTATCCATTCTCCATAGACATGCTGCTGTTGTTTGACAGCACAGTGGTATCTCGGGTTAAGAACTTAATTCGTTCTGGAGGTCCATTCTTAACCTGAAACTGTTCTTAACCTGAAGCACCACTTTAGCTAATGGGGCCTCCTGCTGCCGCCACACCGCTGGAGCACGATTTCTGTTCTTTTCCTGAAGCAAAGTTCTTAACCTGAAGCACTATTTCTGGGTTAGTGGAGTCTGTAACCTGAAGCGTATGTAACCTGAAGCATATGTAACCTGAGGTACCACTGTACAGTGGTACCTCAGGATGTGAAAAGGGTCTGTTCTAGAGCCCCATTCGCATCCTGAACAGAACGTAAGACGTGACTGCGCATCTGCGCGTGCGCGGGTCGTGTTTCGCCGCTTCCGCACATGCGTGTGACATCATTTTGATTGCGCATGCACAAGCAGTGAAACCCGGAAGTAACGCGCTCCGTTACTTCCGGGTCGCCGCGTAGCGCAACCCGGAAATACTTATCCTGAAGCATATTTTTCCCGAGGTATGACTGTAGTGGTTCTTTTTCTCCTAATTTGTTGTAGCAGAATCTGTCTCCTGCACAAAGCCATCTCAATGATTCCCTACCAGCCAGACTTTTTTGGGGGGAGGCATGTTTTATCCAGAATATACTGGAAATTGTGCAGTGTTTTCAGTTAAAAGATTGGGCTGACAAAAGGTAGGTAAAGGGACCCCTGACCATTAGGTCCAGTCGTGGACGACTCTGGGGTTGCGGCGCTCATCTCGCTTTATTGGCAGAGGGAGCCGGCGTACAGCTTCCGGGTCATGTGGCCAGCATGACTAAGCCATTTCTGGCAAACCAGAGCAGCACACGGAAACACCGTTTACCTTCCCGCTGGAGAGGTACCTATTTATCTACTTGCACTTCATGCTTTTGAACTGCTAGGTTGGCAGGAGCAGGGTTCGAGCAACAAGAGCTCATCCCGTTGCGGGGATTCAAACCGCCGACCTTCTGATCACAAGCCCTAGGCTCTGTGGTATGTACAGGAAGTGCAAGGAGATGAAATTAAATACAGTGGTACCTCTGGTTACATACGCTTCAGGTTACAGACTCCGCTAACCCAGAAATAGTACCTCGGGTTAAGAACTTTGCTTCAGGATGAGAACAGAAATTGTGCTCCGGCGGCACGGCAGCAGTCGGAGGTCCCATTAGCTAAAGCGGTGCTTCAGGTTAAGAACAGTTTCAGGTTAAGAACGGACTTCCGGAATGAATTAAGTACGTAACCAGAGGTACCACTGTATGTACATCTGGAGTAAACGTGCTATTAATGATCTAGGTAAATACTAGGCTTTTTGCAACCTGAAAATAATTTTTTTTTTTTTTTTTGCAGCAAACAGTGGCTTCAGCATTAAATGTTCAAGCCAATAGGATCATGACCCACACAAGGCGAGTTGGCGGAGCTTTTGGGGGAAAGAGTTCAAAACCTTCATTTTTTGCCGCAGCTGCAGCAGTTGCTGCACACAAGTAAGTGTTGCAGTTGTCTGTGATTTTACTGAAAGCAACTAAAATGACAAATGCCTTCTTCATATACAAAACCTCTTACAATAGAATTTTATAGACATCCTGTGTTTTCCAAAAAGGAAAGGCAATGCCCACACAGCTTATGACAGGGCGTGCATGTTTTATAACTCAAAAGTGTTGGCTATTTGCAGTATGGTAGCGCTGCAGAGAGCTTGCTGGGGAGACCATGCTTTAAAAAGGGACTCAAAAATAACTTAAACAAGGTTTTAATAACAAAAACAAAAACTCCTTATACACTAAATACATTAACAACAAACCAGACCCAACCACCAACCCACCCCCCAGGGTAATGGGAGAGCTAGGTGCTGCTCCTTATATACTACACCCAAATGCTGACACACCTTAATCAAATACAACTCAGCAGCACCTGCTATGTTTCACAGCTGTAAAGCTGGGTCTCGTTATCTTGCTCTGGCCCCTTAAAGACATACACATTGAGTGGAACCTTTACATTTATAGAAACCATTCAACAAAAAGCACCAGTCAGCATCTACTTATTGTTTGCCTCCAGGGGTCAGTATTTTGCAGGAGAGATTCAAGGGCATACTAGAAATTAAAGGTAAAGGGACCCCGGACCATTAGGTCCAGTCGCGGACGACTCTGGGGTTGCAGCGCTCATCTTGCTTTATTGGCCGAGGGATCCGGCGTGCATGTGGCCAACATGACTAAGCAGCTTCTGGTGAACCAGAGCAGCACATGGAAACGCCGTTTACCTTCCTGCCAGAGTGGTACCTATTTATCTACTTGCACTTTGACGTGCTCTTCAACTGCTAGGTTGGCAGGAGCTGGGACAGAGCAACAGGAGCTCACCCCATTGCAGGGTTTCGAACCGCCGATCTTCTGATTGGCAAGTCCTAGACTCTGTGGTTTAGACCACAGCGCCACCCACGTGGTACATACTAGAAATTAGGTTTGTACAATAAAAGCAGATTAAAGCACCCTGTTGCCCTGGTGCCACTTATGCACTGAAAAGTGTAGAATGAATGGATGCTTAACAGGAAGATGAATAAACACCGAGGAAGCAAATCAGCACGAGTGCTTATTCTCATATAACCCCACTGTAAACAGATCAAAATGCTAAATAAGAGCAGACAAACAGGATGTCTGTGGAGCTATTGGTTCTGCTAACAGCTTACCTTGAAGGTAGCCTAAGTCTTTGTTGTTTGGCTTAGAACTGGCCGCCCGGTCCGTTTTATCCTGGAGCGAGATGATGACATGATAATACCTGGAGGTCGACATCCTCTTTGGGGGCAATATAAAGTAAGTAATACTGATTTTTACAAGCTTCGGTGACTTGCAAAACTTCCCCATGCTTTGAACTAGATTTTGCACGTCCACTGGGCTAAGTCCTTGAGGTATCTCTCCCTACTTTTCCCCAAGAGGATTATTTTGACCCAAAAGTATTCATTTATTTATTAAAACACTTTTGGCTTTCCCTTCATTGCAAAATGAGTAACAGTAATATCGACCCCAGACAAGGCACTAATACCTTGCAGAAGTCAGGGGTGCATGGTATGGTCAAAAGGGAAATATGTGTGTTGGGCTGTACAGGATAGGTGGCAGGCATCAAGCATCTTTTTAGATTTATCCTTTCCAAGGAAACCTAGTAAGTTAAAAGAAACACCAGTGGTTTCCAAGATAAATTCACACAGTTCAGAGAATGAAGCATGAGTCTGATGTGTCTTAACTACTGCAATACGCTATTGAATTTTTAGGTGGGATTCACGAATGATGGCAAAATCAAAGCTGTTGATCTTTTGTTCTACGTAAATGGCGGGTGTACACCTGATGAATCAGAACTGGTAAGTTTTTCCATGGCAGCCCGTTGAATTCGCAAGTGGAAAATGGAATGAGAAAGGGGTTCTTCACGCATGATGGGATTTCAGAGTTTGGATCTCATTTCTGACATGAAGTTACTAGGCAGCCTTAAGCAAGCCTTTCTCTCGCAGTCACAGCCCTCATTATCAATACAGTCATACCTTGGGTTAAATATGCTTCGGGATGAATATTTTCGGGTTGCGCTCCGCAGCAACCCGGAAGTAACAGAGTGTGTTACTTCCGGGTTTCGCCGCTCGCGCATGCGCAGACCCTCAAAATGATGTCACGCGCATGCGCGGAAGCGCCGAATTGCGGTATGTGCAGATGCGTGGGCGCGGGTTGAGTTCGCTTCAGGATGCGAACGAGGTTCTGGAACAGATCCCGTTCGCATCCAGAGGTACCACTGTACGGGATAACAACCAGATTTGAAACATTTTGGTCCATGGTCTCTCTTGGCTTCAGAGGTGCTGATGCATCTCCCTGCCAAGGTTGCAAAGGATGGGGAGCGCTGATACAGCTCTGTGCCAAGGGTGCAAGGGAGCCTAGATATACCTCTGTACACAGCCTCAGTTACAAGCATAAGATGGAATGTGAGGGGCAAGAGGAGCCATTCAACTGAGGCTCTTTTAGAGATTCTTTGGAAGTTTTGGAATGCATTAAGGATGCAGGGAAGGATAAATATATGATGACTGAGCCGCCCCCCCTTTAGAATATGAAATCCAGCTGATTACCCAGATCTTTCTTCATCCTTAGAAGAAACACGCAGGTTTCTTGATGAGTGGGAAACAGGAATACGGAGAAGCTAGGCAGCTTTTACATTAACAATTTAGGTGGTGTACTAGGTTCCAAAAAGCAGCAACGTTTGAAGCCAACTTGGGTAGCTTTACCTAGTAGCTGGTGAGAATGTCTCCTCACAGAATGAAGTGCCATCTACAGGTCCTTTGAATGTGACTCTCTGACAGCATGGCATATAGATAAGTACAAAGTCAAGTAACCCTGATTACAAGACTTTTAGCCTGGTCTCATGCATATTTAAAAGGTATAGGGACCCCTGACCATTAGGTCCAGTCGTGCCGGACTCTGGGGTTGCGGTGCTCATCTCGCTTTATTGGCTGAGGGAGCCGGCGTACAGCTTCAGGGTCATGTGGCCAGCATGACTAAGCCACTTCTGGTGAACCAAAGCAGCACACGGAAACGCCGTTTACCTTGCCACCGAAGTGGTACCTATTTATCTACTTGCACTGTGCTTTCGAACTGCTAGGTTAGCAGGAGCAGGGACCGAGCAACGGGAGCTCAGCCCGTCGAGGGGATTCGAACCACTGATCTTCTGATTGGCAAGCCCTAGACTCTGTAGTTTAGACCACAGCGCCACCCATGTGGTACATACTAGAAATTAGGTTTGTACAATAAAAGCAGATTAAAGCACCCTGTTGCCCTGGTGCAACTTATGCACTGAAAAGTGTAGAATGAATGGACGTGCCACCCGCTTCCCCGTGCATATTTACTGAGAAGTAAATTCCAGTTTTGGTGCTGGTGCCCACTTGTGGAATGCCCTCCTCAGAGAGTCTTGCCTGCTGCCCATTTTGTTGTCTTTTCAATGTCAGGTACAGAGCATTTGTTTATGCATTTTGAGCCAATAGCTTTATAACAAAATCCAGAGAAATGCAAAATCCAAAGGATAATTATGTTGTACTCTGTGGCCAGGAATTGCAAATTTGGTCAGTTTGCCTAAAATATGGACCAAACAAAATTCTCCTCCATCCCTTCCTGGGGCCCTCCAGCTGTTGCTGGATTACAACTCCCCATCTCCCCTGGCCATTGATTTGTCCTTTGTCCATCCAGGGACAACAACATATGGGCAGCCACATGTTCCCCACCCTGCCTTAGAGTCAATAGAACCAGTTAGACCATGGGATAGTTCAGGCGTTCATCTCCAGGGGCTTGTCCACACTGACCCAAATACAGTAGATGTGAGGGTGAGTCTTTAGTCTTGGAGCTTGTGTTCACACTGGAATGAAAAATGTGAATTTGCACCTGCCTGTTTTGCCTACATTAATAAAGGGATAGCCACATGATGTCCTCCCCATCCCAGTGTTCTCCCAACCTTTCCTTCCTTAAATGTGGGTTTATTCAATCCTTGGAAGGTTGGGAAATGGCCAGGATTGGGGGAGGGACCCACATTTAAAGTTGGGAAACAATACTGGGATGCAGAGGATGTTTATGTGGACACCCATACATTAATGGCATGTGTACATTCTACTCCAGTGTAGACAAGCCCTTGGATTGCTCTGTGGCTAAAGAAATATGGAACCTGACTGTACATGCATCCAGGCGTACGCACAATTCAGTTGTTTGCCACATTCAGCTCCATAAGACGCAGTAAAGGTAAAGGGACCCCTGACCAGTCGTGGCCGACTCTGGGGTTGCAGCTCTCATCTCGCTTTATTGGCTGAGGGAGCCGGCGTACAGCATGACTAAGCCACTTCTGGCAAACCAGAGCGGTGCACGGAAACACCGTTTACCTTCCTGCCAGAGTGGTACCTATTTATCTACTTGCACTTTGACATGCTTTCGAACTGCTAGGTTGGCAGGAGCAGGGACCGAGCAACGGGAGCTCACCCCGTCGCGGGGATTCGAACCGCCGACCTTCTGATCGGCAAGTCCTAGGCTCTGTGGTTTAACCCACAGTACTCTATAAGACACAGCACTTGTGATTAACAGGTTTGTTATCTATCCCCATGCATTAGGTAATAGACTACGTTGTGCTAAAGAGTTGCAACGCATATGATATCCCCAACTTCCGAAGCCGTGGATGGGCCTGTAAGACTAACTTGCCATCGAACACTGCCTTTCGAGGATTTGGATTCCCACAGACAGCCCTTACTGCAGAAACATGGGTGGCAGCTGTGGCAGATCACCTTGGCTTGCCACATGACCAGGTAAACGAATGAACGATCAGAGGAAGTGCTGGGCAAGGAGCTCTTTACTGTGATTTGGGTACAATACCACGTTATCATGGCAAATCCATGTTCCCAACCCTGCATTTGCAAAAGAAATAATAATTGTGAGTCTCCACTTGCAGGAGAGGATTGGCAGAAAGGAGGGGGGCTTAACCCTTACTGTGCCAACAGATTCTTCCCTCTAAATGCCCCTTAAGGCCACCACCACCACAGCTTCTTTTCAGTTGACTTATGAAATGTCAAAAAAATTAACAAGCGTCTAAATTTTAGGCCCCCTTTGAAGCTGAGTACCAAACCAGCTGGATCTTCTGCCTCCCCCCTGCCCCCCCCCGCAGCCTCCAATTGTCCCAAACTCCTGACAAATATCAGTTGAGAATGAAAATAAGCTTCAGGTCACACCTGATTCAGTATTTGGGTGGTTTATGTTCCTTCTTTGGGGATAAATTTATTCTAATCAGGGACTTTCCCAGACTGTTCCTATTTTGTGGGTGGGATTCAGTCACATACTGGCAAATTCAGGTTATGGGATTAAAGTGGATTGTGTTTTGTGAACAAACAAACAAAAAAAAAATCCTTCCTGTAGCACCTTAAAGACCAACTAAGTTAGTTCTTGGTATAAGCTTTCGTGTGCATGCACACTTCTTCAGATACACACACGAAAGCTTATACCAAGAACTAACTTAGTTGGTCTTTAAGGTGCTACAGGAAGGATTTTTTTATTTTGACTATGGCAGACCAACACGGCTACCCATCTGTAAAACAAACAAAAAGTTACTCAACATGGGCATAGCCAGGGTTTTTGTTAGGGGAGGAGGCAGAACCTCAGTTAGTTAAGTATTTTTATTGATTTTTTATTGATTTAAGGGAGGCACCTGCCCCCTGCCCCCCCCAGGTACGCCCATGCTTCCCCCCCCCCCAATTGACTTTTCCTGGATGGGAAACTGCCATGGAAACAATTGCTTGATGCGATGTCATATAACTTCCCTGCAAGCAAATCAGAACGAATGCTCAGTAATCAGCCAACATCATATAACCTTGCTGAAAACTTTGTGCAAACAAATCATGGTGAATGCTCAATAAGCAGGTCATCTGGAAGTTACCTGGGATGTTTATTAGAAGAAACTAAAATTGTCCATGGTTAAAGATTATACAAACACTCCCTCATGTGGTAAAACTATGGTTTGCAGGCATTCAAGTCCTATACTGTATAAGCCATATCAGAATTAAACCATCCCCTCCCCCTGGAACACTCCAGATCTTTCTGACTCTGTACTTTACTGAAGTCAACTACCATATTTACTCGAATCTAATGTGCACCTTTTTAGGCCAAATTACATTGCGAAAATTAAGGTGCGCATTAGATTCAATGGCACATTTACATTAGCCAGCAAATACGTTTTTTGGTTTCAAGGTTCTGAAAACTGAGGTGCTCATTAGATTTGATGGTGCATTCGACTCGAGTAAATGCGGTACCTTTCTCAGGACTGTGGTAGTTTGGGCGCAATTCACTTTGGGGAACAAAGAGATGGCAAAGACCATTACGGAAGCAGCAAATATTGTTCTACTCCTTCTGCAAAACAATATTCTTCATAGTTACTTAAAGTACAGACTTGTGAGGCAATGCTGGTAGATTTCACCCCATACTTCTTTATTATCATACATTATCATACTTCTGCTAACTTTATTATCATACATTATCATACTTCTGCTAACTTTGAGAGCAATCCTTACTTGATTTTGGAGTACTTAGTTGCCTTTTGGGGACACATGTTACGTGCTGAAAGGTTCTGAAATTGCCAGTGTGAAATATACTCGAGAGTGGAGAGTGGATTTCATGCTCTTTATTCAGCTCATAGTGGTGAGGAGGAATGGAAGTTCCCCCACAATATCTGCTTTATATACATTATTTACACAATGGGCTGCACGTGATTGGCTAATTCCGGAATTCTCCTGTAGGCCAATCAGGTTGTGGATTCACTTCCATCTGGAGCCAGATTGGGTGGCTCCTGCAGACCAATCATACTGCTGCATTGTTCTAGGACCAATCAGACTGCTGCATTCTGAATCCTATTGTTCTAGGACCAATCAGACTGCTGCATTTTGGATCCTATTGTTCTAGGACCAATCAGACTGCTGCATTTTGGATCCAATTCAACTCAGTACATAACACAGTGACATCTTGCCATTTAAAACATAGACATTTTACTTTGAGATTGGGGGCTGGTTATGCAGACTCAGGGTACACAGGCCTCTCTTACAGGCTACTGTCTGGATATTGTTAATGCAACCAGAAGCTTTAAGCTTCAGTGGGGCCTGGTTCTCCTTGGGACTGCTAAGGCATAAACAGTAGATAGAGGCAGAGCCAACTAATTCTAGTCTTGTCCACATCTTTCTCCCTTCTGGGTTCTATAAGGGAGCTCACTAAGCGCTGATTGCAGGCTGTTTTGTTAGAAAGACCCTTTAAAATTGGGTGTGCTAATCCCTCATTAAAATCCAGACTTGAAAGCTATGCTTTTGTTTTTGAAAGTCCTGATGCTGTTGTTTGCCTGCTATAACATTTTCAGGGCCTGTCCTTCCATTACCAGGGGTCAGCAAACTTTTCCAGCAGGGGGCCAGTTCACTGTACCTCAGACCTTGTGGGGGGCCAGATTATATTTTGAAGGAAAAAATGAACGATTTCCTATGCCCCACAAATAACCCAGAGATGCATTTTAAATAAAAGGACACATTCTACTCATGTAAAAACACGCTGATTCCCAGACCATCTGCGGGCTGGATTTAGAAGGCGATTGGGCCGGATCTGGCCCCCGGGCCTAAGTTTGCCTACCCATGCATTAAAGGTAAAGGTACCCCTGCCCGTACGGGCCAGTCTTGACAGACTCTAGGGTTGTGCGCTCATCTCACTCAAGAGGCCGGGGGCCAGCGCTGTCCGCAGACACTTCCGGGTCACGTGGCCAGCGTGACAAGCTGCATCTGGCGAGCCAGCGCAGCACACAGAACGCCATTTACCTTCCCGCTGGTAAGCGGTCCCTATTTATCTACTTGCACCCGGGGGTGCTTTCGAACTGCTAGGTTGGCAGGCGCTGGGACCGAACAACGGGAGCGCACCCCGCCGCGGGGATTCGAACCGCCGATGCATTAGGGCCAAGTGTTTCAGATGGCTCAAGTAGCAGCTGCTAGGGGGGAGAAACAGCAAAGTGTTGGAGAAAGAACACTCTATACTTCCTGGCCTGCCCCAGGCCTCCCAGGCTAGCTTACTATTCTCTGGTGTGTTGGAAGACGCTGTCTCATCAGATAAAAGCAGTGGGACAAGTGTGGATGAGTTGTTCCAGCCCAGGAGTAGAGGATTGCCATCGTTTTGATTTTGGGACAGGGCTTCTGTGTGTAAGTAACTGCAGCATGCAGTGACGGGGCGTTTCTGTTGCCTAGTAGTTATGGAATCAACACTTTTTTAATACAAAACCTCTTTATCAGGAAAACAACAGCTTTTGTAATGAACATATAATGTTTTGGCTTACAAGAACTTGGAAGAAATTGTTGTGACGTGGGGTTTGTGATTTCAGCTCTCTTGACATAATATGCTGGAGTCAGTTCTCTAGTAACACTTCTTTATTAAAGCAAACAAGACTCAGACCTGAGGAGGGGAGAGCTACATTTATAGGGACAGGGAACTAGCTAGAAAGGATACATTTTGGAGGGAACAATATCAGGCAATCACAGTCCTGCCTTTTGGAGGAAACCAATAAGACAGAGGATCCAAATACAGCAGCTTAAATGAACCAATAGTAGCTGTACCCTCTGGAACCAAAAGGCAGTTACTTTACCCTAATGCAAATACAGACAATAATAATACAGATATAAAATCCTTTGACTCAATACATTTTGGGACAGGGCTTCTGTGTGTAAGTAACTGCAGCATGCAGTGACGGGGCGTTTCTGTTGCCTAGTAGTTATGGAATCAACACTTTTTTAATACAAAACCTCTTTATCAGGAAAACAACAGCTTTTGTAATGAACGTATAATGTTTTGGCTTACAAGAACTTGGAAGAAATTAACAGTGTCGTGCATGTCTCCTTTAAAGGTCCGGTGGATGAACATGTACAAAGGAGTATCTGAGACTCCCTACAAAGAAGAGGTTGATGCTACAAATCTTGTTGCATGTTGGAAAGAGTGCCTGGAGAAGTCTGATTACTACAACAGGAGAAAAGCAGCAGAAGAATTTAACAAGCAAAACTACTGGAAGAAGAAAGGGATTGAGATCATTCCTATGCTGTTTTCGGTTGGATTTAATACCACATATTACCACCAGGCAAGCTTTTTGATACTCCAGAAATCTACCCATCTACAAAGTAAAGCAGAGTAACAACAGTCAAAGTTGTTAGAAACAAACAGGGCAAACAGCAATTTGTGTGGGTACAATGGCACAGGGGGAAAGGGTTAAGCCTTCTCTCCTCTGGTGCCCCAGTCCCGATACAAATGGCCATCTCTTCCTAGATCTCCACTTAAAGGTAAAGCTAAAGGTACCCCTGCCCGTACGGGCCAGTCTTGACAGACTCTAGGGTTGTGCGCCCATCTCACTCTATAGGCCGGGGGCCAGCGCTGTCCGCAGACACTTCCGGGTCACGTGGCCAGCGTGACAAGCTGCATCTGGCGAGCCAGAGCCGCACACGGAAACGCCGTTTACCTTCCCGCTAGTAAGCAGTCCCTATTTATCTACTTGCACCCAGGGGTGCTTTTGAACTGCTAGGTTGGCAGGCGCTGGGACCGAACAACGGGAGCGCACCCCGCCACGGGGATTCGAACCGCCGACCTTTCGATCGGCAAGCCCTAGGCGCTGAGGCTTTTACCCACAACGCCACCCGCGTCCCATAGATCTCCACTTACCATTAAATAAATGGGACACCCATTCACAGATCTCTTTCCAACTTGTCTAGCTGCAGGTCATCGCCCCACTCCCCCAGTGTATTTTTCAGGCCACCCCAATCTCTGCCGTACAATGCATGATTCCAGGGGTCTTGGCAGGGTTTGTGTTTCCATTGGAAAATCAAGGCACAGTGGAGACTGTAGTGTCTTTAAGAAATATGGTTTGTTTATTTATACATATTCAAACCTGAGTCTGAATGAAGAGACGGTTCTGAGCATCACATCTCAAGAGGGCACAGCACTGGATTCAAAGGCAGCCCAAATGCCACCTCATTGTCTCCTCTACCAGCCCGCTTGACATCTGGCCCCACGCTTCTTCCCCAAAACCCTTGCTAAACGCAGTCCAAGCTTCATGCAAAAAGGACACCTTTTTTTACATGTGGTGACATCATGCCCCTGCAACCCGGGCAACCTTCCCCTCCCAACTCTTCTGTCCACTACTCAGTGGTGGGTGGGGGGACAGTATTTGCATTGTCAATCACTCTTTGACAATTGCATTGTCAATCAAGTACTCTGCTCTTTAAGACAGCATCTTAAAAAGCAGAGACATCACCTTGCCAACAAAGGTCCGTATAGTTAAAGCTATGGTTTCCCCAGTAGTGATGTATGGAAGTGAGAGCTGGACCATAAAGAAGGATGATCGCCAAAGAATTGATACTTTTGAATTATGGTGCTGGAGGAGACTCTTGAGAGTCCCATGGACTGCAAGAAGATCCAACCTATCCATTCTTAAGGAAATCAGCCCTGAGTGCTCACTGGAAGGACAGATCATGAAGCTGAGGCTCCAATACTTTGGCCACCTCATGAGAAGAGAAGACTCCCTGGAAAAGACCCTGATGTTGGGAAAGATGGAGGGCACAAGGAGAAGGAGACGGCAGAGGACGAGATGGTTGGACAGTGTTCTCAAAGCTACCAGCATGAGTTTGACCAAACTGCGGGAGGCAGTGGAAGACAGGAGGGCCTGGCGTGCTCTGGTCCATGGGCTCACGAAGAGTCGGAAACGACTAAACGACTAAACAACAACAACAACACTCTGCTCCCCTTCCTTTCTTAATGGCACCTCTATCAGCTCATCTCCTGAACAGGAAAACAAGTATAGCCTGTATTTCTACATTGCGCTGGCATCTTCCCTTAATATTCCAAATATTAGCTAAATTGCAACATCTAAGAATTTAGGAGGATCTGCCCCCCCCAACTCATAACAGTATCTATTTATTTGGAGTATTTCTATTCATTTTAAACATGGGTGAAACATAGCTTTAACAATAGCACAGGGGCAATTTCTCCCCCCCCCAACAGTTCAGAGATGGGAATTGTTTCAGCTTTTTGATTTGTGCCCCATCTAGAAAGGATGTGATCAAGGGTGCAATGTGCAGCCATTAAAAAGAATTGGAAATTTACTATTCACCTGAATTTTTTTTTCTTTATATCAGTCTTTATTACATATATCAGCTGAAAACAAACACTTTCATAACTTGGTGGTCCCCCCCAGTTAAAAAAAAACCACAGAAAGGAAAGATAATAGAACACAGTTCAAGAAACACACAAGAGGGCAAAGTAATGTGCAGTTATAGGTGACTACCATATTCATATCCACATCCTAAGTTGCCCCATCAGAAAAGGATAGAAGGACCAAAGTATTATGAAGAAAACTCAGGCATTATCTGGACAGACCGACTTACTCTAATCAAGGACAGCAGCTAGAAACAAAGTTAAGAATAGGTGACCCTGCACTGGATTTATCTGTATCTGAAACAAGACTAGAGCTAAAGCTCTAAACATATTCTTTTATCAGGAGGGACCAATAAAAATAAAATAGAGAGAAGCTTCTACTCTAAAATTCCCCTCAGTAGAAAACATTCAGATCTTACCAACGCTTGTACTGAAACAATTCAGGCATAGTTTATGTTAAAATTTCTTGTAGCAGGCTGTGTACACCAGCTCTCAATCAATGAGTTTTAGGTGAAAAATTGTCAACCAAGAAGCCACTGTGTGATGCTAGCTCAAGTCAGGTTCAACTTTCAACCGCAACAGTTCACTTTCTGAGTTAGAAGCAAGGCTGATGGATAATATCTACAGATGGGCTGTTGAATGCACAGTGCATGTGTTTGTCTCTCGCAAAACAGCACAGCTGACAATCTCAAGAAACTTAGGAGAACAGGGCAGGGAGAGGACAACAACAGGAAACAAACAGCAAGGATTGAAGGGGTCAAGTATCTAAGAGCCTTGCCCTTCTGGATCCACACTTCCTTCAGGATCTTCATCATTATATATGTTCTCTGCCATTTGCCAGACTTGCATGATATTGTCTTCTGATACCGAACAAATTACCCAGGGTTCATTTGGATTCCAGGAGAAGTCAGATATCTTTGCAGTGTGACCACCATGAATAAACAACAGCTCAGGTGGGCCATCCTCTGTATCTTCGGGAGACTGCTCTTCTCCAATTTTACTTAAATCCCAAACATTCAGTCTGCGATCAGTACCACTGGAAGCCAGAATGGTTTCATTATGTGGTGACCACTGAACCTGGAATATTTCATCTTTGTGTGACTCAAAGGAGTGCAACTTCAGTTTCAGGTTTCGCAGATCCCATAATGCAACAGTCTTATCAGCTGATCCCGTGGCCAAGATGAACTCGCTATAAGGATTGAAAGACAGACAGTTCACTTCAGCAGTGTGAGCATCCACCGAATGGCTTGGCTTGGAAGTGTTGTTTGACCGGGTGTCCCAAATCATAAGTTTCTGATCATCAGCAACAGATCCAAAGAGAGATTCATGCAGCAAATGCCAGGAAACATCTTCCACCACAGCTGTATGGCCTGTAAAGATAGTCTTCGCATCCACCACTTTCCCTTCCTTTGGAACAGCACTTATGTCCCACAAGCAAATGGTATGATCATCAGATGCACTAAGCAGATGACCACTAAGGTTTGGGTTCCAAGACAAACCATAGCCTTCTTTTTGATGCCCACGAAGACGTAGATCTGGATTACACTCACCATAAGGGTCTGGTTTAGATGGATGCTTGGTATAATCAAACACAAGTACATCACTGGATGGAGTCTTTGTGGCAATAATGCAAGGATTCTGGGGCATGTAGCGTGCTCTATTCACTTCTCCTTCATGGTTAATTTTTATTTCAATTTCAATTTTTCCACTAACAGAGCCAAATCCTCCAAACTCTGGTTACATCAGGAAGCCATTGAGCAGTCAAGCTGGGCCATTCCAAAGCATGGGTCATTACAAGATCATAGAGAAATGGAGTGTTCTTTTTCCAGATTTTATATTCTTCATTGATCACTCGCTCCTCCACAGCATCATCAAAGGCAGCTGAGCCATCCTGCAGCCCTCCCCGCCTCATTACAAAGCAGCTCCACGCAAATAACCCCACTATTCACCTGAATTAAATAGAGACATGACAGATTTCTCAGTGCACTCATCATCCTTGATTGTTGACTAAGCTGGCTGGGAATTGTAGTCCAACATTATCCAGGGACTCAAAGTTGAAGAATGTTGTTATAAGGAACAGTTCTCTTTATCCTGTTGCTAGGCTTCAAGAAGGCTCCTAAAATACCAGACCAAAATCTCATCTAGTCAGTACCATCACTGGCAACTGCTTTCCATCTGAGTTCTTTCCTACCCCTGCTAGTACTCCAAATTCTCATCAAGTGACTGAACCTGGGACCTTATCAACGTGTCCTTTTTTCTGCCACTGTGGGATATACCGTATTGTTTGCTCTTTAGGACTCACTTTTCCCCTCCTAAAAAGTAAGGGGAAATGTGTGTGTGTGTTATGGAGGGAATGCAGGCTGCGCAGCTATCACAGAAGCCAGAATAGCAAAAGGGATTGCTGCTTTCACTGCACAGCAATCCCTCTTGCTGTTCTGGCTTCTCAGATTCAGAATATTTTTTTTTCTTGTTTTCCTCCTCCAAAAACTAGGTGCGTCTTGTGGTCTGGTGCATCTTATAGAGCGAAAAATACGGTATCTTCTTTGCTCCTGAAATGTTTTTCTGTATGAAATCATAGTAGGATTTGATTTGATGGATAATCAGTTTGTTATTTTTCTGTAGGCTATAGCTCTGGTCCACATATATCTGGATGGGTCTGTGCTGGTGTCCCATGGTGGAGTGGAAATGGGACAAGGAATATACACCAAGATGTTACAGGTAGTACGAAATATCAAACAAAGCTACTCACTCCTTTGCTAGTTAATTGTATATGATCCAGTTTACATCTGTGTTTTTAAAAATAGAGAAAAGTTTCAATGTTTATACTTTCTGAGCTAGATAACTAATTTTCTAACAAGTTTTGCTCCTGTATGTGTCTAACTGCAACTATAAATGTTATTTCCCCCTGTTGGTTTGAAGTTATGCTGTTAACCCCTGGTCAATATCTTTGTTTTCTAAACTAAAAGGTTGCCAGCCACGAATTGAAGATACCATTGTCTTACATACATCCTTATGAAACAACTTCAGTAACAATACCTAATGCGGTGGTCACTGCAGGATCAATTGGCACTGAAGTCAACGGGAAAGCAGTCCAGGTTAGATACTTATCTGTGGCTATTGTTTATCTGAGAATTTCCCTCTTTCTGTTGTTCAGGGTGCTTTTGATATTTTGATATTGTTATGGTTTGTTCAAAATACTTTTGTGTATGTTCTCTTCTTCTGGCACACTGTGGCTGCATATACACTATGCATTTTAAAAAAGCATAACTCCCCCCAAAGAATATTGGAAACTGTACTTTACTCCTTCACAGAGCTACAATTCGCTAATATGCAATAATTCCCAGAATGCTTTGGGAGGAAGATGTGCATTGCATGTGCTTTAAATGTATGGTGTGTACTACGATGATAACTCAAGGCCTGTAAACTGGATCACTTAATAATACGGCTTTGTTTTGGTTTTCTAAACTGAATTTACCCAGCGTAAACAGAGCCAGTGTTGGATGCTGTTAAGGTTTTAGCTTAGGGGCGAGGAACCTGCAGCAGTTCAGAGGTTCTTTGGACTCCCATCAGTCCCAGCCACCATAGCCAGTGGTCAGAAGTGATGGGAGTTGTAGTCTTAAAAAATACACACTGGAGGTCCTGCTGTCATTCTTTGCCCACTTACCTAGAAATAAGATCTACTGAACTCAGCAGGGCTTGCATCTGACCAGACATGTATTGGGTTGCCCTGTAAAAACAAACAAACTGAAATTGGAGAATTGGCTTCAATGGGATTTAAACATTACAAACTTTATTTGAAATGGGGCCTCATTTTCTAGCTGTTAGAGAGTTCAGACTTATTCCTGCACTCACTTATAGCCTTACTAGGAAGGACCATAGTGTTCTAGAGGGCTTGGTGGTCCAGGTTCCTTAGCTTGCAGGCCTTAATGAGGCTTGCAGACCTCCCCATTTGGCCCTGAGGCTGTTTAGCCACATCCACCTGATATCAGGTGTCGGCAGGTAAAACTACTAAACTTGAAGGAACCAACTACCAGACTTTGTATAAAGCAGTTTCTTAATATCCATTCTTTTTTGTTTATCATATTTAAGGACAAATGCAATCCTCAAGACCAGTCTTAGCTGTACTTTCCTTCATGAATTCCACCCTAGCTTCCCATTATTTTGTAATCTGTTGCAATACTCTAGAGATTCTTTTAGAGTTCTCATTGCACATTATTTTCAGAGTGGTTATTTTATGCTGGGCTATAATACTCCAATCTGTGGTTACTGCTCCTGGCAGTGAAATTTGTATTTCTTTAATTTTGCATTTGAAAATGTATTCTAATTTCAGTATCCACCCAGAGAAGAATTTGTCAAAATCTTTTAAACAAATGAATAAAAATAAACAATGGCACTGTCAGGGAACTGCCATCGGAAGGACAGGAGGTGCAAAGGCTCACTGAGGTTGAGAGAGACGTAGCAGTTGAAGAGGGAACCAGTAGGGGGAGAGGAGGAACTCCAAGGGAAAGTGAGTCGGAGGGATGGCTCAGAGACGCTTCCAGCGAAAACAGTGGGGAGGTCTCAGGACCTCCTATAGGGACACCCACTCCTTGCCGGAAACTGTCACGCCGAGAGTCCAGAAGACGTGTTTCCGTTAAGGAGCTTTTATGTTGGAAACGATTCCGAAAGCAACCACTTTCGGATTCTGCTAGCGACTGACGCAGCCATGCCAGAGGGGCTCCGTCACAGGCAGAGGTTTGAAAACCTGATCAAACTCTGAGGGACTTGCATTTTACGCACAAGCAGCTCATCATCCCATCACAGGCACTAAAAATTGTTTTTGACAAATTGCTCTCCTGTGCTGAGGAAACTTTGCCTATTTAATTTATCCATGTTATAAAGAAGTTTAAGGCCAGAAAAAAGTGCCAATTCTAGAGTACAATACTAAAAATATTTTTTTTTTTAAAGTGAAACTTGGGTTTCATTATTGTTGACTAATTTGTCTTACCTTTCTTTGCCACCCTACTTCACAGAATGCCTGCCAGATTCTCCGGAAGCGGCTAGAACCAATAATGAAGAAAAACCCTCAGGGGAAATGGGAAGATTGGGTAAACATCATCTATATCTTAAAACTGAATTATGACCCAACTTGCACCGCATATTGTGATAGGAATTTTATGGTCTTAGATATATGGCAATGTTCATAACCGCACATACATAGATCAGCACAGAAGACCGACCTGAAGCCATTTTGATTCCTAAACTGAGCAAATGTTTTCTCAGTACTCAGAAAAAAACTATCCTTTTTCCATTTGCTACGAATCTGAATAACAAGCCTTCCCCAACCAGGTGTCCTGCTGCACTGCACCTTACCAGATCTGAAGAGGAACAAAACTTTAACTTTCACCCAAAATGCGACTAATTAAGCTAGACCAAAATTAAATCTAAGCATGTTGTCCAATCTCAGATCCTGCACTGGTTCCAGATTCAATGTAAAACATACACAGTATTTTTGGAGAGATGTAAAAATCACAGGGCAGTTCACAGTCTATCAGTAGAGCTCTAGCCCATTTCTGCAGGACTATTTAACACCTGTTTTGTTAATGGAATATTTGCAAAGAATGTAAGGTAAAAATAAAGGTAAAGGATCCCTGGACGGTTAAGTCCAGTCAAAGGCTACTACCTTGTTTCAGCCGAGGGAGCCTGCGTTTGTCCACAGCTTTCCAGGTCATGTGGCCAGCATGACTAAATCGCTTCTGGTGCAATGGGACACCGTGAGGGAAAGCAGAGTGCACGGAAATGCCGTTTACCTCCCCGCCGCAGCGATACCTATTTATCTACTTGCACTGGTGTGCTTTCGAACTGCTAGGTTGGCAAAATCTGGGACCGAGCAACGGGAGCTCACCCTGTTGCGTGGATTTGAACTGCCGACTTTGCGATCAGCAAGCCAAAGAGACTCAGTGGTTTAAACCACAGCGCCACCCGTGTCCCTTAATGCAAAGAATGTAGGCTTTGGCAAACCTTTGTCTGATCTTGTAAGGCACTTCTTACTAGCTTCAGTGAAACTGCATGCTCAGGATTACTTCATTCTGATTTGTTATGCCTTATTAATTCCTCAGCCCCTAGGATTTGCTGATCGCATGGTCGGCGGTTCGAATCCCCGCGGCGGGGTGCGCTCCCGTTGCTCGGTCCCAGCGCCTGCCAACATAGCAGTTCGAAAGCACCCCCGGGTGCAAGTAGATAAATAGGGACCACTTACTAGCAGGAAGGTAAATGGTGTTTCCGTGTGCTGCTCTGGTGCTGGTTCGCCGGAGCAGCTTCGTCACGCTGGCCACGTGACTCGGAAGTGTCTGCGGACAGCGCTGGCTCCCGGCCTCTAGAGTGAGATGAGCGCACAACCCTAGAGTTTGTCAAGACTGGCCTGTACGGGCAGGGGTACCTTTACCTTTACCTTTAGGATATAAATAAAATTTAAAAAAGATCTTGCACCCGTAATGGACAAGCAACCGCAGCTGTCTCCATTTTAAACACAGAGGGACTTCAGCCTGTGATGGGCGTTCCTACCCATCAGTGTAACACAGGCCACATTCAGACAATAATATCTCTGCCTGATAAGCCGAAACATGATCATCCAAACTGGTCTGGACTGTCGGACCCATGCAGGCAGCTGGTTGAAAGCTGTCAGTCAGCAAAGGAAAAAGAGACAACCCACCTTTTGCTGAGATGTTTAGAATGTTTATAGTTCTGTGGGGCTGAATGGATAGCATAGGAAGCCTCAGTGCAGGCAAATGTAGCTCTGGAAGGCAAATAATAAATCCTGCCTATGTTGTGCAGAGATAGAAAGTTCATTCTGAATGTTCCTTGTTATTTTGCTGTGTACACATTTATTTTTGAAATCTGATTTAAAGATATTCCTCTTGCAGATTACGAAAGCTTATGAGGAAAGCATCAACCTCTCAGCTACAGGCTACTTCAAGTAAGGCATCTATCGTCGTTTCCTAAACTGCTGTCTTTTGAAGTACCACTAAGACTGATTGGGGTTGGATAGTTAAAAGTTAAGTCTCAAGCTTTGGGTGGTGGACTTGATGCCAACTCTACTCACTGTATATGTTACAACAAGGGGATGTACTGTTTTCCAGGAGACCACATCTTATGTCGGAGGAGCCAGTGTTAGATGTAAGGCTTTCTTTCAGCCAGAACTCACAGGAACTTAGTTCTTGCACCCTTCAGGTGGCCGCCATTGCCATTATAAGAGAACAATGAAGGCGTTCGTGGAGAGTTCCGGCACCTCTTTTTCTAGAAAAATAGCACTGGTTAGATGACATCAAAGAAACCCCAGGATTCCGGAATTGGGGTGTGGACCAGTGTCTATTGCCATAATCAGATAGGGTTCAACAGGAAAATACCCATTCTGTCATTGGGTAGTCCATCTCACAGCCAGTTTCTTTTTCCGCTTCCCACCCTGTGCTGGCAAAATACAGAGCGTTCAAGTAATTTGGCCTTTTTTTACACGATTTCTGTTGAGCATGCTGTAGTAAAACTGAAATCTAACATCTAAATGACTCTTTCCTTCCCCTCCACCCATCAGAGGGTATGTCACCAATATGGACTGGAAGACAGGAGAAGGCCACGCATTTCCATACTACGTTTTTGGTACTGCTTGTTCAGAGGTTGAGATTGACTGCCTGACAGGGGATCATAAGGTAAAAATTGAGCACTACCTCCTCTTTGGCAATTCATAGGCCACTGGGTGGTTTGATGGGTCTCCTTCGCTCTCTGTTTGGATATGAACTGCTCTTTAACTGAGGGAACATTGTGCCACTAGAAGTTTTGAAAAATAGCCAATATGACTGTGTATCTAAAAGGAATAAACAGCCAACCACTGGAGATGGAAAACTTCAATTGCTGTTGGAATGGACAACTGGGTTGTGCTTAAGACGCCCATATACTGCAATGGCTAGAATACTCTTACTTGTGCCTTGGTAGTATTACAAACTGTATCTGGAACCAGACCCTGTCATCACAGCCATGTTTTTTGGAGGAGGACATAACTCAATGGGGTAATAATAATAATAATAATAATAATAATAATAATAATAATAATAATTTATTATTTGTACCCCGCCCATCTGGCTGGGTTTCCCCAGCCACTCTGGGCGGCTTCCATAGAAACCAAAAAACACTAAAATATCATACATTAAAAACTTCCCTGAACAGGGCTGCCTTAAGATGTCTTCTGAATGTCAGGTAGTTGTTTATCGTTTTGACATCTGATGGGAGGGCGTTCCACAGGGCGGGAGCCACTACCGAAAAGGCCCTCTGCCTGGTTCCCTGTAGCTTTGCTTCTCGCAATGAGGGAACCGCCAGAAGGCCCTCGGCGCTGGACCTCAGCGTCCGGGCAGAACGATGGGGGTGGAGACGCTCCTTCAGGTATACTGGGCCGAGGCCGTTTAGGGCTTTAAAGGTCAACACCAACACTTTGAATTGTGCTTGGAAACGTACTGGGAGCCAATGTAGGTCTTTCAAGACCGGTGTTATGTGGTCTCGGCGGCCGCCCCCAGTCACCAGTCTAGCTGCCGCATTCTGGATTAGCTGTAGTTTCCGAGTCACCTTCAAAGGTAGCCCCACAGAGCGCATTGCAGTAGTCCAAGCGGGAGATAACTAGTGCATGCACCACTCTGGCGAGACAATCCGCGGGCAGGTAGGGTCTCAGCCTGCGTACCAGGTGGAGTTGGTAGACAGCTGCCCTGGATACAGAATTGACCTGCGCCTCCATGGACAGCTGTGAGTCCAAAATGACTCCCAGGCTACGCACCTGGTCCTTCAGGGGCACAGTTACCCTATTCAGGACCAGGGAGTCCTCCACACCAGCCCGCCCCCTGTCCCCCAAAACAGTACTTCTGTCTTGTCAGGATTCAACTTCAATCCATTAGCCGCCATCCATCCTCCAACCGCCTCCAGGCACTCACAAAGGACCTTCACCGCCTTCACTGGTTCTCATTTGAAAGAGAGGTAGAGCTGGGTATCATCTGCATATTGATGGACACCCAGTCCAAACCCCCTGATGATCTCCCCCAGCGGCTTCATATAGATGTTAAAAAGCATGGGGGAGAGGACGGAACCCTGAGGCACCCCACAAGTGAGGGCCCAAGGGTCTGAACACTCATCCCCCCCCACCACTTTCTGAACACGGCCCAGGAGGAAGGAGCGAAACCACTGTATGACAGTGCCCCCAGCTCCCAACCCCTCTAGACGGTCCAGAAGGATGTTATGGTCGATTGTATCAAAGGCCGCTGAGAGATCCAGCAGAAATAGGAAACAACTCTCACCTTTGTCCCTAGCCCCCGGGAGATCATCAACCAGTGCGACCAAGGCAGTTTCAGTCCCATGATGAGGCCTGAACCCTGATTGGAAGGGATCCAAATGGTCCGCATCCTCCAGGCGTGTCTGGAGTTGTTCAGCAACCACACGCTCAATCACCTTGCCCAAGAATGGAAGATTTGAGACTGGGCGATAGTTGGCCATACTGGCCGGGTCTAAAGATGGTTTTTTAAGAAGCGGTTTAATGACCGCCTCTTTCAGTGGATCTGGGAATGTTCCCTCATAGAGGGAAGCATTCACCACCCCGCAGAGCCCATCGCCCAGCCCTTCCCGGCTTGCTTTTATTAGCCAGGATGGGCAAGGATCAAGGAGACAGGTGGTTGGTTTCACGCGTCCAAGCAGCCTGTCCACATCCTCGGGGGTAACGGATTGAAATTGATTCCAACCCCTTATTTGCATAAAGTCCCAGATTTAATTCTTATAATTTCCAGTTGAAAGGATCAGGTAGAAGATTGTCTGGAGAACTACTGCCATTGAGAGTATTTAGTACTGGGATAGTTGGATGAACTTTATAAGACAGCTTCATATGTTCTAGCGCAGACAGACCATGAGCTGCACTAGAGTATGGCCTCTCCTTACAAGATAATGCTTGGAATAGGATTCTTCCTTTGTCGGAACCCTGGACTATCTGGGACACAGCAGTAAACCCCAAGTTTTCCAAATGCAAGAGAGAGGCCAAACATCAAAATGTCAGGTTTCTGGTTTCCATCCCTCTTTCTAGGACCCTCGTACCTATGGGACCGCCTCTCCCGGTATGCCCCATTCCGGGACTTCTGCAAGCATAAGTTCAAAAGAGCGAGTCAGGGCTCAGGGCTTCAGAAATATTCTGATGCGCTAGAAATTCAATTTTGAGGCCCCTGATATTGTGCTCATGGTTACTGTACTTTCGAGTTGGGTGTCCTTTGTCTTCTAATTTTTCTTAAGGCTTTATAAAAAGATAATGTGCTGACAACAGCTTATTTGTCCAACAGAACATCCGAACAGACATTGTCATGGATGCCTGCTTCAGCATCAATCCAGCTGTTGACATAGGACAGGCATGTACCAAGAGCTTTGAACTTACACTTTATACTAGCTGTAAGCAAGTAGATTGGGGCCTTTCTGAATGGTAAAAAAAAATAAAAAATGCCCTGTTGCATTTTATTCTTGGAGTGCTTCTTCCTGTAAGCCTGTAAGTGCCAAAAGTGCAATTTTCTGCCTGCATCTAATGGATGGGTAGGAAGCCTTGCTGCTTGCTGGCCAAGGAAGCAGCCTTTCATGAATAAGTTTGGTGGGCAGTCCTTCTCCAAAGTGTACGGATTTGGTACTCCCCTGTGCATAGTGCATCTGATTCAAGGAAAAGTAACATTTAGAGAGAGGACTTTAAAGGGCACCACAGCAAAGGGTATAAATGAAATGTCTTTCATATTGGAACTATCATTCAGTAGCCATTTCTCCATTAGCAAGTGATCTGCCTACATTATACAGTATTTTATGAATAAATTTACACCAGCTTTATAGCTGACACATATACCGTATTTTTTGCCCTATAGGGCGCATCGGCCCATAGGGCGCACCTAGTTTTTTGGTGGGGCAGGGGGAAATAAAGAAAAAAAATTATTCCCCCTCCCCCAGGCGCGGGGCTGGGGCGGGGGAAGCCCGAGCTTCCCCCGACCCCAGCCCCCAGAACAGGCTGCTATCCGCAAGCCTAGGGAGCCCGCGAGAACTCCCATTGGGCTCTCCAGGCTTGCGGATATCTGCCCGAAACCTGGAGAGTGAGAGGGGTCGGTGCGCACCGACCCCTCTCGCTCTCCAGGCTTCAGCGAAAGCCTGCATTCGCCCCATAGGACGCACACACATTTCCCCTTCATTTTTGGAGGGGAAAAAGTGTGTCCTATAGGGCGAAAAATACGGTACTTGTTTTTGCTGCCACTGAAGTCCCTATATACCAAAAGGGACTTCCTCTTTCAATGATCGCACAGTATATCCACCCTGCAGAATGAAAGCCCCGACAACTTCCTTGAAAACAGGCAGTACCTTTCCCCACCCCAACCATTCCCCAATTCATTTTTATTGCATTTTTATTAAGGGGTTTAGCAATCAGCATGTCTGGAACTGCAGCACTGAACACAGAGGGGTGCCAGAGCAAATTCCCAGCCCTTGTGGCTACACAGGGAAAAGAGTAAATACTTTTGAGCAAATCACAATCTATTTAAAATGAAAATCAGAATTTATGCATTTTTATTCTGTCAGATTGAAGGTGGCTTTATGCAGGGACTTGGACTTTATACGATGGAAGAAATATACTTCTCCCCAGAAGGACAGCAGTACACGCTGGGTCCAGACACATATAAAATTCCTGCTGTCTGTGATGTCCCAGAGCAGTTTAGAATCTACCTTTTGCCAAACTCAAGAAACCCAATTGCAATCTACTCCTCCAAGGTAAACAACTTAAAAGTGTGGTGATGGATAATACATAAGAGGGGGTTTGGTACAGATTACCGTAGTTACTATTGCAATGAATCTCCAAGAGGCTCAGTTAAAGCATTCATCTCAAAGCAGATGCTCTAGAGATGGTTATCTCTAGAAACAAAGGAAGGCTTTTAAAGCCATTTTCTGATATTTTATTGCCAGTTTAGCCTCTTATGTTTCCCCATTCCAGTTAATACCTAAATATCTTAAGTGGATGCTTTGCCAGTCTGGACATATTGTCTGCAATCTGCCAAACTAAGACTTGCACAACCACTCTTAATTTTAATGGGATTATGCAGAACAATTTATTTAAAAGTTTTTTAATTGAGTTTTAGCTGAGGTGTGGTGGTGACACCTTGCAACCATTTGTGAGACAGGAGCTTGCATGCCCATCCAGAACAAGGTGACTATCAACTGGTGATTAGGAAAAAATATTGTCTAAACCAGGGTTGGCAACCTAAGGCCCGTGGGCCGGATGCAGCCCAATTGCCTTCTCAATCCGGCCTGCGGACGGTCCGGGAAGCAGCGTGTTTTTACATGAGTCGAATGTGTGCTTTTATTTAAAATGCATCTCTGGGTTATTTGTGGGGCATAGGAATTCGTTAATATATTTTTTTCAAAATATAGTCCGGCCCCCCACAAGCTCTGAGGGACAGTGGACCAGCCTCTTGCTGAAAAAGTTTGCTGACCCCTGGTCTAAACTTTATGGATCTTCCCTTATCTTTGTGTTCCATCGTTGGTTGTCTTCATCTTCCTGCAGGGTGTAGGTGAAGCTGGCGTATTCCAAGCATGCTCTGTGTTTTTTGCTATACGGGATGCAGTGGCTGCTGCCCGGAAGGAAAGAGGATTGCACCGTGTTTTCACAATGGACAGTCCACTGAACATAGAAAGGATTCGCATGGCCTGTGTTGATGACTTTACAGAGATGGTAAATACTTCCTTAAAAACACCACCACCACCACCTTATATTCCATTCATTTTGTGCTTTCTTCCTGTTGGCATCAGCAAGACACAGAAAACTGAGGCAGAGAACTGAGCGGCCCAGTATGACTGAGCAGAGCAGAGAACCTAGGATAAAATGGCTGGAGGACCATCTAGTCTAGTGGGCGTAGCTGGGGGGGGGGCAGCTGCCCCCCAATAAGTAAAAATCAATACAAATCAATACAAAACACTGTTCCCTTTCCCTTATGGGGTATCTAAGAGCCCGTATAGAGTCCTTAAGTAGGTTCTCTATCAGTAGGAGAGAATAACAGAGCCAACCAGAGAATATTGAGAAGCAAAGCAGCTAGTAAGCCTGATCTTTATTGATCTGTTGCGACAGGGTGCTTCCCTCACCAGCAGGAGAGAGAAGGAACCCAGAAAAATGGTGCGTAAGGCCTTATAAAGACTTTTGAAATTGCCACCCTGTAGATCAAGACCACCCCCAGAAACATCATACATACATCACAGAAGGGGTGTAACCTAAGACCACCCCTCAGATACATCATACCATATCACTGAAAAGGCGGTCTTAAAACAGAAATTTGAACGTTGTTTTTCTCCTGTTGTTGTTTATCTCCTGTCTGGCAGGTTACTTGATTGGATTGCCTGGGTAGCCTGGCCAGTCTTTTGTAATGATAAATACTTAATTCCTGGGCCATGTCACAGGCTCACACCCTATTCATATCTGAAATGTGCCCTTAAGACAGGATTTGTGAAGGAAAGAGACAATGGGAAGGTTTCACACTTTGACCTTGCAGAGAAAACATTTGCTCAGTTTAGGAATCAAAATGGTTCCAGGTCGGTCTTCCTGTGCTGAACTATGTACGTGGTTGGTTAGTACATTTATGAACATTTCCATATATCTAAGACCTCAAAATTCCTATCACACACTTCACCTTAGTTGCTTCCAGAGCCCACAAGATGCTGCACAAGAACAGTCAGGTCCAGCCACTCACAATTTTGTGCCATATTATACTATATAATAAGAATAATTATTATTACTTAACATTTTCGATAGGAAAGGCGGGGAGGAGGCATGTCAGAAAACTATAATTGCAAAATTACTTTCAAAGGCTGCTCTTGGAAATATTTGACATCAAGGTTGTAAACCTGTAGCTAATTTCCTGGGAGTGAGTCCCATAGAGCTCACTGAGATTTACCGTGCTTCTGTTCTGAGTTTGTATAGGTATGTGTAGGTATGTACAGGTTTCGTCCTTAATATGCATAACAGTTTAAAAGATTTTTTAAAATCATTTTTTATACCTCATAGTAATAGAGATATATGATCTCTGGTTTGAAAAAGACATTACAGGAAGTGTCTTCCTTCCTGCTTCTAATGGCTCCCCCTCAAGGTCACTCCAAAACATTTTGCTGCTGAGGCAAAAGTCAAAATGGTACTCTCCCCCAACCATGCCTCATTCAGTAAATGAAATTGTGTGGTGTTTCCTGTGTGCCTGGTGCCAGAGCAGGCAGGCTCTGAGCATATTCAGAGTGCCTCACCACAAGAAAATAAATATGCAGTTATGAAGCTGACTACATTGCACAATGGAGGAAGCCTCTGGGTATACTTTGCTGTTGGGCTTCCAGTATATCAATAAACTCACAGGAGGGAGAAAGAAGTATAATGGGGTATTGAAAGGCGTGGGGGCAAATAAACTAACGTACACTAGCCAGAAGACAACCCCCTGTATGTGTGTGTGAACGATTTCACAATTGTAAGTTGCTTTGGGTTGCTCTGAGCAAGATAAAGTGATTAACAAGTTCAATAAATAAATAATAAACAATAATAACTGTTTGTGCTGCCTGTATAGCATGCAGGTAGGGACACTTGCAAAGTGATGTCTAAAAAAGTTCTTTCCAGTAGCACCTTAAAGACCAACTAAGTTAGTTCTTGGTATGAGCTTTCGTGTGCATGCACACTTCTTCAGATACACATGCACACGAAAGCTCATACCAAGAACTAACTTAGTTGGTCTTTAAGGTGCTACTGGAAGGATTATTTTTTTTTGTTTTAACTATGGCAGACCAACACGGCTACCTATCTGTAACTAAAAAAGTTCTGTTAGAGAGGGGAAAAACTAAACTACAGTGATGGCTGAAGTATGTACAGAGCAATATAAACTCGTATCTCACATGTTTCAATGCACTGTAGCTTTCCTCTCATTAAAACAAGTTTTATATTGGTTGATTTTCTTTTATTTCCTAATATGAAATTGCACATAAGAATAGCCCTTCTGTTTCTCTCTCTCATTTTTAGATTCCAAAGGACAAGCCTGGGACCTATAAACCATGGGCTATTGAAGTAGACTAACGTCCTGGTTTTCCGCCAAAGTTTTTCGCTTTTGTATGTTCTTCCTCATCAGAAGAGCAGTCGCAGTCTAATCACACACAAGAAGGACAACGATATTAATTTCAGCTGTGCAAGATTTTTAAAAATTATATTGATGTACGAAAACAAATCTGTGAATTTCAGCAGGCATATAATCAAGCATGGACGTCGTATAAGGGATAAGAAAATGTAATTCCAAACTGTGAGAATTAGCAACTGTATATCTTCATCTGTGATTTGTGTTCATGTTGTATTGTAATGGCCATTGACATCTACATCTGTAACTGTAGGCATATAAAATGCTGTGATTAGGTGGCTGCCTACCAGGCACACAGATACACCTCAGCTTTTATTCAGAGGAGTTAGAGAGGGGTGAGATTGTTGGTTTGGGCTTTGAGGATCATATGGGTGTAGGGAGAATCATTTAGTAAATGTTAGGGCACAGGGGAGAGTGCTGAAGTACTCCTTTGGCTTATACATTCTGTCCCTTGCCAGTTAAGCAGACCTTCTCCTGGAACTTGCCCAGACTTGGTATTCAATTAACCTTTACTCAGAGTAGACCCACATAGCATAGCTGAGGAAACTGAAAACTGTCATCAGCAGAAAGTGAGCACGTGTTGCCAAGGTGCGCTGTGGAGGCGGGCAATTTTTACTTGCAAAATAGGAACAACTCTGGACTACCGTATTTTTCGCTCTATAACACGCACCCAACCATAACACGCATGTAGTTTTTAGAGGAGGAAAATCTGTAGGCATGCCACCCGTAGGCATTTCCTCCATAACACGCACAGACATTTCCCCTTACTTTCTAGGAGGAAAAAAGTGAGTGTTATGGTGCAAAAAATACGGTACATTGCAAGGCTGTCATAAGCCACTGGTCTGTTCCTCAACCTGAACATACCTGTGGGGGGTGGTATCAGACCCATAAAAAGGGAAGCAGTTAGCTGGTAAAATAATGGTCAAGTACTTTTAAAGCATTAACTTTAATCATTTATTATCCTGTTGATCATCACCTTTGCTCGCATGATGATTTGAGAACTATTGTTTTCAAGAGATCTGACACATATGCTAATAAAAAAAATGTTATTATGAAACTGTATGAGTCACAATGAATTACTTACTTCATTTTTGTATTTTGCTGTCTCCTCAAGGACTCCAGAGCAGCCTACATAAGCTCTCCTCACCTCCACACACACCCCAGGTTTTTAATTTTTCCCTCACAGCACTCAAGAGTCAGGCTAGGCTAAGTGTCTGAGATTCACCAGGCATCACCTAATGGGCTCCATGGCCAAGTGAGGATATGAACCAGGGCTTCCCTGTCTTTGACCTTGCCAGTCAACTTCCTAGTCAGTGCTTGTGTAGTTTATGGCTTTGCAGTCACTGCCATAGAATTTGCTACCCTGTACAGTTTTCTCCCGAATGTTGCAGGCCTAGGGCACAAGCAGATCTCACTCTCGCTGACAAGTGATACCATAATGAAACAAAAAAGATAAGCTGCCACCTATTATGCAATTAATTAATTAATTAGTATACTGCCCATCAGCTGTATATCTTAGGGCAGTTCACAACATAAAAACACAAGATTTTAAAAAACAATAAAAGCGATAGCAAAGCAAAGCACTAACCCCCCACTCGCCCTACACAGAAGCGTTCTCAGAACATGAGATACCTTGCCACAATCAAGTAATAATGCATTTCAGCTTAACACAACTTGGCCAGGCCATTGGCTGATGTGCCAACCGTAAGGATAACACCACCTGACTACAGAGCAGGGTTGTTGTAACTCAATTTCGGCTCCAGCCCCTGTAATGAAGGCATGAGTGATATGTCTCGAATCCTGCACCCCACCTGCAACACGGGAATAATTATTAACGATGATGATGATGATGGACAGTGCCTGAAGCGCCATCAGGCAGCCCTGTTTAGGGAAGTTTTTAATATTTAAAGCTGTATTGTTTTTAACACTTTATTGGAAGCCGCCCACAGTGGCTGGGGAAACTCAGCCAGATGGGGGGGGTATAAATAATAAATTATTATTATTATTATTATTATTAAATTTACAATTTCCTCGCACTAGAAAACCCGACTGCGTTTAAAAGCAAATGAACCTTTGCATATTTTCCCCTCCCCCTTTTCCCTTTGCCTGATGGAAACCGCTGCCAACAAATCACTGTAGAGTTGGAAGGGGTACCCAGTGTCATCTAGTCCAACCCCCCCTGCAATGCAGGAATCTCAAGTACAGTAGACCATACATATAGAAACGCGGAAACAATAAAAGTCATAAGCACCATTTATTTATTTTGCAAGCTCTCATTGTTGCGAGACAGACAGACAGACGAAACTTCAAAAGCAAACCAGAAAGTCTGGGCTGCTTCCTCCTACTGTGATAACCACCTGGCCTCCTCCGCCGCTTAAGTCCCCCTACTTCGGCTCAATGGATTGCGCCACGAGGTATCCCGGGCCATTCCCGGAAAAGGACGAACCTGGACGCGTCCACTTAGGGAGGGGAGGGGGAAGCGGAGAGCAGAGTCTCGTTTCAAACCCCGCCCAAGGGAACGCAGCCCATTGCTACGTAACGTAGTTCGGGAGGGGGCGAGCTGGACGAGCCCATTTCCGAAATAAACGGGGGGAGGATAAAACAAACACGCTTGCTTCATTTTTAACTTGAACTTCCTCTCTGTATGAGGAAATAACCAACCAACCCCCCACAATAAAAAAAAACACACCCGGCGTCACGCACTCGACCCTCAGCACGACGCGCTTCTCTTCTCTCCCCCCCCCCACTGTGTGACGGCTGTGAATAATAGTTCCTTCCCAGCAGGCCTCGCCTCCCTCCTGCCCGTCACCCGCGTGTTCTCGCGTGGTTTCCTCTCCTCGCGGGGGAGGTTGTGTGGGGAGGGGGAGTAGAAGAGGAGGAAAAGGGGTGGAGACTTGAAGCCGCTTCAGACCGCCCGCCTTCTCCGTCCTCCGTCGCGCCGCTTAGTCAAGCTCGTGCTCCTTGGACGTTCCTTTCCTGCCTTAAAAGTCGGTGAGGCCCGAGGCGCGCGGCGGGATTGATAGCTCGCGGGGGGTGGGGAGAGAACGCGGCTGGGCGGGCGCTGATTGGGCGGGGAGCGCGGCGCGAGGCTGGCCCGTAACGGCCGCGCTGGCAGGGCCGGTTGCTGGGCCTGCTTCTCCCCTCCTCCTCCTCCTCCTCCTCCCCCCCTCCTTTCCCTTCACTCGCCCGCGCCCTCTGGCCCGGCCCGGCCTGGCGGGTAACAAAGCGGCGGCCTCTGTTGGGCAGTGACGCCGCTGAGGGAGGGAGGGGACGCGGCGGCGGCGGCCGGGAGGGGCAGCAGCGCGGGACTCAAAGCCTAGCCGGGGCGGCGGCGCTAGCGGGAGACTTCCCCCTTCCCTTCCTTTCCGGGGCCATCGCTTCCAGCTCCTGCAGCGGCCGCCTCCGCCCGGAGGGCTCGGTGGGTAGGCCGGGAGGGAGGGAAGGAGGGCGCCTCGGGTCGGGTGAGGGAAGAGCCTTCCGGGAAAAGGCCCGTTTCCGGCCCAGGCAGCGGCACGAGGCGGGGCAAACCCCCCCCCCACAACTACACAAAAAATACGTACACACGGCCTACCCGTGTTTGTAGATGGGGGGGGGTGTCTTTCCTGAGGGGGGTGAAGGGTGGGGACACCTCCCGGGGCCGAGTGGGTGGCGCCTGGTGGGGAAGGAGGAGGAGGGGACTCAAGGTTTGGCGATTGCATTTTAAAAAGAATTTCTCTCTTTTTTTAATAATAATTTTGATTAAGTTTTCCATTTTAACAATCCAATCCCATCACACTGAATTGTACAAATACATAAAGTCCAAATATTTTGTCAAATTATAATTTTTTTGTTGGGGGTTCCTAAGTTCAGTAGGGTCCAATCATCTCATGTTTCATCTGCCTTGAGTGTCAGAATTTCTCAGCCTTTTTGCTTCAGTGCGAGATGATTAGCTGGCACGTTTTCCAAAATCTATGCGCTCGTGACTCTTGGTGGTTGTTTTTTCTGGGAGATACCATGGTGGGGAAAGGAGGAGATTTAAATACCACAATGAGCCCTGTGGATAAAACTGCTTTTTGCATCCCCCCCCCCCCGCATTTTTTGCAAAAGCGTGAAAGGGCGTCTTAAGTTATGTTCCTTCTTCTCCCCGGGTGCCCTGAATTGATACTGTCCTGATGTAACATTATTCCAAGGCACACGGGGGGGGGGCTTTCCCCTAGCTAAGCAGTAGCCATGGCGTTGTTGGCAAGTTTGGTCCCCTCAAAATCCAAGCCCTGCCATCCCCAAAACGTGAAAGAGGATAGCTAGTTTCACTCTGGTTATGCTATATGCTCCCGGAATGCATTCAGGAATTCTGAGAAATTTTGGCCCATCCCCAAAACTTCATTCAGACCCCAATACCTAGAAACATGCCGGAGGAATGTTGGCCCTGCCTTGCGTTTTGTAGACAGCTATGATTTTTTTGAAGAGCAGGTACTGTAATCCTAAGCACACCTGCTCAAAATCATCCCATTTTGTTCAGGTGCAGTTAGTTCCAGGGAAGTGGTCATAGAGGACTACAGCCTTGTTGGGGTATACTGAGGACCACAAATCCCCCTTTAAAATACTCCTCTCGTTCTTGTTTACAGTTTAATCTGGAATGAATTCAAGAACAGGGCTTTAAACATTGTGATACTCTTGCTGCTCCTCCTGCCCCCCCAACCCCTCCCTTTTCCCATGAAGCCTTAAATGCAGTTCATGCTTTTGCTTTTTTGTGTTAAGGCTGGATTCTGTACATACAATTAATACGTTTGGACTGAGAGCCTCTCTTTTTACTTATAATTATGAAGTCAAGGTGTGAGGACATAGCCATGTACCCCTTGGCTACCTTGATACTTTCATCTTATGATTCATCTCACTGCAGGCAGTGTCAGGCGACTGGATCTAACCAGCTTAAAATCTATCACAGTGCCCCTAGCCTAGTGTTGCTGTGGGGCATTGCACTGAAATAATAAGATTGCCGCACCATTTACCCAGCAGTGCTTGGAGCCCACTGACATAGAAAAGGGCCCACAAGAGAAAACTTTGGCAAGAAGCTAGTCCTGACTTAATTATGGCCTTACTTAGTTTTAGGCAGAGTACTGGTAAAAATCATGAGGTTGGAAGTCCCCCGATTCCAAGTTAAGTTTGACCCCAAGTTCATTAATAGGCCTTGATAGGTATGAGTCTCTTGGTCATCCTCAGCGCTCTGATGTGTTGATAACTGCTGGTCCAGTATCAACTACAGTGGTGCCTCGCAAGACGAAATTAATTCGTTCCGCAAGTTTTTTCTTCTTGCGAGTTTTTCGTCTTGCGATGCACGGTTTCCCATAGGAATGCATTGAAAATCAATTAATGCGTTCCTAGGGAAACCGACTTCAGACCAGGTCCGGGGACAGTCTGTCCCCCGACCTCTTCTGAAGGCTGGGAGGGGGGGGGGGACAAGGGCTTTTCTTCCCACCCCCAGCATTTTAAAAAACCTCGGGACAGCGGAGGGCTTCTCCGCTGTCCGGGGCATCTTAAAATGCTGGCGGGCTGCATTTTAAAATCGCCCCGGACAGTGGAGGACTTCTCCGCTGTCCGGGGCGATTTATAAGCCCCTGGGAAGGCAGGCAGGGGGGACAAAGACTTTTGCCCCCCGCCAGCCTTCAGAAGAGGTCCTGGACCTCTTCTGAAGGCTGGCGGGGGGCGAAAGTCTTTGTCCCCCCTGCCTGCCTTTAAAAGCCCTCCTGGAAGAGC